CCCCCGCTCCTCCCTATGCCTCCTGGGGAGGAGGCACCAGTAGCAGCTGCTGCAGCAAGAGGCAGCGGCAGCAGCAGAGGCAGCGGCAGCAGCAGCTGCAGCGGAAGCAGCAGCATCATGTTGGGGCTGATTGGCGGAGAGCTGCTACCCAGCAGCAGCATGAGCCGCAGTTGAATCTGCCCCAGTAGTACCTGTCCCAGTTAAACCTGCCGTAGCCACGTCGGTGTCGCTGAGAGGAAGGACCTGACGGGTTGGCCCAGGAGGGAAGGGGCGGGAGGGAAGGAGCACGTTCGCAGATAAGAAATTGGCTCCACTGCGGGAGAAATATCTGTTGCTGTTGCTACTGCTACTGCTGCCTCTGCTGCCCCACCTGCTTCTCCTCCTGCCCCTCCTGCCCCAGCTACCCCTGCTGCCCCTGCTGTCTCTGCTGCTCCAGCCATGCCCACCACCACACCACCTCTGCTGCCCCTGCTGTACCGCCAGCACCAGTTCCGCCACTGGATCCATGCTGTGCGTGTTGACTTTTGAGTCGACTCAAAAGTCAACTCTGCTGCCCCTGCTGTACCGCCAGCGCCAGTTCCGCCACTAGGATCCATTGCTGTGCGTGTAGCTACAGCTGCATCTACTGTGTCTACGGCTGTAGCAGCAGCGTCTGCAGGAACAGCTGCGCCTATTGCGTCTTCGGCTGTAGCTGTGTCTGTGTCCATAGCTGTAGCAGTGCCTAAAGCGTCTCCGGCTGTAGCAGTGCCTGTAGCGCTGTCATGCGCCATGGGAGCATGCAGCCCAAGGCTCAACCCCGTTCCCTCACTCGAAACCCCGCACATGGCAGGGTTACTATAAATAGCAGGGTTGCCCGTGTGGGCTGGGTTCCCTGTGGTAGCAGCGTCTGGGGCAGAGGCTGCAATGGAAGCCATGCCAGAGATAGCGACGGCAGGAGGAGCAGAGGCAGACGGGACAACAGCGACGGCAGGAGGAGGGACTACAGAAGCAGTGGCGGCAGGGGCGGGGGCGGCAGCCGGGGGCAGGGGGTCTAGCAGAGGGGGCAGGGACAACAGCAGCAGGGGCGGCACGGGCAGGAGGGGCAGCAGCGGCAGGGGCAGCAGGGGGCAGGAGGGGCAGCAGCGGCAGGAGCGGCAGCGGTCTTGGGCGGAAGGGAAGAGAAGGCAGCGAGGTCACCAAAGAGCTCTGCCGAGTCCATTCTAGAGAACTCCAGAAACACGTCTCCAGACACACAGCACCCCCCCAGGCAGAATCTGAATCACTGGTGGCTTCTTCCCTCCCTCCCCACCTCCTCCACCGCCCTTGTCGCCACCACTCCCCCCTCCCTCTCCTCCCTCCCCTCCCTCCCCTCCTCCCCTCCCTCCCCTCCTCCCACTCCCTTGCCTCCTCCATCCCCCTTTTCCCCAGCCGTAGCTGCCGCCTTATCTGCCTCTCCTGAAGCTATGCCCTCTGCCTGTCCCCAGCCAGCCCATGGATGGTCACAGAGCCGCCTGCACCAGATCCACCCTCCCCCAGCTTCACCTGCACCTCCCGTTGACACCGTACTGCTTGCCCCATGCTGCAATGGCGGCCGCCAGGGCGCGGATAGAGATGGATTGAAGGGCGGTGCTCTCGTTGCTGCCGCTCGTGTGCGTGTGTGTAAGGGTGTTGGTGTTGGTGTTGGTGTTGCTCGTGTTTCTTGTGTGCGTCTGCGTCTGCGTCTGTGTCTGCGTGTGGGTGTTGCTGGTGTGCTTGTGTGCGCTGCTGGTAACGGTGTCATCGTTATGGTGTGGCGTGGGTGACGGTGCGGGTGCGAGTGTTGCTCACATTGCGGGTGCTGGTGATATCAACCGTGCTGCTGGGGTTGATAGCAGATGCGCCTGCACCAGTCCCACCTGTCCCTGTCGGCCTGTCCACTTGCCCTGACTGCTGCAGCAACACCTGTGCTAGACGCTGCTGCTGATCTTGTTGCTGCTGCTGCTGTAGTGCCTGCTGTTGCTGTTGTTGCTGCTGCTGCTGTAGTGCCTGCTGTTGCTGTTGTTGTTGCTGCTGCTGCAGCTGCTGTTGCTGTTGTTGTTGCTGCTGCTGCAGCTGCTGTTGCTGTTGCTGCTGCTGCTGCTGTTGTGCCTGCTGCTGCTGCTGCTTCTGTGCCTGCTGCTGCTGCTGCTGCTGCTGCTGCAGCTGCTGCTGTAGCTCTTGTTGTCGTTGTTGTTGCTGCTGCTGCTGCTGCTGCTGCTGCTGCTGCTGCTGCTGCTGCTGCTGCTGCTGCTGCTGCTGCTGCTGCTGCTGCTGCTGCTGCTGCTGCTGCTGCTGCTGCTGCCTGGTCGTTGGCATCTGGGAAGCACTGAACAGTGCGCGCAACAGCAAGAGTTCAACATCATTCAGTGTCTTCTTGTTTCCTGCACCTGACGCCGCCACCCCACCACCTGAAGCAGCCACCCCACCACACGTAGCAGCTCCACCATTTGAAGCGCCAGCGCCACCACTTGTACCAGCAGCCGCCCCACCAAAAGCAATCCCTGGGCCAACAGCGCCAGCACCGTTCAGCACCGCACTGGACGGTCCAGTACCAGCAGCGCCACCTGCACCAGATACACCTGCACCGGTGCACCCCCCCTCTGGCCAGCTTCCAACCGCTGCATCTCCTGCTGCACCTGCGCCTGCTGCTGCGCCGTCAGTCCGCCGGAGAGCACCCCTTGCGCCCACTGGGGGGGCGGGGGGGAGGAAATAGACCCAGACGAAGGAAACACGGGGAAGAGGGGGTTGGGCTGCTGCTGCTGCTGCTGCGGCGTTTGCTGCTGCTGCTGCTGCTGCTGCTGCCCTAGATACTGCCCAAGCCCACCGCCTGCCCCACCAGCAGCAGCACCACCTAAACTCGCTCCAGTTGGCCCTACCTTAGCTGAACCTGCACCACCCGCACTCCCTGCAGCAGCTGCAGCTGCTGCGACCGCGAATTCGACAGCCTGGGCCGACACTCCACTGGATTGCTGGGTCAGGGGGTTCTGGGGAAGGTTGTTCTGGGGAAGGGTGTTCTGGGAAAGGTTGCTCTGGGGAAGGGGGTTCTGGGAAAGGTTGCTCTGGGGAAGGGGGTTCTGGGAAAGGTTGTTCTGTTGAAGGGTGTTCTGAGAAAGGTTGCTTTGGGGAAGGGGGTTCTGGGGCAGGGGCTTTTTGATGGATGGGGAGCGCGGAAGGGGGACGGGGAAGCGGCTAGAGGCGGACTCATGCGCGCTGCTGCCCACGGACGAGGCGTGGGGGAAGAGCGGAAGCACGGAGGGGCGGCGGAAATTGCTAGGCGAGGGGAGCGTGATGTTGGGGAAAGGTAGCGCATTGCTGGCGGGAGCTGCTGCTGCTGCTGCTGCTGCTACTGCTGCCGGTGGTGCTGCGGAAAGGGGGCGCATTCCTTGTGCGGCGCTTGAGGTGAGGATGGAAGGAGGAGGTGAGGGGGTCAACGCGTTTACGAACGCTTTGGTCTGCCCTATAGCCGCAGCCATCGGGCTTCTAATCAAGCCGGTACCAGCAGCAGCATTAGAAGCAGTTGCGTTTGGTAAAGCAGTGTTGGGAGCAGCGGCAGCGGCAAGGGCGAGAGAGAGGGCAACGGCAGTTTCAGCGTCAGGAGGAGGCGTGGAGGCTCGGGCCGCAGAGGCCACGGAGAGAAACCGGGCTGCTGCTGCTGCCAGCGCATCACTAGGACTCAACGCCGTAGTCAACGATCCCTGCTGCTGCGATGGCCCCTGCGACTGCGCCTGCGACTGCCCCTGCGACTGGCCCTGCAGCTGCCCCTGCGAGTGCTGCTGCATCAGCTGCTGCAGCTGCCCTTTCCGCACCTGCAGCTGCTCCTGCTCGTGTTGAAGCGCCTCGTACTGCTGCTGCAGTTGCTGCTGCTGCTGCTGCGACTCGAAACTCGACAGGAGGGCGGCTACAGGACCGTTAAGAATAACCGACGCCACGTTTCCCACAGAGCTCGAAGTAGGGAAGGGGCTAGGGGAGGAGATAATACTAGCAGAGCCCTGGCGCGTAGGGGGCTGTATCAGGGGGAAGGCTAGCGCCGACCCCGCGGATCCGGTCGCGGAAAGGGCGGCGGCAACGGCGGAAGGGGGAAGCGGAGGCGCAGGGGGAAATTTTTGCAGCGAGCCAGCTTTGCGCGGGGGAGGTAACGACCGAAGGACATCGTCTAGGGTTTTCCTCGAGGTTGCCGGGTCCGTAACGACGGAGCACGGAATGGGCGGCAGACTGCTGTTTCCCGACGCTTGGGAGCCCTTAATCGCTCCGCCGCCTTTTCCCCCAGTGGGAGAGTCCGGCGCTGTGAAGTTGGTTCGGGTGGTCGCTCCCCGAATCTGCCGCGCAGCCTCGTCGTAGGCTCGGGCCGCTTCTTCCGCCGTGTCAAAGGTTCCGAGCCACTTTCGGATCTTGTGGTTCGTGTCTTTAATCTCCGCGATCCAACGGCCAGAAGCCCTCTGCCTAACTCCCAGGTACCCTCTGTTCTTCCCCTTGTCCTTATCCTTGGGCTGCGGCGCCGAGGCGTTCTTTTCAGGAGTCTTTCCACGTGCCTTTTCAGGTGCTTTTCCAGGCGCGCTGTCTGCCTGATTCCCTCCATTCTGCGTTTTCGACACGTCATTTCCAGGTGCTTCGTCAGGTGCTTCGTCAGGTTCTTCATCAGAGGAACCATCTGAGTACTCCTCCTCCGTTTGCGGAGTCTTCGCTCGCCGCTTATCCTGCGAAGTTGTCGGCGTGTTGTTCGCCGACGCTGTGTTACCCGGCGTGGCTGGGGCCGACGACGCTTTAGCATCGCGTAGCGCAACGCCGGAAGCATCGACGACGTCGCATTTCCTGCGCTTGGACGGGTTCATCCTCTCCCGTTCGCCTTCGCCATCCGCTGTGGCGTCCCCGCAGTCGCCATCACGGGGCATTTTGCCCTGCAAGCCACCGTAAGCCGGCGAAACCCTAAAAGTTCGCAAGCGTCGAACTACGGAACTAGGTATATACGATATCAGCGTTTTTATCCTCGCAAATCCATTGCACGTAGCCTAAAGGCGATGCAAGAACGGCTAACATGGCAAGCTGGCAAGCTAAGTAACAGTATCACAGCATCGGCCTGCTGCTTACGTTGGGAAAAGGCAATTTGTAAACAACCAATCACAAGGTGCCGAGGGTCACGTTCTGGCAGCCACAACCACAGCCACAGAACTATGAAACGAAACGAAACGAAACGGACAGCTGCAAATCAACCCTAGAAAATGATGCAGTCTTCACTAAACTTATTTCTGACGGTCCAGTTTAGTTTTGGTCTGGTCTGGTTCGGTTGGCTGGTTTGGATGTTCAGCTGGAAAGTACAGCTGGCGAAAAGGCGAAGATGGATGCGAATCTCCTGGAGACAGATTTGATCAGGAGGGAGGCGTTGGCGATAGCTTGCAAGGAACAGCTAAGCAGCCGCGTTCGGCTGGGTGGCGAGCGAATCTAGAATTAACCTTTCGTGGGTTGAGCGAGCCATAGGAAAGCAATAACGAGTAGTCCTTTGAGGTGTTCAGTACAGTTCATCGTCCTGATCTAATGACATCAATATCAGCTTTGATGGACAATGCACTCTAGCTTAATTTGTTTTGCAGATCTTGTAAAGAGCTCCACTATTCAAAACCAATTTACATTCCCATTAACAGACATCATCACCACCATCGCCAAATATACCATCACCATCAGCGACCAATCAGCAGCATCGCAAGCATCATCGGTGCTTGGTGATCTTCTCAAGCAGCAGGTCGTATTTGGCGCCTTGCACCTCGTCAATCTGCGCCAGGTTGCGGAAGAGCTTGAACGTCGGCACCGACCGCACTCCAAGGCCCTTCGCCAGAGGCTGCTCACGCAAGACAAGCGGATAGAAACATACATGGCATGTGATCTGGACGACACCTAAAGCCGTCAGAGCCACGATTGAAGGGTCAGAACCATGAAAAGAGTCTGTAAGCAGGGTCCTGTGCTTTTGTTAAGTTGGTCGTGCAAATTAATGTGCATAACAGGCGGACTCAGGTGCCTGTACAGATAGCGGCGGCTCTGGGTTCATCTGGCATAAGTAACCGGGAATGTAGCTGTGTCTTTCTTGCATACAAGGTCAGAACCCCATTGCGCTTAATCTGCTGGTATAAAACTTCAACCTTCAATTCTGAACCTTCTTATTAACTAGTACCAGGACAATCTCACCCCTCCATCCGCAAATTAACAAGCACCACGTCTTACACCCTTCAGTACAGGAACATCCACAGCTTCGTGAACTCCATCCCTCCAGTCACAGTCACACGGCTCACCTTGTTATTCTGGTTGCAGTCCAGCTTGAGGAACACCACGTCCTGCATCTCCTCTGCCAACGCCTCCACCTTGGGCGCCAGCAGCTTGCACGGCCCACACCTGCCGTGCAGCCATCGGGATTTTGGCAGAGCAGGAGAAAAAACACACGTTGGGCCGTGCTCGAACAGCATTCAGTTGAAACCTACAGCGCGTTGTAGGGGCATGGCATTGAGCTTGCTTAGAATTCACTTTGTGTTCGACGGTCGGGAAGAGCGGGAGATTGAACTAACGAGACTGTCGGCCTTTTGAAGAGGGCGACAGTAACGCACCACTGGGTGTACATATCGAGCACGACGAGCTTGTCCGCCGCCGCCGCTTTCTCGAGCTCGGGGTAGAAAGAGTCCTTGTCCACCTCCATCATCCGCGACGTCGCCTGCGCTGCCTCCGCCGTCTGCGCCGCTGCTGCGTCCCCTGCATCCGCCCGCACTCTGCTGGCCTTACTCACAGCCGCTGGAGCGTATTAAGGGGGAAGACATGACAGACGACGGGAAGCGGTGATTTTTACTGATTATGTCAACGATATCGCCGTGCATCGTCATGTACGGGCGACGACGAACGAACATTGGGTGGTACGAATGTTTCTCACGTCGGGCATTCAACTGACCATTTTCACGTTGCTGGAAAACAACGGCGTTTGATTTCAAGCTTCTTGTGCTGCTTGGGAACAGGGACGACGCAACCGTGCTCAATTTTGTCCCGCTCGAGGAGCGCTGCACCAATGCTCCAGTTGAAGCGGTGACAGGAGCCGCAGCCACGACTACCAGTGCCATATCTGCCGGAACGACTAAGGACCTGTCGTAACGCGACGAGGTAAAACCGACGGATAGACGAGGCAAGGACTGGGATGAGAGCACAGCACGAATGCTGAGACAGTCAATTCCACTGACCAGAAAAACGGAATTCAATGGAGCTAGGAGATAGATTGGAGGAGGAAGTCCACACCAGGTGGTGTTCTTTGTAACACAGATTCTGCCACACAAACGAACAGCTGAGGGGCGAGCAGAAAGGATCAGGCAAGGACCTGTAGAAGGCAGACAAGTTGGTGGTCGTTGGGCCAAAACTCCCTGCTGATTGGATGGAGGGTGATTGTCTGGCAGCCAGAGTGTGCCAGCGGAGCCACCAGTGTGGCACAGCCTCGAGATTTGTCAAGGCACTGACGTGGAGTGTCGTCAGAATGTCTCGTGCCGTAACCTGCCAGCCACAAGTCAGGCCGAAGGATAGCAATCGCAGCTGACGTGTACGCATCGACGAGGGCAGAAGGTTTCGAATCTCCTAGGCCAGTGGAAGCCTATCAATGGGTGAACTGGAATTTCAGGACTTACGCAGTGTGCTGTTTACAGAAATTGGTGCGTTATAAGATATCCTTCAACCCTGCTCTGACAGCCCTGAAGTGAAGCTGGCATGTTAGTCTCGGAATTTGGTGTAATCCCTAAGTGTTACACGCCGCACTGTCAAATCTCCCAACCACGCAATAAGCCACACGAACGCTTCATATCGCGTGAAATCCATTTGTAGGCTCAAATCGCCCCTACCATGTTGAAGCCATTTTGCTCGAGACTCCTCTTGCCATCATGAACCATAATGGCCAGTCGCGGCGCGAGTAGTTCATCCTCAGCAACGAGCCCGTAGTTATCGCCAGGAAGGACCCACGTCGGCCTCCCCTCGCCTGCCTGCTCATGGCAGCTGCAGAAGCCGCATCGTATCTCATCAGTCTCACCCTCTCCCCCGATCAAGCCAACCATTGCCTATCCCGTTGCCCGCGCCTCGCCGAGCCGAGTACCCTCAACAATCAGCGGGAAGTCGTCGCATTTCTCTTAGACGACCTACATTTCTCCGCCAAGGCCCTTCCGCCGCTCCTCCGCCGCTGCCCGCAGCTCCTCGCGTACAGCGTCCCCGAAAAGCTCCGCCCAGCCGCGGAGTGCCTCCGCGGAGTGGGGTTCTCCGCGCGGGACCTCCGCCGCGCGATCGCGCATTTTCCCGGGATCCTCGTGCGCAGCATCGAGGAGAAGCTCTGCCCGCTGCTCGCGCTCCTGCAGCACCTCGATATTGCCGAGGAAAAATGCCGACGCGTGATTCTCGCCTGCCCGCGGCTCGTCAGCTACAGCATCGACGACAAAATGCGGCCGCTCGTTCTCTTCTTCCAATCCCACCTGCCCTTCTCGCCGTCGCAAGTCGGACGTATGGTTACCCGATGCCCGCAAATCCTGGGATGCAATTTCGAGAAACAGATCATTCCCGCCATTGGGCATCTGCGTGGAATAGGTCTCGTAGAAGATAAACTACTTAATCTCCTCTTACACCACCCGTACATCCTTTGCCGAAGCGTCGGGAAAACCCTCGAGCCGCGGACCGATTTCCTCCTGTCTCTAGGGTTCACACGAGCTGACGTGGCAAGGATCGTCGCAGAGTTTCCGCCAGTCCTGACGAAACACGTGGACAACGATCTGCGCCCAAAAGTGGCGTACCTGGAAGGACCCATGGGAAGAAGCGTGAGAGAGGTTTTGGGGTTTCCGCGGTTTTTCTCGTTTAGCTTGGCACGGCGAATTATTCCCAACCACAAGAAAATTCAGAGCAGAGGACGTGAAGACTGGACACTCGTAGAGTTGTGCAAGAAGAGCGTGTGATCAGGGTTCCGGGTTTAAGGATGTTATCATGTCTGATGGATAGCCCAGCCGCAACTTCTCCAGCAGCCGCTCTAGATGGCAAGTTGCTGCCTCTCTAGATGGCCTCTCTAGATGGTCTTTCCAGCAGGGGTTTGGATTGAAGGCTGCCAGTTCTATGCTTGTGCTTCCTAAAAGGATTGCTGAGAAAGGACCTCAACCAGATGGTTGGCTTGGCGGGTATGTTGCACTTATTGGTGTATATTATGTGCCATTCTTGCACTTCTACCTAAAACACCCCTCAGATCAGATCACGTAGTGCTATTCGTAGCCCATCAACTGCTGCTTACATACGCTAGCCACAGTCTGCCTAATCACAGGTAGGAACCACTGCTTGCTTCAGTTCGTCATACACATCACAACCACACTCACTGCGGCACTGCCTGCCTACAAAGCTCACTGCTGATACGACTATTCACTCTGCCAAGGAATCACTGCTTGCTTCGGTGCATGTACACAGCCACACCCACACTCACTGCTGCCACCGCTGTCACCGCCAGCATCGACACTGTGTACGCCCACATTGCATTGTCCCAACTTGAAGCCGCCGCACCTTCTTCCGAACCTGCACCATAGGCTCGGGACCGAGCCGGTGAGGCAGGCCCGGCGGATTTTCGTGGCGTGGATGGGCGAGGTGGGGTGGAAAGGTTGGTGCGACGAGAGCCGTTGATTTGCGATGGTGTGCGCTGGTGATGCGACGTGCGAAGCGATCCACGTTGTGACCCGTGTTGCGACCCGTGTTGCGACCCATGTTGCGATCCGTGCATGGAATGGGAGTCCGGGTCCTCATCATCGTGAAATTCAAGATGGAGCTTCAAACCCTGGTGGGGCAGAAAGAAGGGGGGGGGAAGGGGGGAGGGGAGGTGTGGCGGAGAGCGAAGGCAGGGGAAGTGGTGAGCAGCAGCCTGGGCTGCATGGAAGAAAGAGGATAGTGACGGGTACCAACAAAACATCACCAGAAGCAGCGCAGTAGCATAACAGGGGCAGAGCAACAGCAGCAACACAGGAGTGGGTTAGGAAAGAGTTCACGGTACCTTGATGCCGGTAGCTTTGGCGAACTTGACAGCCGCGTGCAGATCCTCGTCTGTAGAGATGACCACCATGTCATTGTCCTCGTCCGCGTACTGGCACATGGGGGTGAAGGGGCAGGTGTATGGGGTGATGGGGTTGCATTGAGCAACGAAATACTGGAGCATAAGTTTCGACAAACTTGACAGCCGCATGCAGATCCTCGTCAGTGCAGATGACCACCATGTCATTGTCCTCATCCGCGTACTGATGGGGATAGACGGACGGAGGGGCATGGGGGTAAAAGGCGCGAATGAAATGGTTAACTGGTGCATGTACGATGGAGGGTCCTCATCCGTGGATATGACCACCCTATCATTGTCCTCGTCCGCGTACTGGCGCATGGGGGGATGCGGGGCATGGAGGGGATGCTGATGGGGTGTTTAGGTAAGGTAACAGGTACATGTAAGAGAGGAGAATCTCATCAGTGGAGATGACCACCATGTCATTGTCTTCATCCGCGTACTGGCGCATGGGGGGATTGGCAGGGTTGCTGGCATGACAGTCCTTGACCAGGAATGGCCACAAACGACCAGAGAGAGATAGATGGCCCTCCAAGCCTCGACGCCACGGCGCACACCAGCTCCGTCATGCTCTCACTGCCCGCCGTGAACCGGTGCACGCACCCCCTCCGGTCCTCCAGCTTGAACCAGGATACAGGGAGGGGCGTGGGCGTGGCAACCCTTGACCAGGATAGACCGTTGGTTGCTGGGATGACAGTCCTTGGACCAGAAGTGACCAGCGGAGAGTGATGGACTCACGAGGATGGAGGGCGGGTTGTCGGGGTCATAGTCCCCTCCAAGCCTTGACGCCACGGCGCACACCAGCTCCGTCATGCTCTCACTGCCCGCAGTGAACCGGTGCACGCGCCCCCTCCTGTCCTCCAGCTTGAACGAAAACAGATCCTCGCCCAACCCCCCCACCATCGCTCCTCCAATTGCTCCTCCCATGGCTCCTCCGGCTCCCAGCGCCCCTGCACCAACTGCACCAGCAGGAGTAACACCTGCTCCCCCTGCTCCACCTGCTGCTGTTGCGCCGCCTCCTCTCCTCCTGCTGCCTGAGGGGCGCACCTGGTCCGACATGTCACTGCTGCGCACACTGTGGAGGTGGGGGAAAGGGAGAGAGGGAGAGAGTGGAGAGAGTGGAGAGGGAGACGACAACCTTATATATGGGCGCACCTGGTCCGACATATCGCTGCTGCGCACACTGTGGAGGTGGGGGAAAGGCGGGGAGGCAAGGAGTAGGGGAGAGGAGACAAGGACTTGTAGGGATGCACGAGGTCCGGCTAATCACTGCTGCACACACTGGGAGAACGGAGTGCAGGACGACGGTTCAGGCATAGCGCTCAGAAAGGATTGAAGCAGCCTCACTTCCCCGCAGTCTCACTCAACTCCCGCAAGTCTTAATCTCCCAAGCCCACCTCCCCCAAGTCGGACCTCCGTCAAATGCCACCTGTCCTGATTCCCACCTGGCGGTGTCTTCCTCGGTGTCAGCAGGCGGCAGGGCGAGGGCGGAGTCCCAGAAGCGCTGCATGAGCTGCCCCATGGCGTCACCACTCTCCGACCCCGACGCTGCCTGCGAGTTGGGTGCGGCATGTGGGCGTGCGGGTTTGGGCATGGGGCAACGAGCAGGGGGGCAAAGGAAGACATTAAGGCGAGGGCAGAGTCCCAGAAGCGCTGCATGAGCTGCCCCATGGCGCCCCCACTCTCCGACCCCGATGCTGCCTGCGAGGGAAATGCAGCGTGGGGCATGGGGCAACGAGCAGGGGGGCAATGGAAGACATTAAGGCGAGGGCAGAGTCCCAGAAGCGCTGCATGAGCTGCCCATTGCGTCGCCGTTCTCTGAACCTGATGCTGCCTGCGAGGCATGGGAAACAGGAACGGGGCGAGAGGCATGGAACGGGGGGAACGCGGCATGAGGCATGCAGCATGGGCCAAAGGGCATGGGTGAGGTATGGAGCGAGAGGTACGGAGGAAGAGGTATGGAGCAAGAGGCAAGGAGCAAAAGGTATGGATCAAGAGGTATGGAGAAAATGGAGCAAGACGCATGGAGTAAAAGGTATGGAGCAAGAGGTATGGAGCAAAAGGTATGGAGCAAGAGGTATGGAGCAGGAAGGCATTCCTGATGCAAGGTCAACACGAGTGGAAGGGGACTCACCGCAGCGGAGGACATGGCGCCTTGAGTGAGCTGAAGCACATCTACACATGCGACACAGTTGCCATCTGTGCCCAAGCCACCCATGGCACCGCACCAAATGCCACCACACCAGCATGCCACCACACCACATTCCACCACACCACATTCCACCACACCACATTCCACCACACCACATTCCACCACACCACATTCCACCACAGCACATTCCACCACAGCACATGCATGCAAACACAGCAAGGGGAAACAAGAGTGCACGTTTGAAGCAGTGACAGTGGGGTGAGGAGGAAGTGAAAATGGGGTGCAGGAGTGACACGGTGGATGGTGTGACTGGAGGCTTCTATTAAGCTAGTGACCAGGGGTGAATGAATGGTCGACAACAGGGAGGTGCGGGAACCTACTGTCATGCATGCATGGTGTGTAGGGCGTCCACCACGGGCGTCATATTGCTCACCTTGTGTCCCACAGAGACGGCCTGAGACATGGGAAAGCATCATGCATGCATGCATGCATGACATGGTGTGTTGGTGCTCTCTCAGTCTCACATTGGCAAGGCACGTGTCTAAGCAACCGAGGTGACTTTTGAGTCGACTCAAAAGTCGTCTCGCATTGGCCAGGCACGTGTCTAAGCAACCGACCTGAGACATGGAAAAGCATCTCACCTGGGTCAACCACGGGGAGGTGCAGGAAGCGGCTATCGTGCATGGTGTGAAGGGCAAGGGGTGCTAAGGGTGCTCAGGCGTCTGAGCAACTCACCTGGTTCCACAACGGGGAGGTGCAGGAAGCGGCCGTCGTGCATGGTGTGAAGGGCGTCCACCACGGGCGTGCTCACCTTGTGTTGTGTCCCACAGAGAGGGGCCATGAGGTGCCTGGATGTCCGTCTGACCTGTGTCAGTCACTCACCTGGGTCGACAACGGGGAGGTGTAGGAACCTGCCGTCGTGCATGGATGGTCGTGCATGCATGGTCGTGCATGCATGGTCGACCACTGGCGTTCTCACCTTGTGTTGCCTCCCGCGGTACCATGAGGTGCCTGGATCTCTGACCTGAGAAACGGAAAAGCATCTCACCTGGGTCGACAACGGGGAGGTGCAGGAAGCGGCCGTCGTGCATGGTGTGAAGGGCGTCCACCACGGGCGTGCTCAGCAGCACACACTCTGGGTTCGGCGTCATCACCTGCAGTGCAGTGCGGTGCAATGAGGTACAGAACCGTGCAGCGCGCAGACATGAGGACATGGGAAGAGTCGGTACTGGGGATAGAGATGGATGGATGATGAACACATGAATAGTTACATTACATCCCTCTTAGCGGATGCTTGAGAATGAGAAACACATAAAACTGAATGTCATTGCTTTTAAGCCCCCATGTTCCATGAAAGATGGAGCAAGGTTTGCTTGCTTGTGGACCGTTCGAGAAACCAAGAGTGCTTGCGCTTGCCTTGTCTACAAGGGTGGTGTTCGGGTGCAGGTTGACTGCGAGCACTTGAGAAATGGTGTAGGCTTTTCTTTCACTTGCTTGTGGGCCCTTGTGAAAAACGCGAGTGCGTGCTTGCCTTGTCAACGAGGGTGGTGTCTGGATGCAGGTTGAGTGCTAGCACTCGCGTGAGAATGTCCTTGGACCTGATGGGCGTGGGGGGGAAGGCAGGTGTGTGGGGGAAGGGACATGAGAAAGGGAAAAGGGGCGAGGGGGCATGAGAGAGGGTCATGGGGCGAGGCACAGGGAGAGGTACTTGAGGTGCAGGTGAGTGCGAGCACTCGCGTGAGAATGCCCTTGGATTTGAGGGGCGTGGGGGAGGGCGTTGTGGGCATGGGGCGTGTGAGAGGCGTGGCGTGGAGGGAAGAAGGGGCATGAGGGGAGAGGCTACGGGAACACAACATCCACAGAGCGCCAGCTTGTCAAGGCAACGCCTCTTCAAAGCACACGCGAGAGAGGAAATCTACGCATTGAAATATAAAATACCAGAAATGTCCAGCTAGTCACGACAACAGTTTCCCACAATGATCAACAAAGCCCAGCCACGCCCAGCAAAGCCCAACAAGACCCAGCAACACCCAAGGACGCACGTGAGGATGCCACAGGGGCGGTTGGTGGCGCCGTTGGTGACAATCACTGAGCTCACTCGGCTCTCCCTCATCCTCCTCGCTGCCGTGCGCACCAGGTCCGTCTTGAGTACTGTGGCCAGCCTGCCAGACATTGGGGGACAGATGTGTGAGGTGCGCAAAGAGTGAGGGAGGGGCACAGCGAGCTCACTCGGCTCTCCCTCATCCTCCTCGCTGCCGTGCGCACTAGGTCCGTCTTGAGTACTGTGGCAAGTCTGTAAGGCGTGGATGGGATGGATAATGAGTGAGTGAATGAGTGCGTGCGTGAGTGAGTGAGGGGCAAAAGGGCTTTGTCAAGCACAAGCCACTCACCTGGGTTCTTCCCCTAGCACTGTCGCGAGCGTGGGTCGGAACACCTTGTCTTCTCAGTTGACCCAAGAGTCACCTCGTGACAACCAAAATCGTCAGCGGGTGGAGTGTGCGCACCTGGGTTCTTCCCCTAGCACAGGGGCAAGTGTGGGTCGGATCACCTTGTCTTCTCAGTTGACCCAAGACTCACCTCGTGGGAATGGCATCACAAGCGGGTGACGTGAAGGGAAGGGCGCACCTGGTTTCTCCGCCAAGCACTGTTGCAAGAGCGGCCGAAACACCTTGTCTTTCCAGTTGACCCAAGAGTCACCTCGTGACAACCAAAATCGTCAGCGGGTGGAGTGTGCGCACCTGGGTTCTTCCCCTAGCACAGGGGCAAGTGTGGGTCGGATCACCTTGTCTTCTCAGTTGACCCAAGACTCACCTCGTGGGAATGGCATCACAAGCGGGTGACGTGAAGGGGAGGGCGCACCTGGTTTCTCCGCCAAGCACTGTTGCAAGAGCGGCCGAAACACCTTGTCTTTCCAGTTGACCCAAGAGTCACCTTGTGACAACCTAAATCGTCAGCAGGCGGGTGGAGTGCGCGCACCTGGGTTCTTCCCCCAGCACAGTGGCAAGTGTGGGTCGGATCACCTTGTCTTTCCAGTTGACCCAAGACTCACCTCGTGGGAATGGCATCACAAGCGGGTGACGTGAAGGGGAGGGCGCACCTGGGTTCTTCCCCTAGCACTGTCGCAAGTGCGGGCCGGAACACCTTGTTTTTTCAGTCGACTCACAAATCACTCTGTGGCAACAAAATCGTCTACAGGTGGGTGGCTGCACGCACCTGGGTTCGTCCCCCAGCACTGTCGCGAGTGTGGGCCGGAACACCTTGTCCCGAAACGTCTCCACGAATCCCATGGCTGCTCGCAGGTGGGAGGAGGAGGGAAGGGGGGAGAGAGCAGAGGAAAAGCACGGATTGTGAGACAAGGAGCAGAAGGGGAAAGATGGCTTTTGAAACTTCTGAGAGGAGTTGACAAGAGAAGAGTGTGGGGGAAGAGTGTGGGGGAAGAGTGTGGGGGAAGAGTGTGGGGGAAGAGTGTGGGGGAAGAGGGCGTGTGGCTTAGAAAGATACACTCACTCGATACGCCTTTTACATTTTCTATTTAGTCTACCACCAACCGGCGTTGCCCCCCCACTGCCTCTCCACGCCCTCCATGGCAGCAGCGAGGGCATGCCCCTTCTCTGCTGCTCCCTCCATCTCACATGCACACATGCACACACTGCCCCCCACTGACTGTGTTACCTACCGGCGTTGCCCCCCCACTGCCTCTCCACGCCCTCCATGGCAGCAGCGAGGGCATGCCCCTTCTCTGCTGCTCCCTCCATCTCACATGCACACACGCACACACTGCCCCCCACTGACTGTGTCACCCACCGGCGTTGCCCCCCCACTGCCTCTCCACGCCCTCCATGGCAGCAGCTAGCGCGTCGCCCCTCTCAGCAGCGCGCTCCATCTTGGCAATGGCGTCGTACAGACACCGCGTGATGTCCAGCAGTGCCACCACCTCGCCCTCCTCTATCACTGGCAGGTGGCGGAACCTCCCTGGGAGGTTGCGAATACGAGGGTTGGGACAAGGCACATGAACGCAGCAGAGCACTGAAGGCGAATTACACTCAACACCGCGTGATGCCCAGCAGTGCCACCACCTCGCCCTCCTCTATCACTGGCAGGTGGCGGAACCTCCCTGTGGGGGTGGCAAAAGGAGGGTTGGGCAAGAGTACGTGAATGCATGTGGGGGCATGTGCATGCACATCCTCACACCGCGTGATGCCCGGCAGTGCCACCACTTCTCCCTCCTCTATCACTGGCAGGTAGCGGAACCTCCCTGTGGGGGTGGCAATGGGGTGGGTGCAGGCATGTGGGAGCACGTGAGGGCATGTGAGGGCATGTGAGGGCATGTGAGGGCATGTGAGGGCATGTGAGGACATGTGAGGGCATGTGAGGGCATGTGAGGGCATGTGAGGGCATGTGAGGGCATGTGAGGGCATGTGAGGGCATGTGAGGGCATGTGAGGGCATGTGAGGACATGTGAGGGCATGTGAGGGCATGTGAGGGCATGTGCAGGAGAATGAATGCGGGGAGATTAAAGACGAATTACCTCAAACACAGGTGTAATGGCCAGCAGAGCCACGCGTTACATCTCATTCCCCTGCACTATGCCTGCCATTTCAACCGTTGCACCAAACGTTACATCTCACCCAGCTTGCACTATGCGTTACATCTCGTCTCACCCTGCACCACGCGCGTTCCAGCTCACCCTGCACCACGCGTTACATCTCACCCTGCACCATGCGTTGCAGTGCGTCCACAGCAGACGAGTCAATAGTAACGAAGGTGGGGTTCTTGGTCATCACTGCTGACGCCAGCGTGCTGTTCACATCCAGGCCCTCGCCCACACACTTCAACGCCAGGTCCTGCAAGCAACCGCAGCAGAGGGAGAGGGAGGGCGGGGGGAAAACGAGTCAATGGTGACGAAGGTGGGGTTCTAGGTCATCACTGCCGACGCCGGCGTGCTGTTCACGTCCAGGCCCTCGCCCACACACTTCAACGCCAGGTCCTGCAACCCAGAAAGAGCACCCACACAGACGCACACACAGATCAGTGAGGGTGGGGGGAAGGTGAGGTTCTCGGTCATCAACGACGACGCCAGTGTGCTGATCACATCCAACCCCTCGCCCACGCACTTCAATGCCGGGTCCTGCAACCCATAGCAGCCTTTACGCACACAAACACAGATCAGTGAGGGAGGAGGGAAGCGGGGTTCTTAGTCATCACAGCTGACGCCAACGTGCTGTTCACGTCCAACCAACCCCTCGCCCACACACTTCAATGCTAGATCCTGCAAACAGAGCAGAGTGAGGGAGGGAGAAGAGAGGAGTAAAGAGAGGAAAAGAAGAGGAGAAGGAGAGAAGAGGAGAGGGGTACTAAATAAAAAAGACAAATGCAGCAAGACACCACTGTAATCGCTGTAAGAGTGACGCGATCCGAAATGACGCACGACGATTGCCTGTACTCGCTATAGGACTGTCTGACCCACCCGATCCGTCATGATGCCACAAAGCAGCGCGCTGGAGTCGGTGAGCAGGCACGCGTCCACGCGGCGGTTGGCCATTCGCCGACACGCGTCCGCCACTGTCGTGGTGTCGGGCAGCGTTAGCGCCTTTGACAGCCTCAGGCGCCGCACTGCTCGCTCACCCGCTGCTGTGCCGCTGAGCGGAGGGAGGGAGGAGAAAGGCAAGGTACGCAGTGAAGGAAAGGAAAGAGAGAATGGAGAGGTGACGTGGCGAACAAGAAGGGAATGAGTGGAAGGATCGAGTGTGGACGAGGCGGACCGTAAAAAGGGCGGGGGAGTCCAACCCGATGATGTGCCAAGGCGATGATGATACGCCAGAAGATCTTTAGCCTTTGATCGACTGTAGGCATATAAAATAAACTTCGAGATCTACGTGCGCATTACCTGGATCGCCCGTGGGAATCAGAACGATCACCTATACCTCGGTCGGAATCACGTCATTGTCTGTCTAAGAAATCGCCCAATCACCTCGATCCACCCTTGCTCGCGCCACTCCGCCGGCTGCCGGTGGAGCGCTTGCTCGACTTCTTCGACGCATCGCGCGACCCGTCCCCCGCTCCGCCTCCCCGCGCCGCGTTCATGGCTCGCGATCCGCAACGAAACGACAGGACAGCCTCGCGCGGTTCGAATAAATGCCTTAAAGACCAGCCGGAAAAACCAAGGCTAAACCGTGAGGTTCGACGGCATCCGATCCGAACTAATGAACAATGAAGACGTCCGTCTGTTCTTCTAGAAAGAGCCGAGATGAAGAACCTACTTCTCCTGAGCTTCTGAGCATGTGAGGCAACTTCTAAGGTGCGTGCTTCTGACTTTCGAGGTTTGCTTTGCGCATAACTTTTTAAAGTGGTGTTTGGCCTTGCCCCTCGAAGTTGGTGTGTGAATTTTCTGTCATACTCGCCGTAAATATGCTCGATAATGCTTTACAATTTCCTGCTTGTAGCGCTATCATACACTTAGTATACACCCATCGATTTCGACAAATTGAGTTCTGTGGTCAGCTGACATTTCATTCAACAGATGTGTCGGTCGCGGCTCGCTCCGCAAGCATCCTTTGAGTTCGGCGAAAGGTCCATTGGATTCGTCAACCGCGCAGACCGCTTCGCAACTTGCGTTCGCCGAGCCGCGAAGGGGGACTACAAATTCGTTCGAATTCGCTGAGAACAATCACACTGCAAATCTCGCCCCATCCTCCTCTGGGCTGGATTCACCAGACCATCATCATCCATCCACAATTCCCTTTCCGCCAGCTATTTCTCACACACACCAGCAGCGCGTGAGTTACATTCGAATCCGAATCCTCATATTCCACATACCGTAGCTCTCCCATCAACATAAGGTTTCTCCCCTGTTCGCTAGTACTCACCATGGCTCGTGCTGCTATCCTTTTCGCCATCCTCTCTCTCCTCGCCGTCGCCGCCACGGCGTGCAATGTCCCGCCTGGCGGGTGCCACGTCACCAAGGTGTGCCAGAAGCTCGTCAATCTCGAGAAATACAACATCACGGAGCAAAATTTCCGCAAGTACTCGCTGATTGGCTACTTCAAGGGCATGTTCAACAGCCAGGGCGGCAAAGTGAAACCCCAGAAGCCCGGATCAGGCCCCCTGAACCTCGAGATCTTCCAGGAGGTGGGAAATTTCGTCGAGGTGGTAACCAGCACCAAGGGCAACACCCTCGCCAAGTGCTGCGCGGCGTGCGCGAAATCCATGGACTGTTACGAGTACCACTTTTTCGTGAGCCCTCGTATCGAGGACAACGCGAACGTGAAGAACTTCCGCGACGGCGTGCAGTGCTACCTGCTGCAGAAAAACGCGGGCACGGGCATGTCAGGCGGCCTGTCCCACCCGTACGCAGGTGACAGGAAGGAGCAGGCGGCCATGGCGCCGTATTTCCCGCTGAGCTGGGTGGGCGGGCTGTGCAACGGCAAGGCGACGGTGGAAAACGACCCGCACCTGACGGGCGCACACGGGACGCACTTTGACTTCACTGGACGGCTGAACAAGGCGTTCTGCCTGCTGTCGGACGAGCGTGTGCATGTCAACATGCTGCTCGATGGGTACCAGGGCATTCCTCCTGCTGTGGCTGGTGCTGCTTCTGCTGCTGCTGTTGCGCCTAGCACTGGCCTGCACACCTGGATCAAGTATGGTGTTCATGGCGCCTCTGGTGCTTCTGTTTCTCTTTATCTTTCTCCTCTCTTTCTTTCTCCTCTCATTGCTTCCTGCTGTGACTTCCCTGCGGGTTTTCTTTCGGCTCATGAGATTGCTTGCTTTTCTCATTTCCTCTGGCTTTTCCGTTCCCTAATTTCACCGTCCCCATGCTCCTCCTGATCTTCTCCTGTGTGCTGTGTGGCCACAGGGAGGTGGGAGTGGTGTGGGTGTCATCTGGCGGCAAGCAGCACTCGCTGCGCATGGTGGCGCGCACAGGCAACCAGCAGGACAGGGGGGCCAACGGCTTCCTCGCTCTCATGCAGGTGGACGGCGCTGACGTGGCACCACCTCGCCTCATGGAAGAAGCAGTGGAGGCGGAGGGGGGAGTGGTGGTGACCAAGGTGGCGGAGGGGCGGGAGGGGCTGTTTGACGTGGATCGCTACACGGTGTCTCTGGAGGGAGTGGGTGAGCTGGACGTGCGCATGCGCGTGGCGCACCCCCTGCTGCAGACTCCTGAGGAGGCGGAGGCTCACTTCAACATTGCTCTTACTGACATTGTGGTGAGTCTGCTTTTCAGTCGACTCAAAAGCTGACATGCCCACAGACTGCATCTGCCTTGCATTAACCCCTGTGACTCACTGCCTGGGCTCCCCCTTGGCCTCAACTCTCCATCTCCCTTTCCTCTTGTCCTCTCCTCCCCTTCCCCTCTCCCCCCGCCCACCACCCACCCCACAGACCACCCCTGCGGTGCACGGGGTGTTGGGTCAGTCAGACCTTCCGTGATACCCCCGAGCAGCAGAGCAGGGAGCTGCGCTACACGCACCTGTCAGCGCTGCTGCACCACCCCATCGCCGCGGACCAGGAGGAGGGGCGGGGCTTCAATGACACCTCATACCTCGTCAAACTCCACTTGCCAGAACCCCACATCTCCCCCATCCCCTTGTCCTCTCCTCCCCTCCCTTCCCTACCCACCTCCCCCACACCCCCCACCCCACCCCACCCTCCACAGACCACCCCTGCGGTGCACGGGGTGTTGGGTCAGACCTTCCGCGACACGCCCGAGCAGCAGAGCAGGGCGCTGCGCTACACGCACCTGTCGGCGCTGCTGCACCACCCCATCGCCGCGGACCAGGAGGAGGGGCGGGGCTTCCTGGACGGCAGCGTGGAGGACTATGTGTCGTCCGCCATCACCGTGCCTGACTGCCGCTTCTCCGCCTTTGCCGGCCGCCAGGGGGCTGCTGCGGTTTCTGGTGGCGCTGCTGCGGTTTCTGGTGGCGCTGCTGCTAGTGGGACTGGTGCTGGTGCTGTTGTGGTTACTGGTGCTGGTGCTGTTGCGGTTACTGGTGCTGGTGCTGCAGGGAGTGGTGGTGCGGATGGGGAGGAAGCTACAGAGGATGTTCTGGCCAGCGTGGTGTAGAGAGACGCGAACAACAGAGCAGAGCATCATGGGCGAGTAGGAATGGAGGAAGAGAGCCGTGGAGCAATTTTTGGCAGATGTGACTACAACGAAGCTGCAGCTGGAAGGAGGGGGGGTGCTTGCAGCAGGAGGTGACTGTAACGAAGGAAAGAGGAAGACGACCTGTTGGCAGGGCTGCAAGCACCGCCGAATAAGGCAGCCAGGAGAACAGAGCCGTGTCAGTACCGTTATTACAGTTACAGGAGCAGGAATAGCAGCAGTAGTAGGATGCATGTAGTGTCAGGAGTGCCTGCTGTGCGCAGCAGGTAGCTCGCTTGCTTGCTTGTACCTCAGACCTTGTATATACGCCCCAATGTGTGTTTGCACCTCGCTTCACTATTTATGAGCAGTACAGCTTGCGTCACTATTCACGAACACCCAAATCTGGCTATCGAATCTCCCCCCACCACTCATCTCTCTCCACCACTTTTCACCACTCACAACGCAGCTTTTCGGCCTTTGGAAAAGCGAAGGCTGCGCCTGGGACCTGCTTCTGCCCCTGCTGCCGCTTCTTCCTCTGCTTCCTCTGAATCCTCTCCACCCTCTCTCCTTGTGGCGTCACCATGCTTACCAGGCCCACTGTGCTTGAAACGGTCCCAGGAATCAGAGGGGGAGACGGCAGGAGGGGCAGAAACGGCAAGAACGAGGGTGGTTTCAGGCCCATCCAGTGTGGGCGCTACAAGATACAGTGGGTCCGCAGTGGGTGCGGTGGTGAGATGCGACAGGGCGTCGGGTGTCGACGTCTCTGGTGCGGTTGTGCTTGGAGGGAGAGGGAGAGGAGGAGGAGGACCGGGAGGAGGGGCCGGGAGGCGGGGGAGAGAGGCAGAGGGGCAGAGCGAGAGGGAGGCGAGGAGGCAGGAGGAGCAGCGGGGGCCGATGGGCAGGCAGGTGGTTTGGCCGAAGCCCACTAGGAGCGGGTTGATGCCCATCCACTCGTCCCTTGGTAGCAGCTGCTCAAGCGCTCGCCGCGTGTCCTCTGGTGTCTTTGCCTGGGGAGGTCATGGCAGGTGAGGGAGGGGAAAGAGGGCAGGCAGGTGGATTGACCGAAGCCCACTAGGAGCGGGTTGATGCCCATCCACTCGTCCCTTGGCAGTAACTGCTCTAGAGCTCGTCTTGTGTCCTCTGGTGTCTTGGCCTGGGGTGTCAGTGGAGGGAGTGACAGGGTGCACATGGGGGCAGTGGTAGCACATGACACATGCATGCAGGAGCACATGAGCACATGCGCACATGAGCACATGAGCGCATGAGCACATGAGCACATGAGCACATGCGCACATGAGCACATGAGTGCATGAGCACATGCGCACATGAGCACATGAGCGCATGAGCACATGCGCACATGAGCGCATGAGCACATGAGCACATGAGCACATGAGCACATGAGTGCATGAGCACATGAGCACATGAGCACATGAGCGCATGAGTGGATGGGTGATTGGATGCACTGCATGCAAACGTACCTTGGCATCCGTCCACCCCAGGCGCCGCGCTATGCGGTGCACATGAATGTCCGCTCCACACATTGATGCCTTCCACACCACATGGAAATATGGGCTCATGGGCGCATAAGGCATTCAGGCACACAGGCATGTGCGCACCTTGGCATCCGTCCACCCCAGGCGCCGAGCTATCCTGTGCACGTGAGTGTCCACACATATGCCCTCCACCCCACACAAGTATGGGCACATGGGTGGGCGGATGGGCATAGAGGCATGTAAGCACACGCAAACATACGCACGTTACCACATGCCTACCTTGGCATCCGTCCACCCCAGGCGCCGAGCTATCCTGTGCACGTGAGTATCCACACATATGCCCTCCACACGCTCCCATGCCACGTTCATCACCTGTGGCACAGGCACACGCACAGGGCATGACGCAAGGAACATGGGGTATGGTGGGGCATGGAAGGAACATGTGGGCGCATGGGTAACTGGATGTGCAGAGGATAAATTCTGTGAGTGAGTGAGTGCCCACACAGATGCCCTCCACTAGCTCCCATGCCACGTTCATCATCTGTGCGACAGGGCATGGGGCATGGGGCATGGGGCATCACCTCGCTCTCTCTCCCGCATTTCCCCAACCTCCCCATCTCTCACCTCACCACCCACACGCACCAAGTAGGCCATCTTAGGCCCGACGCCGGGCAGCGCAAGCAAATCTTCCAGGCTGCCCGGGATGTCTCCCCCGTGCTTCTCCAGGCAGATATTGGCCATTTTCTTCAGGTACCCCGCCTTGCGCACGTAAAATCCCACCTTTTAAGACAGGTGAGAGAGGGATGGGGAGGGGTGACGAAGGACGAGGAGGGGTGGGGAGGGATGCCTCTGGGTGGAAGCAAAGTCAGAGGCAGAAGCAGGGATGAGGAAAGAACAGGCGGTTGTGCGAGATAGATGAGGGATGGGAAGAGAGGAGATGATGGAGAGAGAATAAGAGGGAATTGAAAGGAAGTGGGGATAGGAAGAAAGGGATGTCATGTATGGTGCATACATGACAAGGTCATGACTCATAGCGCAGAAGTGGTCTGATCTGACCAAGACATACCGGGTAGATGGTTTGGCTGATGGTCGCTTCGTCTGCTGCCTTGAGCGCGTCAGGCGACAACAGCCCTGCTGCATGCATCCGTGCCACTGCACCTGGTGGTGCGGTGGTGGTGGTTGGAAGAAAATTAGGTTTTAGAGTGGACTCAGGCCAGCATTGCCGACAGTAGCCCTGCTGCTTGCAGACGTGCCACTTCGCCTGGTGGTGGATGGAGGAGAGTGGGGGGAAAGGGGAGGGAGGATTGAGGGAAAGGATGAAACGGGAATGGTTGTCAGGGCAATGGAGGTGAGGGAAGGGTGGGAGAGGGACGATGGGATGTTAGGGTGGGGATGGGAGATAAGGCAAAAGGGAATGGTGGAGAAAAAGGCACATGCCACAACGGTGGCGAATGTCACTGTGTTAGGCACAGCGTGGTACGCACAGCGAGGCACCATGGCCCATGGGTGACTGGCAAGGCAATAGTACCGCGTACACCTAGCATGTGGCGGTCGGTACTGCAATGGTGCTCGTGTACGCAACGGGTGTGACGGGCGCACAGTGCTGTGGGCGGCAATGGGCGGCACAGCACAGGACCTTGCAATGGGCGGCAGGTGGCCTTCCAAGCGCCCATGCACGATGGGGCGTCCACATGCGAGGAGAGCATGGTCAGCCTTGCCACACGTCACCGCGAGTGACAGGCGCATGCAATGGGTGCTGCACGCACCTTGAGTGACAGGCGCATGCAATGGGTGCTGCACACACTGCGAGTGACAGGCGCATGCGATGGGTGCTGCACGCACTGCGAGTGACAGGCGCATGCAAAGGTGCTGCACGCACTGCGAGTGACAGGCGCATGCAATGGGTGCTGCACGCACTGCGAGTGACAGGCGCATGCAATGGGTGCTGCACGCACTGCGAGTGACAGGCGCATGCAAAGGTGCTGCACGCACTGCGAGTGACAGGGTTCTTGGTCTGCGAGGAGAGCATGGCCGACAGCAACACGGGTGCATGGCACCATGCATGGCACCATGCTCTCATGCATGCATGGGTGCATTATTACCACAGTGCAGCACACGCCCCTGCAGTACCCTTGCTGCACGCACCGTGAGTGACAGGATCCTTGGTCTGCGAGGAGAGCATCGCCGACACCAGCACTGCAAAGCGCCGCTGCTGCTCGCAGGAGCGGGGGAAGAGGAGAGACGGGCGATGGGAGAGGAGAGAAAGGCGAGGGCGAGAGTGTAAGGGGACGAGGGAGGAGGAAGCAAGGGGAGGGAGGAGAGGGGAGGGTGGGAAAAGGATGTGAGAGCGATGCAAAGAGAGAGAGTAAACCATTCCTCTGCGACAACTATTTCCCAGGTGCAATTTTCCCTGTTCTTAAATTCCCTGTTCTTAAAATCCCTGTTCTTATAACAAATAAGAAGTTATTTGAGTAACTCCCACCTTCTCCCACATCCCCGGTGCCTTGACCCACCTTCTCCCCCATGCCCTGCCCTGCCTTGACCCACCTTCTCCCCCATGCCCTGCCCTGCCTTGACCCACCTTCTCCCCCATGCCCTGCCCTGCCTTGACCCACCTTCTCCCCCATGCCCTGCCCTGCCTTGACCCACCTTCTCCCCCATGCCCTGCCCTGCCTTGACCCACCTTCTCCCCCATGCCCTGCCCTGCCTTGACCCACCTTCTCCCCCATGCCCTGCCCTGCTTTCTCACACCCCATGGTATCAACAGGCGCGTCTCCCCCACTCCGCATCTCCTTGATCGCACCCACCACCTCCTGCCACCTCCCCACTCCCGCCCTTTTTGCCTGCCCACCGGAGAATCTTTTCGGCTGCCCGGCGACAACTATTTCATCCCCAGCTCTGCTATCTGCGTCTCTCCCTGCTGGTTGTCTTCGTTTCCTCCTGCCCCTGCCACCACCCCAAGCAGCCTCGGTTACAGCCATTCCTTGAGTCTCGGCTACTGCCGTTCCATCAGTCTTGGCAACAGGCATGCCATCAGCCTCAGTCAAAGCCAAACCTTCAGCTTTGGTTAAAGCCATGCCTTCCGCCCCGGCTACAGCCATTCCATCAGCCTCGGGTCCACGTGCTTCTCTGCCTGCCATGTCGCCCAGATCCTCTCTCTTCACAATCACATCCTCCGCCTCCTTCTTTACAGTCAACTCACCCCCTTCACCTCCTCTCGTTACAATCACACCACCGCCGCTCGTTGCAGTCCCATCATCAGACTCTCGCTTCACAACCACAGCACCTGCTTGTTGCGTTACAATCACCTCCTCTAACTCCCCCTTCGCAACCACTTCGTCCGTTTCCCTCTTTACAGTCACACCCGTTCGCTGCATTGCAGACCTGCGCCTCGAGGCCTGCATTGCCTCTTGACCGTTTCCGTTACTGTCATCTTCTTTACAGTCCTCTTCGTACTGCACAATTATTGCCGGCTTTCTCTCCCCCCGTGCGCGCCTGCTGTAAACTCTTGTGCCGGACGGCGGTACACTCTCTGATGCTTCACCATCCATTGCACGTTCGCGAATCCCTGCCGGCCAATCGCCTCCTGCCGGCCCGCCACTGACAGCGCCAACGTGCGCAAAGCGCATGAATTCGTTCATCGGCGCGCGGAAAAGCGTAATGCGCGCACGGGAGGCGGAGATCAGGGGAAGGCCGCTTATTGCTGCGGCGCGGGCGAGCATTGGGCGCGTCCGTTAGGCAGACTCTACGGCGCGGCCGCTCTAATGCATAACACCGGTGGCAACGAGCAGACCGCGTGACTACAAGGTGCACCGGGAGGGAAACGCGAGTGCGGGCGTTGCTGATGATGACGACGCACGACCGGGAAACCTAATGTCGCGCAATTGCTGAGCAACGCATCGGACAAAAAAAAAAAGGCAGGAGCCGACTAATTTCGATTAAATTCTGCGAGGAAGGCAAAAAGGGTGGTGATTTGGTCTCGTGGCCCGAACCTGCGAGGGATACCACGGCCGCGCACTCAGCCTCGCTATCCCTCCACCGCTGGGAGCGGGGGGTTTTCGCTGCTCGGTTTCCCGCCTCACGCGGTGCCCCCCTCTCTAACTGCCACGTCACCACCTCTTCCGAGGTGGTGCCGCTGCGGACTCTCAGCTTGGAGTGGACAAGTCATCGATGTGGCAGGCCGAGGGTCTCACAGGTGTGCGACAATTCCAAGGTTTGGCCCCCGCTCGGGTTACAGTCGGGCGCTACCCCGACCGGCGAGCGTGTACGGTGAAAGCGCATACTTTGAAAGCAACTAAATGATACGAAGTGTTTGATGGGCCCGTGTCTCAACCTTCGTGACAGTTTGCCTGTGGTTGCTTGCCAGCTGTTCGAACGCATCCTAAGTGGTGGTGTTTGGATGGTTGAAGTGGACTAAACGGGTTCAGCGGATGGCCCCAACTTGCACCAAAATTCCTCGCACCAAAATTCCAATATGATGCAACAAAGAATCAGAACCTCCTGGTACATTTTCCACTAGATCTCTGAACAAACGACAAGACATAACCAGCAGTGTTCCCCCCTTCTACAGCAGCATCACTTCGACAAGAGCCGAGCGGCAAGAGCCACCCAGGCCACCTATCATTCTCCCACGAGGTAGCAGAGTTAGTTCTCACAACTACCCTACTGGAGTCTGAATGTCTGACCCCTGCCACTCCTTGTGACTGATCCCTTTCCTGTCATTCCTTGACCTCCCAATCCCTCATTCATTCACTCCTGCACCATGCCCTCCTCTGCCACCGCCTCCAACTCCCCTGCCTCCCCTGCCTCCCCCGCCTCCCCCACCTCCATCTCCCTGTCCCCTCCTCCACCCCCCCACTTACCCGCACCAGCACCCTGCACCGCCCCTTTCGCCACCTCCCCATCCTCGCCCCGGCCCACGCCAGCACCAGCCCCCATTCTCGACGCACGGGCGTCAGACGGAGCGGGGGGAGGCGGAGGGCGAGGGGGGCGGGCATCACGAGGAGCCTCTCTTGATGCATCTCGGGCATCTCGAAAATCTCTGGGGGAGTCTCTGGGAAATTCTCTGGATACGTCCCTGGGAGCACCTGAAGGGATATCTCTCGTATCTCTGGAATCTCTGCCCTCTCTCGTATCTCTGGAATCTCTGGCATTTCTCCCACGCTCCCCTCCTGCCCCAGAGCCCTCAGCTCTGCTCTCCATGCGCCCGTTGCCGTTGCCTGCATCCTCTCCCCCCTCCCCTCCTCCCTCCCTCACCTGCCCATTGCCCATTCTGTGAGGGCTGCTTGCACCGGACACAGGGGCAGAGGAGGAAGTAGGCCCCTCCCCATCTCTCCACCTGCGTTTCCATGCCTCGCTCCTCTCCTCCCCCCTCTCCCCTCCCCTCTCCCCTCCCCTCTCCCCTCCCCTCTCCCCTCCCCTCTCCCCTCCCCTCTCCCCTCCCCTCTCTGCACTCTTCCCAGATCCGCCGTCTCCCCCCTCCGCTCTCCCCCAACCACCACCAGAAGGCCGGTCTGGATCTCGTCCATCTGATCTCCGCCTCTCTGCCGTCCACGCCGCACCCCCTCCTCCTCCTTCTCCTCCTTCTCTCCACTCCCTCCCTCTCCCTTTCTCTCTATCCCGCTCCCCTTCCCTCCCTATTTCCCCCTCTCGTTCCCGCCCTCTCTCCCTCTCCCTCTCCCACCTCCCCACTTCCCGAACCTTAAACGACCGGCCTCCCGAACCATCCATCGCGTCTCGTTGCGCCGGATCCCGAGCCTCGCGGCCAGGTTCGGAAGTACGGTGTGGCCTGGCTTCCGGAGCAGGTGGTACGGTAGCGCCAGGGTCGGGAGTCATTTGGGCACTCCTAGGCTCGGAAGAACCACGCCTGTCTCTCCCTCTGTCACGAGGCCTCTCAGCTTCACCTCTCTCCCAACCCCTTGCTTCTCCTTTCACACCCTTCCCATGCTCCCTATGCTCCCTATGCTCCCTGTGCTCCCTATGCTCTCTGTGCTCCCTATGTTCCCTGTGGTCCCTATGCTCCCTGTGCTCTCTGTGTGTTCTATGCTCCTCCTGCCGGTGCCTATCATCTCTGTTCTTCTCGTCTCTGTGCCTCTCATTCCTGTGTTTCTCATCCTGCTCCTTTGACCGCTCGTCTCCTCTCCCCCTCTCCTCCCTCCATTTTCTCTCTCTGCTCCGCTCCCTGTCCTTGTCCCTATCCTTTTCAGTGCCCCTTTCCTTATCCTTCTCCCTCTCCCTCTCCCTCTCCCTCTCCCTATCCCTCTCCCTATCCCTATCCTTATCCCTATCCCTATCCCTTCCTCTGTCTCTATCCCTCTCCTTCTCCCGTTCCCGCTCGCGTTCTCGGTCCTTCTCCCCACCTTCCTTTCCATCGCTCCCACGGTCGTCCCTCAGCTTGCGGTAAATGTCGGCCAATCGCGTGCCAGACAGGTGTGAGTGCAGAGCCACGTAGTCCCACAAGTCCTCAGAGATCCCTGCGGGGAGGTGGAGGGGAGGGACAGAGATGGGGAGCGGAGGTGAGGAGCAGAGGTGGGAAGACTGGCGGATGCCGGACAGGTGCGAGTGCAGAGCCACGTACTCCCACAAGTCCTCAGAGATCCCTGCACACAAGTGGCAGATTGGGGGAGAAGAGATGGCGAGCAGAGTTCGGAAGATGGTCAGTAGGTGTCGGCGAATCGCGTGCCAGACAGGTGTGAGTGCAGAGCCACGTAGTCCCACAGGTCCTCAGAGATCCCTGCGGGGAGGTGGAGGGGAGGGACAGAGATGGGGAGCGGAGGTGAGGAGCAGAGGTGGGAAGACTGTCGGTTGCCGGACAGGTGCGAGTGCGGAGCCACGTACTCCCACAAGTCCTCAGAGATCTCTGACAAGAGGTGACGGAGGGGGGCATAGGTGGGGAGCGGGTGGAGAGAAGGAAGCGAGGAAAAACAAGAACAAACCAAAGTGAAGAGTCGGCTCATATGAATGCAATGCATTGGTCCAGCAGTGTGTGAGAGCAGCAAGCCTGATTGAGAGGCAGGTGGTGAGACAGTGCACGGCGAAGGAGAAGAAGAAGAAGGGGGAGGGGAAGGAGAAGATGGAGAAAGACAAGAACGAGGAGAAGAAAACGAAAGAGGAAAAGGAAAAGGAGCAGGAGAAGGAATAGGAAAAGGCAAAACCCGGAACTGACTCTGTAAGTGGGGGCGCGGGAGGGCGGCATCAGCAGCCTCGCGCTTCATGACGCTGTCGATCTCATGGCCCAGCTGTCGGAGATACTTCTTCACCTTCTGCGTCACCTCCTTGGGTGACAGCTCCTGCCTTGTCTGCAGCCGCTTCAACCGCTGCAGCACACTGTCCTGAGGGGCCAGCCTCCCCTTGCACCACGCCACTCCGCGCCTCCCCTCCCCACCCTCTCCCACACCCACTCCTCCTGCGGCTCCTGCTCCTCCTGCGACCCCCTCCTCCTCCTTCCCGACCTTGCTCCCTCCTCCGCCTGCTGCCCCTGCTGCTGCGGCGGCGGCGGCTGCTGTTGCTGCTGCTGCAGCGGCGTCCTCCCCTTCGGAGATCTCCCCCTCCTCCTTCGCCTCCTCGGCCTCCTTTTCCTTCTCCGGAGACCGCTTCTCCTTCTCCTCCTCCCTCCTCCCCCGCCTTCGCCCCTCCCTCTCCCCACCATGCCTCCTCTCCCGCTCCCTCTCCCCCCCTCGCCCTCTCCGCCCTCTCTCCTCCCTCCCACCCCCGCCTCTCCGTCCCCCACCCAGAGCAACGGCTTCGTCAGCGCCAGAAGCAGCAGCAGAGCCAGCAGCAAACGCGCCCTTGCCTCCTCCTCGCACCTTGATCTTGACCTTGAGAGCATTGGCTGCTGCTGCAGCCTTGGCGTGGTGAGGATCAGCCTCCAGCTCCTGAGGGACCAAGTTGGTGGGGGGATGGTTGGGGTTTCAGGAACAAAGGTGCAAAGGATGGGCCTTGAAGGCTTGAAACGCACTACTGACACGAGCACTCACACCCTCCCACTCAACCCCCACTCAACCCACACTTGCTTAACCAACAATCACCCCAACCACACTTTCTCCGTATCCCCCTCTCCTCCCTCCACAGGCACCCTACCTTGCGCAGCAGAGCAGACGCCCGTGCATCCAAATGGCTCCCTCTGGGCAGCTTCCCCTCTCCACCTCCCCCAATCCCACCCGTTGATCCCGGCGGCGCGATCTTATTCTCCAATCCCAGCCGTTCATCCAGCCGAACCTGCTCCCAGTTGCCAAACCCATGGAAGTGCACCCCTAGCAGCAGCCTTGCATCATCAACAGGCGTCCAAGAAGTGGTCTTAGCCCATGAGGGCACGCGCGCATGCGACCGCAGGCGGAACTGCTTCACAGGGTCGCTTACTCGCTCCACCCGCTTCGCCAGAAACTGGAGCTCTTTCACCCGGTGCAGGAGCTCCGGGGCTTTAATTGCAACACCGAAGAAATCCAGTAGAGGGATTTTTGCTGCTGCTGCCGCCCCTGCTGCTGCTGCCGCTGCTGCTGCTCCGGCTGCTCCCATTGGGTCGTCTTCCTCTGCGGCGGCGGCAGCTCTGACGGTGTCTTTGCAGGCCTGCATGAGTAGGGAGTGGAGGGACCGCCGCTCTGCTTCGCTCGCTGCTTCCATTGCTCCACCGGCCTCCGCTGTCATTTGTGCGACTCGCTCTGCGCCTCCGTACCGCCTCACTGCCTTCACGAAGGCGTTGGCGTCTCGCTTGGATAGCCGCCGGACCTTAGCACCACCACCAGCACCAGCAGTACCAGCTGCGGCAGCAGCCTCCCCTGCCCCAGCCCCTGCTGCTGCACCCGCCCCTGCAGCTGCTCCTTCCCCCCCAGCACCCCCCGCCCCCACTCCCCCTTCCCCCCCCCCCTGCACCGTCCACTGAGTAATCCGCACCAGTGCCCCTTCCACAGCAGGCGCAGCAGCAGGATACCCGCCCTCCTCCGCACCCCCATCCCCCTGCTCCCTCCGCCCTCGCTTCCTCTTCCCGCCACCGTCCTTCCCTCCCCGCCTACCACCCCTCCCCTCTCTCCCATCCTCCTCCTCATCATCAGCATCCCCATGCAGCCCATCGCCCGTGTAGGTGGCGTTGCGGCGGGAGGAGCGCGGCCCCAGCGCCTTCTCCTCCTCTGCTGGCGCTGCCTGGATCAGCCGGCTCCAAAAAGCAGCGTCGTTCTCCGTGCTGCTGAAATTCGCCACCTGGGGATGGGCATAGCCGGGGAGGAGGAGCGGGAGGGGGACGGGGGGAGGGGAAATAGGGAAGGGGCAAGGCGAAGGAGGGGAGCCGGACGCCATCGAAGGTGAAAGAATGTGTAAAAGAAGGTGCTCAAGATAAGACCGAGTGAAGGCAGGTCTTCGTGTATTGAACTCAAGATCACAAGAACGCACGCACACTCACACCCATGGACACAGGCACGCACACACCCACACACATCCAAGCCCACACACGCACAACCACTCCCACTCGTAACCCACTTACACAACACACCCTCTATCTGAGAAACTCACAGTGAAGGCGGAGAGCAGTTCATTAGCGCCCTCCCCAGCAGTGCTGCTGTCGATTTTCTCAGCGCGCGCCAGAATCTCGTCAATATCCAGATTCTCCAGCCGGCTCGCTCCCTCCTCCTCGCTCACTTTCTCCTTGAACAGCTCCTCTGCTCCGAACCGCAATATGGCCGCCAGCTCGTTCTGGAGGAGAGAAGACGGGGGGAAAAGGCATTGTCAGGAGACTTGCATCCTCCTCCTCGCTCACTTTCTCCTTGAACAGCTCCTCCGCTCCAAACCGCAGAATGGCCGCCAGCTCGTTCTGGAGGAGACAGGGTAAGGGAATGAAACAGAGAGCCATTTGAATCGTCAGAGAGCTCGCGTCCTCCTCCTCACTCACTCGCTCCTTCAACAGCTCACTTGCACTCCCCACTGCAGCATCCTCCTCCCCCTCACTCCTCCGCCCATTGCACGTAATTGAACATGCTGCTGGTGCTCATCTTGTTCTCCTTCTCAGCCACCACCATCCCACCCTATCCAAATGCATCCTCATCACCCCCACCCCCAACCTCCACCGCCCCCAACGCCCCCCTTCCACAACCGCACTGCACCTTGTTGAACATGGAGCTGCTCTTCTTGCTTTGGGTCTTCTCCAATCTCCCAGCAGCGTTGAGCTTCTGGATGACGAGGTGGTCCAGCACCATCTCACACTACCCCAACGCATCCACCCCCTCACCACCCCCAACCGCACCGCACCTTATCAAACATGCTACTGCTCTTCTTGCTCTGCGTCTTCTCCAGCCGCCCGGCAGCATTGAGCTTCTGGATGACGAGGTGGTCCAGCACCATCTTGCGCTTGGCACACCCCCCCCCTCCCCCCCCTTCACCACCCCCAACCGTATCCCACCTTATCGAACATGGAGCTGCTCTTTTTACTTTGAGTCTTCTCCAGGCGCCCAGCAGCGTTGAGCTTCTGGATGACGAGGTGGTCCAGCACCATCTTGCGCTTGGCGCGCTCCAATATGTCCTCCTCCACACTGCCGCTCGTCACAAACCGGTAGATGTTCACCACGTCCTGCTGCCCTATCCTGTGTGCTCGGCTCATGGCCTGGTGATGAAGGGCATGAGGGGACAAAGGGACAAGGCATCAAAGGTTCTGAGACTTGTCCTTCCATACACCACTCTCCACGCTGCCGCTCGTCACGAACCAGTAGATGTTCACCACGTCCTGCTGCCCTATGCGGTGCGCGCGACTCGTGGCCTGGTGGTGGGAGGAGGACGGACAGGGGCGGAGAAGGGAGGCGGATACGGGAGGAAGGGGGACACGGGAGGGACAGGACAAGACACAGTCTGCTTTCCTGCCCCTCCAAGCATGCCAAAGATCTTGTGAGCGCAGCTCATGGCCTGGTGAGAGGCCATAGAGGGCCAAGGGGACAAGGCGAGACGGGACAAGACACAGTCTGCTTTCCTGCCCCTCCAAGCATGCCAAAGATCTTGTGAGCGCAGCTCATGGCCTGGTGAGAGGCCATAGAGGGCCAAGGGGACAAGGCCAGACGGGACAAGACACAGTCTGCTTTCCTGCCCCTCCAAGCATGCCAAAGATCTTGTGAGCGCAGCTCATGGCCTGGTGAGAGGCCATAGAGGGCCAAGGGGACAAGGCGAGACGGGACAAGACACAGTCTGCTTTCCTGCCCCTCCAAGCATGCCAAAGATCTTGTGAGCGCAGCTCATGGCCTGGTGAGAGGCCATAGAGGGCCAAGGGGACAAGGCGAGACGGGACAAGACACAGTCTGCTTTCCTGCCCCTCCAAGCATGCCAAAGATCTTGTGAGCGCAGCTCATGGCCTGGTGAGAGGCCATAGAGGGCCAAGGGGACAAGGCCAGACGGGACAAGACACAGTCTGCTTTCCTGCCCCTCCAAGCATGCCAAAGATCTTGTGAGCGCAGCTCATGGCCTGGTGAGAGGCCATAGAGGGCCAAGGGGACAAGGCCAGACGGGACAAGACACAGTCTGCTTTCCTGCCCCTCCAAGCATGCCAAAGATCTTGTGAGCGCAGCTCATGGCCTGGTGAGAGGCCATAGAGGGCCAAGGGGACAAGGCGAGACGGGACAAGACACAGTCTGCTTTCCTGCCCCTCCAAGCATGCCAAAGATCTTGTGAGCGCAGCTCATGGCCTGGTGAGAGGCCATAGAGGGCCAAGGGGACAAGGCCAGACGGGACAAGACACAGTCTGCTTTCCTGCCCCTCCAAGCATGCCAAAGATCTTGTGAGCGCAGCTCATGGCCTGGTGAGAGGCCATAGAGGGCCAAGGGGACAAGGCCAGACGGGACAAGACACAGTCTGCTTTCCTGCCCCTCCAAGCATGCCAAAGATCTTGTGAGCGCAGCTCATGGCCTGGTGAGAGGCCATAGAGGGCCAAGGGGACAAGGCCAGACGGGACAAGACACAGTCTGCTTTCCTGCCCCTCCAAGCATGCCAAAGATCTTGTGAGCGCAGCTCATGGCCTGGTGAGAGGCCATAGAGGGCCAAGGGGACAAGGCCAGACGGGACAAGACACAGTCTGCTTTCCTGCCCCTCCAAGCATGCCAAAGATCTTGTGAGCGCAGCTCATGGCCTGGTGAGAGGCCATAGAGGGCCAAGGGGACAAGGCCAGACGGGACAAGACACAGTCTGCTTTCCTGCCCCTCCAAGCATGCCAAAGATCTTGTGAGCGCAGCTCATGGCCTGGTGAGAGGCCATAGAGGGCCAAGGGGACAAGGCCAGACGGGACAAGACACAGTCTGCTTTCCTGCCCCTCCAAGCATGCCAAAGATCTTGTGAGCGCAGCTCATGGCCTGGTGAGAGGCCATAGAGGGCCAAGGGGACAAGGCCAGACGGGACAAGACACAGTCTGCTTTCCTGCCCCTCCAAGCATGCCAAAGATCTTGTGAGCGCAGCTCATGGCCTGGTGAGAGGCCATAGAGGGCCAAGGGGACAAGGCCAGACGGGACAAGACACAGTCTGCTTTCCTGCCCCTCCAAGCATGCCAACCACACGCATATCCCAATACACGTACCAGACTGAATGCAACTGCTCACCTGCAGGTCGTTCTGTGGGTTCCAGTCAGAGTCAAAGATGATGACGGTGTCCGCCGTGGCAAGATTAATACCCAGTCCGCCTGCGCGCGTGGAGAGCAGGAAGCAGAAGTCGTCACTGCCGGGCGCATTGAAGTGCTCCATGGCCTGCTGCCTCAGGTCCGCCCTCGTGCTGCCGTCCAGGCGCTGGAACTGGAAGCCCCGCAGAGCGAGGTAGTCCGCTAGAATGTCCAACATGCGTACCATCTGTAGGAGTGCGGGGAGTGGAGGAGCAAAGGAGGAGTAAAGGACGAGAGATAGATGGTCATCATGGCACTCCTCTGTCGTTGTCGTTTACAACCACAACGACACTCCCTTACTAGGGAGCACCAGCACCACTGAGAGTGCATAAAAGAAGTGGCGCTTTCACGAGCCCAAATCAGATAATATCGAATTACATCTAACTGTAACCCACCTGGGAGAAGATGAGAACGCGGTGGCCCGTTTCTTTCAGCCGAGTGAGCAGCTTATCCAGCAAAGTCGTCTTGCCACTCCCCAGCACGATCCGCTGCGCCTTGCCCTGTGCGTCCAGCGCCCCTCCCGCCGCGCCGCCCCCGTAGCCGTAGTCAGCGCTCTCAAAGAGGAAGGGGTGGTTGCAGCACTTCTTGAGCTCTGCCACGATGTTGAGCAAGGACACCTGGTTGCTGCGCGCGTTCTTGTTCAGATCCTGAAAGTTGCGCTCAAGAATCCACTTGTAGTACCTGGGGGGGACGGGGGGGAGGTGGGGGAAGAAGGGGAGAGTGAGAATGCATGTGAGAATGAGAGGAAAGGTGGTTGCTTGCACCGACGCCCCCGTAGCCGTAGTCAGCGCTCTCGAAGAGGAAGGGGTGGTTGCAGCACTTCTTGAGCTCTGCCACGATGTTGAGCAAGGACACCTGGTTGCTGCGCGCGTTCTTGTTCAGATCCTGAAAGTTGCGCTCAAGAATCCACTTGTAGTACCTGGGGGGGACGGGGGGGAGGTGGGGGAAGAAGGGGAGAGTGAGAATGCATGTGAGAATGAGAGGAAAGGTGGTTGCTTGCACCGACGCCCCCGTAGCCGTAGTCAGCGCTCTCGAAGAGGAAGGGGTGGTTGCAGCACTTCTTGAGCTCTGCCACGATGTTGAGCAAGGACACCTGGTTGCTGCGCGCGTTCTTGTTCAGATCCTGAAAGTTGCGCTCCAGGATCCACTTGTAGTACCTGCGGGTGGGGAGGGGGGAAGGGGGGGAGGGGGGAGCAAGGAGAGAGGGACGGGGGGGAAGAGGGTAGAGAGAGGGCAGGAGAGGGAATGGCATGTGAGAACGAACGGAAGGCATGCTCGGATTCTGAAAATTGCACTCCAATATCCACTGGTAGTAAGGAGAGTGGTGGGGTGGGGGGGGGGGGGAGTGGGCAAGGAAAGAATAGCAAGGAGAGGAGTAGAGAAGAGGAAGGGCGAACAAGAGGTCGTTTTTGAGGCGCCTCAAAAGCGACCTCAATGCACGAGAAGAGCAAGGAGAGGAGTAGAGAAGAGGAAGGGCAAACAAGCCACCCACTGTTCTGCAAGGAGGGTCCAACAGCCACTCCCTGTCCGAGGTTCTTTGCCAGGCCAAGCAGCGGCACTCACTGCTTCTGCAGGGGCGACATCTCGACGCGCAGGATGCGTTCAATCTTGGGCGGCAGTGACTTCTCCACGTCCTTGATCACCCGCCGCAGCATGTGCGGGCGCAGCTCCTGGTGCAATGACGTGATCTGGTGTAGAGAGCGGGGGCAAGGGCAGGGGGTACGATGTGCTGCTGGTGCAAGAGGGGGTAGAAGAGCCATGAAAAGTGAAACCGTGATAGAAAAAACAAACAGTAAGGGAGCACATCCTGCTCACTCTTTTCTAAGGGAACAGAAATTCTTTTCTAAAACTGCCTTCCGCATCTCATCTCCATTTTGTCCTTCTCACCCTTGCTCTCCCCTCACTTCCCTCCTCTCCCCTCACCTCCTTCTCTCTCCCCCTTCACCTCCTCTCCTGCCTCTCCCTCACCTCCTTCTCGCTCTGGTTCTCCAGCAGGTGTTTGTACTTGGCTGAAAACTCCTCCTTGTCGCCAAACTTGCCCGAGTCCAGGAAATGCAGCAGCGCCCTGGGGAGAAAATGGGGACAGAAGGGGAAAGAAGGGGAGGGTGGGGGGAGAAGAGAAACAGGGGCGAGGAGATGACGACTTATAGACGGGGAAGGGCAGAGTAAGGACGACGGGAGGGGGAGCGCAGGAAGGGCGGAAAAAGATGAAACGAGCGGTGGACGGAAAGACAGGAGAGACGAAGGGGGTGAGAGTGTAGGCCACCCAACCATTGACACCACTGACAACCATTGACACCATTGATATTCTCACCTCAGCTGCCACACCTCTCCCACGACAGCAGCACTCACCAGAGCTCCTCGACGCTGTTCTGCAGGGGCGTGCCGGTGATGAGCAGCTTGTTGCGCGCATGGAAGCTCTTGGGGAAGGGGAGAAGGAGGGAAAATGGCAGATAGAGAGTGGAGCGGTTGTTGAGTCGACAGTCCTCCATCACCCTTATGTCGGTGCAGGCCATCAGACAGCAGCAGCAGCCTGCACTGCACTGCACTGAACTGCACTGCATGCATATATTATGAGTCGAATCAAAACTCGTACTTCTAGCGAATGAATAACCTAGCTTACAATGAGCGTGGTGTAGAGCGCCGCTTCAGAGTTCTTGAGGCGGTGCGCCTCGTCGACCATGAGGTACGTCCAGCGGATGGGCGAGAGCACAGCCTTGTCTTTCAAGACCACCTCGTAGGTTGTTAGTAGCGCATGGAACTTGCTCTGCCTCCCTCCCTTCCTGCCCGCAGCCTGCCAGAACTCGTACTGCTGCACCACCTGGCGGTCGGAGGTTGGGAGGGGGGAAGGCAGAGGGGAGGAGGGGCAGAGTGGGTGGCAGAGAGGAGGGGCACAGAGGGGGGGGGTGAGGGACATAAGAGGGGAGTTGAGAGAGGAAGCAGTGTGAGGAAGGGGCGCTGGATGTGGATGTGATCCATGACGATGGCTTTTGAGTCGACTCAAAAGTCACCTCGCTTGATGTGGATGTGATGTGATCCATGAGGATGCGCACAGCGGTGAGCAAAACGTTGAGGGAGGGCAGCCAGCAGCAGCGTTGCCTCACTTCTCTGCACCATGCCTCACCCCTCTGCATGCCTCACGCCCCACCTCTCTGGAGGCGCGGTTGCCCACATAAAGCACGACGTTGAGGGAGGGCAGCCAGCGGCGCAGCTCCCGCTCCCAGTTGCTCATGGTTGACAGCGGCACCACTATCAGGAACGGACCCTGTATCTGCTGCATGTGCTGCTCGTGTGTGTGCGGGGGGGAGGGGCAGGGGAGGAGAGGGGAGAAGTTGGGGAGATGGTGGGGGCAGCCAGCGGCGCAGCTCCCGCTTTCAGTTGCTCATCGTTGACAGCGGCACCACTTTCAGGAAAAGGCCCTGAATCTTTTGAGGCGCCCCAAAAGGAAAAGGCCCTGAATCTTTTGAGGCGCCCCAAAAGGAAAAGGCCCTGAATCTTTTGAGGCGCCCCAAAAGGAAAAGGCCCTGAATCTTTTGAGGCGCCCCAAAAGGAAAAGGCCCTGAATCTTTTGAGGCGCCCCAAAAGGAAAAGGCCCTGAATCTTTTGAGGCGCCCCAAAAGGAAAAGGCCCTGAATCTTTTGAGGCGCCCCAAAAGGAAAAGGCCCTGAATCTTTTGAGGCGCCCCAAAAGGAAAAGGCCCTGAATCTTTTGAGGCGCCCCAAAAGGAAAAGGCCCTGAATCTCCTGCATGTGCTGCTCGTGTCGGGGGGGCATGGGGGGGAAGATCAGGGAAATGAGTGAAGGGGGAAGAGCCAGGAGGGCAGCCAGCGGCGTAGCTCCCTCTCCCAGTTGCTCTTGAGAATTCTCTAAAGGTTGACAGCGGCACCACTGTCAGGAAGGTACCCTTTATCTGCTGCATGTGCTGCTCATGTGGGGGGGATTTAGTTAAGTTGGGAGGAAGTTGAGGAGTTGACCGGATGGTGCAGAGGGAAAAGAGGGAGATAGGCGGGAAGGATTCAATTAGCGGCACCATTATCAGAACGGAGGAGAAGAAGGGGTAGACGAATGAAAGGAAGCGGTGGGTGGGGGGGGAGAGGGGGGGGGGGGGGGGGGGGGGAGGGTTTGGAGATGAGCTGAAGGGGGGCATTGATGCGAGAGTACACATTTCATGCACATGCACCCCATCCGCATGCACCCCACCCGCATGCACCCCACCCGCATGCACCCCACCCGCATGCACCCCACCCGCATGCACCCCACCCGCATGCACCCACATACAAAGAGAAAGCCGAGCATGGAGACGGACTGCACCGTCTTGCCCAGCCCCATCTCGTCTGCCAGGATAACGTTTGTGTCTCTCATCCAACTGCCACCATGCACCACATGCACACGCACACACAACCACGCACAAGCATGCGCACATGCACGCACATACACATACATGCACACACACACTCACGCACATAGACATACATGCATGCACACCCAACACGTGCATGCACACATGCAAACGCAGATGCACAAGAATACGCATGAGCATGGCATGCACACGCATCTATGCAGGAGCATTCCCACACAAACGCGAGGTCCCAGGGGACCTTACCCATGGGGAAAGAAGCAAGGTGCATTTCAACATTGAATTGAAGAAAGGGGGCAAAATGGACACAGAAACGGAAGCAATAAAAGGGGACGCGGGGGGCCCTTGTGTCAAGCTGCCGTCCTCCCACCCCTCTTCCCCCCACCCCTCTTTCCCCCATCCCTCTTCCCCCCACCCCTCTTCCCCCCACCCCTCTTCCCCCCACCCCTCTTCCCCCTACCCTTCTTCTTCCTTCCCACCCCTCTTCCACCTACCCTTCTTCCTCCCACCCCTCTTCCTCCCCCCTCGTGCTGAGAGGCCGTTGGAGTTTAACATGTGTTGAGTTGCGCCCCCCCTGGTTCCTACCTGTGGATGAGAAAGTTGAGTTGAGCCCCATGAGCTGGTAGTCCCTCACATGCCGCCCCTGTGTCTCCCTACAACCGTCCCGTCCCCGCCCCCCACTGCTCTACTTCCATGTTGAAAGCAGGTATCCCCGCGTGTAGCGAGTTGCAGTGCCCTTCACACGACAACCCCACCTGTGGATGAGGAAGTTGAGCCCCATGAGCTGGTAGTCCCTCAAGGTGCCGCCCTTGAGCCACTCCGGCTGCACCTCCAGCTTGCTCATGCCTGGAACAGGGGGGGTGGAACGGGGGGGGTGGAACGGGGGGGGTGGAGCGGGGGGAATGGAACGGGGGGGCAAAGAGGGCGGATGGAACGGGGGGGATGGAACGGGGGGGGGGGAGGAAGAGGGCGGCCAAAAAAAGGCAATGCGGGAGGCGGGGGGCGAGGGGAAGACGGTAATGCAGGGGAACAGAATGGATGCCATGGAGTGAGAGGGGTGAATGGAGATTGGAAGGGGTGTGGAGGGGCTCACACACGAGCTGCATTTCCTCTGACCCTTCCTGCACAGCTCACCCTTCCCTTCCCTTGTCTCACCTGCCCGCTCATGCTCCTCAGCTTCCCTACTCTCACAACACGAACTTACTTTGGACGCTTCATCCACCTCTAACGACCCGTTCCCCTCTCTCCCCTGCCCCAAATTCCTTCGCCCCACCCCTCTGCCCCACTCCCTTTCCCCCCCTCCCCTCCGATCCACTATCTCAGCACCACTCAACCTGCGCCACTCTCCCCTGCCTGCCCCACTCGACCCCGCTCCACTCTATCACAATGCTCACTTCGGCAGCTCTTCCGTTGCGCCTCCACGCTTTTGCCCACCACCAGCGCTCCCGCCTCCCTCTCCTTGAACTCGTCTATCGCCTCCCGCGCAACCTCTATGTCCGCCTCCGTCTCCCTGCACTCGTGGAACAAGCAAAGGGGGGAAGGGGGGGAGAGGGATGGTGGTGAGGCGTGAAGAGAAGCGTGGAGATGGAAGGTGACAAGAGGGTGCATAGCTCTAAAAAGAAGAGGAACAGAACGCACCAGGTGGCCTCGGAGTAGGAGAGCCCCTTCCCCTTGACAAAGAACTCGTGAGCCAGATGGTGCTGAGGTGTGAAGGGTGGTGATGGACGGTGACTGGACAGTGCATAGCTCTCAAAGAGAACAAACCAACCCACCAGGTGGCCTCGGAGTAGGAGAGCCCCTTCCACTTGACAAAGAACTCGTGTGCGGGATGGTAGTGAGGCATGAAGTACGGTGATGGACGGTGACTGGACAGTGCATAGCTCTCAAAGAGAACAAACCAACCCACCAGGTGGCCTCGGAGTAGGAAAGCCCCTTCCACTTGACAAAGAACTCGTAGCTGCTGACCTCATCGCCCTCCCTCCCCGCCTCCCCTGCTGCCTTGGCTGGCCGCTCTGCCACCACCCTGTCCACCTGGGATGGGCGCAGGCAGGCAGAGCAAGATTCCAGGGGAGAGGGGGGGAGGGGGAGGGGGGGAGGGGGGGCGGGGGGAAGGAGGGGGGGGGGGAGGGGGGGGGGGGGAGGGGGGGGGGGGGGGAAGGGGGGAAGGGGAAGAAATGGGAACGACAGGGACAGGCGTGTCACGTCATGCGCAAAGAACGGGGAGAGAAAAGGGACAGAAGCTTAGAAGCTACGCACACCCGCCCACCTGCGAGTACTGCTTGAGCAGGTCCAGCTCCATCTCGCGCCCCACGTTCAGCGCCTCCACCTCCCACCAGTGATGCATGCGGTAAGCCCACCGGCACCCACCCACCTGGGAGTCTAGCTGCACCCACCCATCTAAGAGTCTAGCAGCACCGCCTCACATGACCAGCCTCGCCCGCCCACCTGCGAGTACTGCTTGACCCCACCTGCGAGTACTGCTTGACCCCACCTGCGAGTACTGCTTGACCCCACCTGCGAGTACTGCTTGAGCAGGTCCAGCTCCATCTCGCGCCCCACGTTCAGCGCCTCCACCTCCTCTGCTGACACACTCAGACGGTACCGCCTCTCATCGTCCGCCCGCTTCATGTAGTTCTGCACCTTCTTGAACCCGGGTAGCTGCGGGTGGGAGGGTGAGCAGGTGCGAGGGTGAGAGGCATAATGGGAAGACAGAGAGGGTGAGAGGCGGTACAACCACTCGTCGTCCGCCCGCTTCATGTAGTTCTGCACCTTCTTGAACCCGGGCAGCTGTGTGTGGGAAGGAGATGAGGATAAGAAGATGGGACTGGAGAAGGCTTGATAGGCTGAGGAGTTGGAGAGGGTGATTAACAGGAAGAGAAGATGAAGTACCGTGTAAGAGGGATGCACTGTGGTGGAGAGGGATACAGTACCGTGGAGAGGGTGGAGATGGGCAGCCATTGGCAGTGCAGGAAGGAGCGTCCCTTCCACTTGACGTACAGCTCCTGCTGCTCCCAGTCGATGACCTCGCTCACATCATACTCCAACACACACGGCCCCGTGGGCTGCCCCGCTGCCCGCATCTCCTCACTCCTCCCCAGCGGCTGGTGCCACAGCACCCGCTCCACCACGTCCCCCTCCGCCTCTGCGTCTGCCTCTGCTGCATCCCCTGCCGGCAGCATGTCTTCATCCTCCTCCTCGCCCTCCTCCCCCGCTGCTGCTATGCCCTGCGCTCACAGACAGGAGAGTAAGCGCTGAGCGTATAGCATGGGAGATGGAGCAGACACACTCAAACCGGCGCACAACAGCAGTGAGCACACAGTGGCACTGACACACACCTTAAGGACGGTACAGCTAGAAGGAAGGCACAGCTAGGAACGGTGGTACAGCAAGGGGCGCACCTTGAGTTTCTTCTTAGCAGGTGGCGCCAGGTCATCCGCCGAGTCCTCATCATCCTCAAAGTATGACTTGCGCGGCACAGCCCTCCGTGACATGCGTGTCTCCCTCGCCGCCACCCCCGCCCGCCCTCCCCCCTTCCCCGACCGCCCCTTCCGCCCTTCCCCTCCGCTGCTCTCACTCTCCGAGCTCCCCGCCCCGCCCCGCGCGCGTTTTCTCCCCCCTTTCCCCCCGCCCCCGCCCCCTCCTCCGCCCGCGCCAGCCCCCCCACGCCTGGCCCGCGGCTTCCCCCGCCCCTCACTCTCACTCCCTGACTCGCTCACCGACCCAGAGAAATCAGACGAGCTCTCGTCGTCCCCGCCACCCGCCCCAGCTTCGTCAAACGACTCGCTCCCGCTCCCTGCCTCCTCCTCCTCGTCCCCCTCCCCATCATCGTCTGACGACTCTACAGTCCGCCGTCTCGCATTCGAGCGGTTGCTAGCCCGGGTCCCTCTTCCCCCACCCCCTCCCCCTCCCCCTCCGCCTATTCCGCTCCCGGCGGCGGGTCTGGGGGGCGCTTTTCTGCGGTTGTTGGGACGGCGCGGCTGGGGGCGGCGGGAGCCGCCACTGCTGCCGTCGGACGCGGAGGACGAGGCACTGCTGGAGTCCGACTCGTCGCCGGACGACGCGGGTGAGTCGCGGCCCTCCTCCTCTTCCTCCTCCTCCTCCGCAACGTCGCCCTGTATCGGACAGCAGCGGATGGGCGCGGCAGAACAACGTGTGAGTCAGAACCGTCAGGGGCTACTTTGCACAGCAAAAGGTGAAAAATGTGTTTCGACATTGCCCGCGCTCACCTCCCTCACCCTCCGCGCTCACCTCCCTCCCCCTCCGCGCTCACCTCCCTCCCCCTCCGCGCTCACCTCCCTCCCCCTCCGCGCTCACCTCCTTCCCCCGCCGCGGCAGTTGCCCATTCGGCGCGCAGCTGGTGGGGTCGAAATCCTCGTCATCCGGGTCGTCGCCTGCACAGACGCGCAGACCAGGGGACAAGAAGGCGTGGATGGTTAACGAGTCCGCATTTCACGAGGCAGCACGGCGTGGCATTCACACGAGTCCGCATTTCACGAGGCAGTAAGGCGTGCCATTCGCACGAGTCCGCATTTCACGAGGCAGTAAGGCGTGCCATTCGCACGAGTCCGCATTTCACGAGGCAGTAAGGCGTGCCATTCGCACGAGTCCGCGAGCACGGCACCACAGCAGCAGGCGTTTCAACAAGGCACGAAGCTACCCCTGGCCGAACAACAAAGGAGATCGAGGCAGGCGTACCTGCTTCATCCTCCTCCTCGTCTTCCTCCGACCGCTCCTCGTCCTCTTCCATCTCATACCCCGCCTCCTCGTCCCCCTGCCCGCCCCGTCTGCCGCTGCCCGACCCATCGCTCCCGCCTGAACTGCCCGACCCACTGTCGTCGTCCTCAGGCTTCATATCGCCCGTGCCAGGTCCCGTTGTACGCGCTATAAGAACCCGAGAATGAGTGCAGCGCACAATGCCCTACAGCGAATTTGAAGGCCTGCGGCGGCGTTGACCAGGTCGAGGATGTGAAGGGAGTCGAGCCGCCCTTGAAGATTTGATCCTCTGGGGGTCGAGTGGACGTTAAATACACGCTGTGGGCACGCAGGGCAGCGGAGATACAAGGAGGGAGGCACCAGGTAGAGACGCCATTAGGACAAGGCGAACAGCGCGGAACAAAGGGTCCACGACCGAGGTGATAATGCAAGCAAAGGGTCGAGATTTCCAAAACGGAAAAGCGCGAAGCGTTTCCAAACTGTCAGCTGTCTCAAATCCACATGTGATTGCGGGACCACGCCTTATCTTAGATCCCTGCGTGACCCTGCCCTAATGTTTGAACTAGTGATCAGATCTCTGTCCGGGCCCTGATCGTCGACCTCTCCACGAGAAAGAAGTGACAAACGGCGCTAGTCGGAGTGCGGGATGTCAGAAAGACCGAATAAAATATACATTTCTACAGTCAAGGTATCAAGGGAGGATTGCTCTGGGTGGTTACAGACCAGACAGTATGTGGGATTTGCAAGGGCGATGCTGGACTGAAGAGGATCTGAAACCCCACCCACCGGCCATCCGACATGTGACCCGACGCTTTCTTCTCCTAAAACAGCAGGATTCCTTAAATTAGGGTTACGCTCAAACAGGTGAAGTGCTTGCGGAACATCGGATATTAGGCCTCCATATGCGATCTCTGGGGATGGATTTGACGCGGGAACGTGCCGGAACGATGTTTACTGGACCTCGGGCGACGCATTATCGACTAATTAAAAATTAGGGTTAGCATGTCTGGGCTTCTGGACCATCAGGGAAGGCCTTGAATATCCAGAAATTCCGATCTATTAAGTCCGATTTGAGCGCACATCTAGGGCTTTGGAGACTCTAGAGACCTCACAGCCGACGACTGGGTGCTTCTAACAGCCAATTAAATCGATCTTATACGGTCCGTGAAGCTCTAAGATGGGCCCGGAACAGCCATGAAACTCCCACATCCGCAGGCGGAACAGAGGGCTTACTGAAAGATAAGAGTCGCTATGAATCACACCAGGCCGCAGCGGACCGAAGGCGCGTCACAATCGCCCAAAAAAATCGCTTGTGCGAGCGTCATACGTCAAGGCAAAGGAGCCGAGCTTGGGGTTTCCAGCTGCTGTCATGGCTTCCGTACAAGCAGTATGTGAAACCACCACTACCAGCTTTGTGACTTGTGTGCTTCAGCTCTCAGAGGCACAGGTGAGGCAGGAAGAGAGGCGAGGAGGGGGAGGGGGGCGGAGCGGGGGGAAGCCGAGAGGGGCAGCGCGCAATGGGGGCCAGGGCGGAATGGAGAGCCCAAGGCTCGGTTCGGTCTTGGGAATGGCGGCCGGTCAGGGTGCGGATGACATCAAGGGCTGGAAATCTCCGATGTTGGAATATACTGATAAAGATACCACGGGAGTTCAATAAACGTCAAAACTTCAATCGTACAGAATAGAAGTACTGCGAAACTTTCAGGGATTGTTGAAACAGAACATGTGGGAAAAACCGGCAATGGGGGTGGCCATCGCGTATGCGCTATTCAAGCAGTTCTTGTTGAAATAATTGCACCTTCTGGTACAAGATGCTAGTTCTGTACAACTTCAGCACTTACGTATTAGTTTAGTTTAACATACCTACGTACAAGATGACATTCAGACTTAGGTGCAATGCTCACAGTTATCTTCAATGGGCTCCTTTATAGCAGCAAAAAGGTCTTGGTGCTACAGGGATGCTGTTTATTGGGCTTTATTTTTAGGCCTATGTGCATCTAGCATGGTGTTTGTATAGTTAGTGGATGACTAAGCCAGCCTACAGAGCTCCGATCCTGGAGCTTGTACTCAAAATTGATGGGGTAACATAGTCAAGTGCAGTCCTTTGCACGGATGGCTGCTCGATGTCTCTTCTTCCAGGTGCTGGGTAGTGAAGCAGATCTGACAGATGAGAGTACGTCAAGGTGCCATGGCTCCCTAGGTTCCCGCTAGTACTAAAAGCTTGGCTCAGCACCCCTTGGACTGATGAGCTGGTCTGCACAAATCAGAAGGAAGCATATGAGAGTCAGCCATGTTCTGGATTCCGCCAAATGAACGAACCAGCAACAGTCACCTCTCTTACCTGGAGTTCAGCTACCCGGATGTTGAAATGGGCCTCAGCTTCCTCTGGTGTTTGTAGCAAAGGGTGAGCCACCCTCATGCTCACATGCACCTTCCCCAGCCCTTCAAACACAACTTCATACGTGTCCACATCGAAAGGCCCATCCTCTTCCTCCGCCGTCTTCCTTATCTCCACACTTCCATCCGCTCCCACCACTGCCAGGTCATCATGGAAGCGTGGCGGTGCCACGTCAGCACCGTCCACCTGCATGAGGGCGAGGAAACCGTTGGCCCCCCTGTCCTGCTGGTTGCCTGTGCGCGCCACCATGCGCAGCGAGTGCTGCTTGCCGCCAGATGACACCCACACCACTCCCACCTCCTTCACCCACACATGCAGGCTTCCCTCTGCCACTCTCCTCGGCATGCCTGCTGCTGCTAGTGCCGCTGCCGCTGCGGACTCTGGTCCCTGGTGGCTCTGCAGCAGAACATTGATGTGGATCCGATGGTCGGCAAGCAAGCAGAAAGATTTGCCGAGCTGCCCGGGGAAGTCAAAGAGGGTCCCGTGCGAGCCTGTGATGCGCGGGTCGGTGTTGTCCAGGCGAGACGTGTCGCATGAGCCTCCCACCCTGCCAGGGGTCATGGCACATGGAAAAGGAGCAGCGCTTGAGAGACACTACATGTCGAGGCACTACGGCTCCGCAAGAGCCTCAAAATGTAACTTCGTGTGAAAGCGGCGCTGACATGTACAGTAGAACACACTCAGAACGACACAGTATGCACCATACAACACTGTCACATGCCTCCTCCAGCACACCCACCTTTCAACATGCCCATGCCGTAGCAACATCTCGTTGAAAGCTATTCAGGCAATTCAACTTGCGACGGGCAGGTTACTCAAACCTTCCCGGTGGTACGTACCAGCTGAGCGGGTAGAATGCCGACACAGCATCCTGCTCTCTTCCATCCCCGCTATAAGGATGTCTCAGCCCCGCTGTCCCTCCAGACCCAGCTTTCTTCTCCAGCAGGTAGCACTGCACGCCGTCAATGAAGCCCCGAACGTTAGCATTGTCGGCTAGCCGTTTGCTAGGGAAGAAGTGATAGGCGTGGCAGGCCTTGTCACCCGCGCACGCTCTGCAGCAGCTCTCCAACGTGCCTCCGCCGGCGCCTCGCACGATATCCACGTGGTTACCAACCTCCTGTTACACATCAGTGAATTCGTTGTAGGATTGTTAATCGGGAAGGCGTAGTAGAAATGTGAGTCACGAAATCGTAGCGAACGAATATGCGGCAACGAGTTTCACAGCTGTTCATTTAGGCCCAAATCTGTCCCAAACCATTCAGAAAATGCGAGTAAGTGTTTTCCAGCCGAATGTAGGTAGGCGGAACTGATAGAATGATGCAGCCGCAAACGAAGCACGATGCTTTGAAAGCTGCTACCACGTGCTATTGACAGAGAAAATCCAAAACAACGACTAAAAGTCTATGCTACTCGCAGTAGTACGAGCTAGAATGCGCCTCGCTCCGCACCTGATAGACTTCGAGGTTTAGCGGGCCTGACCCCGCCTCGTGCGCCTTGTATCTTCCGCCCTGACTGTTGAACCGGCCTCTATACTTTCCAATCAGCGTGAGGTCCGTGAATTTTCCCTCCGTTATAGTCACATCGTTGAAGGTGTTGAGACGGGAACACACGGCATGGACGTGACACCCGTTCGAAGGGAGATTCGCGGCTTGGGAGCTTCGCAGGCGAAGCAAAGCGACTATTAGAAAAACAAATACGCATAATCTCAAAGACTCGTATTTTCTTGCCATAGCACTACCGCGTCAAGGGGTTGGTAATAACTACGCGACTGCGAGTTCTTGCTATGCACGTGAGCTGCGCTATGTATGAAGAGAACCTTGGTTGTGTGTACGGACATGCCTAACGCTGGTCGGCTAGCCTCAGAGGCGGGTACTGTAGGTCTCAGGTGATGCCACGAACGACAACAGGTAAACGACTACTCTGTAGTTGCACGCCATTTGCGTCGCTGAAGGAAAGCTTGCTTTCTTCATGCACGCCAGTCACGTTTTCACGAAACTAAATCAATTTTCAAAGACTAGGCGATTGCATGAGAGATGCGATTGCATCCTCCTCCTGTCGCGCCGCTCCTCGTTTCGGGCCACTGGGAAAGCATTGTGGATGTGTGTTGGCGAGCTGGCGATGAGGACTCGAACTCTCGCGAAAGTGAACGAAGAGTCGGTTGCAAAGCTGTAACGCTTTCGCAAACGTCAGCGCCAAGGCCTCCTCCAATCAGCGTCGTTGATGGATATTCTCACTGGCTTCTTTGGGGGAGGCGGAATCGGCAAATGGTTGGCCCCTCTGGGTGGAGTGAGGCGAAATGTGGGTTTGCGTTGTCCGTCAAATGCTGCTCGCAGAATCCATATTGAGTGTTGCATTAGAGTTCTGTGGAAATTAGGAAAAATCATTGTGATCATAAATGCATTGTACATTCACAAAGAGCTAGCACAAGTAGAGAACGTATATGTTAGCAGTTATGCACCTATCTGTACACATCCACTACCCATTCAGTCTGTACACACAATACCATTCACAAGCAGCGTTCAAAACGGCATAGCCCAGTGCACTAATCAATGCTGCAGTCGATATGTGCTGAATCACCCAAAAAGAGAGTGCCCCATTCCTTCTGAGACTCACACGCCTGTCCTATTCCATATGCCAGACATCTTAAACAAGGAAGTGAAAATAGTGGCCAGGAGGGATTCAGGAACGAACCTACCCATGGCCTTGCATGTGAAGTAGCATAGGAACGGGATCACAGTGAGCATGACGAGAATGTTGATGATCATGTTTCTCAGGAGATGCTTCACGAAGTGCCGGAGCAGCCTACCGAATTCCTCCCGGTCTATGACCCCATCATTGTTGAGATCGAATTTCTGCTCGGGACCAGAGGAACAACGGGGGAATGCGACAATACTCGAATTGAAGAACCGAAGGGGAGCTGAAACGGTATCACAGTGGAATAGCTGGTCAAGCCCATGAGGGAAGCCCATGCACAGGTGCTGGCAAAGTGTCATGGTGACAACGCAGTGGCGAATGCACACTGGCGAGAGCAGAAAGGCACACCTTGACCAGCTTGAGAACATCCTTCTTCTTTGGAGGGCTCAGATAACTCCCCGGGGAGTAGCGGTTCACATAGCTATAGTGCAACACAGAGGGGGCGGGATGGAGGCGCAGTGCATGCGAGAGTGGGGAAGTTGTGGGGAAAGGAATGAGTGTGTAGGGTAGAGATAAACTGTGAGCGGTAGGGGGGGAGGAAAGGGGGGTGGTGGGGGTGGGAAGGGGAGGAGGGGGAAGAGGCTCGAGAGTTGGAAATGAAAATCCCTGGAGACGTTCAGGAAGTTCTTTTCTTAGAGGACAGGTCATGGCGCATTCACTTGTACACTGTAACATGCCGGCGTTTCCGAGGCGCCATAATGACGCACTCACTTGTACACGAGGAGCACGCCGGTGTATAGCTCCGGAACGTTAATCACCGGCCGCCCCTCCTCGTCCTTCTTGCCGTCTAGCTCCGCAAGTTCCAGGAAAGCGCGGTCCACGGCTTTCGTTACGACGTCCCCTGTTATCGCAGAACACAAATCGGGGTTTTCCTTCGACCGTACCGTTCGCCACTAAGTTACAGGAACATGCAGCGATCGGATACTGAAACAAGCAAGTTGTGCGACTTAAACATGTGATATTGTTACCAGCGCATGCGAAATGGGCATGATGTCAGATATTATAATGACTCAATGAAAACGTTTAAGTCGGACTCCGTGCGTCATAATTTTTTTTCACTCACAGCTTGCGACTTTGTTCGCCACTGCGCGGCTTCTATCGCGTATACGAAGTGATGACGGCATCCTAACGGCGAAGTTGTGCGTCAGTAACCGTTTCAAGTAAAAAGCTGACTTCGACCGCTGAACTTATGAAGACGGTCGACTCGATGTTACGTCCAAAACTAAATACGAAGGCGCAGTTTACGGAAAATAAAATGCAAGATCGGGAGAGCAGATATGGGCACAGGTATTTCTCCTAAAATGCGAAGGGTGAAATGTAAAGCATTCACGTTCAAGGCCACATTGAATGTTGCGCTGCGCCTCACTAAATTTGCGCCCGTCACATTCGGGCGCTCCCCCCCCATCCCCCCAACCCCCGCCCTTGACCGTGGTCCTAAAGATGCGCCAATCAGGATGCAGCAGCCTTCCGCCTTGAGCAAGAATAGATTCAGGCGAATCTATCAGCGAAAAAGGTTACCACATAGAGCGAGCTTCAATGCATCACTGACAGAGCAAGAAGGTCTACAGTTCAACAAAGCACCACAACTGAAAACAAAGGTGATCGAACTGACATCCTTCGACTATTTCGCCGTTGGTTGGTAGAAATTTTTAACTGTTTCAACCATCGACTGTGATGTAATCTGGCTGTGCGAGTAATGAACGAGGCCTATCTGATGACCGTAATCCCCAAATCCAGCGCGACTCGATTCCAGCATGTTTCGAGCATTACTGAATCCTCGGATCTTACACGGTAGACACTTGCGTGAAATGCGCGCAGCGTCACCTTCCTCGAATTCACGGTCGTCTTTCCCGATCCGCCCGTCCAGGACAGCACTGCTTCGAGGCGCGTCAAAAGTAATTGGTAGCGTCAACCTTTCCGTTCGAAAGGTCTCAGCTTTTTAACGGTTTCAGCGTATTAGTCATTATTGAACTTGGTGGCTGAGCTCTTTAACCAAAGGTCTCAGCTCATTAGCGGGGAGTTGAGTTAACCCTTGGCGGCTGCCCGCACATGGCCGTAGAATGTCTTCGTTTGGGCTATCAGATGCTTCTCTCCTCCGTGTCGTCGCGCATCGTCACCGTTGCCTCTGCATGCCCGTGGTCATGGCGCTCTTACGTCAGGCAGGGTGCTGATGACAGCAGGTGCTGATGACAGCAGGTGCTGATGACAACAGGTGCTGATGACAGCAGGTGCTGATGACAGCAGGTGCTGATGTCAGCAGGTGCTGATGACAGCAGGTGCTGATGACAGCAGGTGCTGATGACTGCAGGTGCTGATGACAGCAGGTGCTGATAACAGCAGGTGCTGATGACAGCAGGTGCTGATGACTGCAGGTGCTGATGACAGCAGGTGCTGATGACTGCAGGTGCTGATGACAGCAGGTGCTGATGACAGCAGGTGCTGATGACAGCAGGTGCTGATGACAGCAGGTGCCACTCAGCGGATGGCGTTCGGCGGATGGCGCTCCGCGGAATGGCATTCGGCGGACGGCGCTCAGCGGATGGCGCTCGGCCGGTCTCAGCCGCAGCCTCTGCATGCTCAGCAGGTGCTCCCGAGTCCCGACAGCAGGTGCCGCTCAGCAGGTGCTCTCACATGCATGTGCTTCACCGCGCTGCATAATCATTTACATCAGTCACTTTCACACCCACAAAATCTCATTCTCACCACATATCCCCGCTCCCAGCGCATATACTCAGCACACATACACCCAGCACACATTTTCGCCCGGTCATGCTCCCAGCACATGTGCTCCCTACTTCTGGTCCCAATGTGACTCAGCGCACAACTTTCTCAGCGCGCATACACTCATGTGTCTAGCAGTGTCCAAAATTGTGAGCTCCCAGCACACACACTCGCTCAAGCCGTGCACTGATAATGCTTTCCTGCCCGTGTTCTCCTCGAACTGCCAGGCTCTCACCTGCTGTGACTGAGGCTGTGGTGAATATAAGTGGCCAGCATGTGCGTGGCATGTGTGCAGCATGTGTGGGTGGCTTGTGACAGCACACAGAACAGCACAGCACAGCACACAGCACAGCACACAGCAGAGCACACAACAGAGCACAGCACTGCATACACAGCACACACCACAGGTGACTGCACACCACACAGCTTCGACACAGCACAGGTGACTGCACACCACACAGCTTCGACACAGCACAGGTGACTGCACACCACACAGCTTCGACACAGCACAGCACACAACACGCAACACAGCGCACAACACAGCGCACAACACAGCGCACAACACAGCACAGAACAGCAAGCAGAACAATCGACAGCACAGCATTTCCTTAACATCTCAGTATGTGGCACAGCAAAGCACACTGGAAAGCAATACTTAATACTTGGGCATGCTGTTACGCGCAGAGACTCCCTGTTGGTGATGCCTCTGCAGCACACAGCATTGCCAGAAGTCGCAACACAAGTGGCAATGTGCCATGATTGGGAAGAAATGTTGCCATTTCAGAGGGAATTTGCCTCTGTCGCATGCTGCCACTGTTGGTTTGCATTAAATAATATTCTGAATGCTAAAGATCCTTTTACTGTTATGTAAGCCATTCTGTTCTGTTTAGCTGCTACATTGCACCATATGCTTCCCTGGTGCATGTTGAACTACATGAAGGTGCTGCACATGAAGGCATCTGATTGATAATCTAACCAAATCTAAAACTAATTAGGCAACTATATATATATCAAAAATCGTGCGGGCAACAATAGAGAGCGCCATCGTCTTGGGTCTTCCGGGTCCCTCTTGGCCACTAGGGGGGTTAACCCCTAGTGTTACACCCACACCACACACCACGTTGAGGTGGGGACCCTTTGTGTGGGACCTGCATGGGAACAACGGGGGGTGGGTTAGAAGAAAACAGACGTTCGCAGGCGTCAGGAGGCGTCCCCCCTAACACCTGCCATCTTGGACGTCTGCAGGCGTCAGGAGGCGTCCCCCCTAATGCCTGCCCTCTTGGTCTTTGGACGTCTTGGGCCTTGGTCCTTGGACGTCTTGGGCCTTGGTCCTTGGACGTCTTGGGAGGGGAGGGGGGGGGGGGGGGGGGGAAGACCAACACAACACATGCAAGACGAACACAACACATGCAATGCAAAAAAGCAGGAGCAAATACGAAAAAAGGAGCAAGTGAAAAGCAAGGAGCAAGACATCGTACCTCCGTCCGTGTCGCCCGGCCTGCCGCCCCACTTCCACTGACACTGCAGGGAAGGGGAGTGGGGAGGGGAGGGGAGGGGAGGGGAGGGGAGGGGGAGGGAGGGGGAGGGAGGGGAGGGGAGGGGAGGGGAAGGGAGGGGAGGGGGAGGGGGGGGGGGGGGGGACGACCAACACAACACATGCAAGACGAACACAACACATGCAATGCGAAAAAGCAGGAGCAAATGCGAAAACAGGAGCAAGTGAAAAGCAAGGAGCAAGACATCGTACCTCCGTCCGTGTCACCCGGCCTGCCGCCCCACTTCCACTGACACTGCAGGGAAGGGGAGTGGGGAGGGGAGGGGAGGAGAGGGGAGGGGAGGGGAGGGAGGGGGAGGGAGGGGAGGGGAGGGGAGGGGAGGGGAGGGGGGGGGGGAGGACGACAAACACAACACATGCAATGCGAAAAAGCAGGAGCAAATACGAAAACAGGAGAAAGTGAAAAGCAAGGAACAAGACATCGTACCTCCGTCCGTGTCGCCCTCCGTGCGGCCGCGCTACCTGCCATGCTGAAGGGAAGGGGGGCGGGGTTATTGCAAAAAGGCGCCTCTTGATGCCCCCTGCGCTGCCACCTCGCCCCGCGCTGCCCCCCGTGAAGCCCTGAAGGAAGGAAGGCGGGGATTTAGCAGAGAACGCCTCCACTGCTGCCCCGCCGCGCTGCCCCCCGTGAAGCCCTGAAGGAAGGAAGGCGGGGATTTAGCAGAGAACGCCTCCACTGCTGCCCCGCCGCGCTGCCCCCGTGAAGCCCTGAAGGAAGGAAGGCGGGGATTTAGCAGAGAACGCCTCCACTGCTGTCCCGCCGCGCTGCCCCCGTGAAGCCCTGAAGGAAGGAAGGCGGGGATTTAGCAGAGAACGCCTCCACTGCTGTCCCGCCGCGCTGCCCCCCGTGAAGCCCTGAAGGAAGGAAGGCGGGGATTTAGCAGAGAACGCCTCCACTGCTGCCCCGCCGCGCTGCCCCCGTGAAGCCCTGAAGGAAGGAATGCGGGGATTTAGCAGAGAACGCCTCCACTGCTGCCCCGCCGCGCTGCCCCCGTGAAGCCCTGAAGGAAGGAAGGCGGGGATTTAGCAGAGAACGCCTCCACTGCTGCCCCGCCGCGCTACCCCCGTGAAGCCCTGAAGGAAGGAAGGCGGGGATTTAGCAGAGAACGCCTCCACTGCTGCCCCGCCGCGCTGCCCCCGTGAAGCCCTGAAGGAAGGAAGGCGGGGATTTAGCAGAGAACGCCTCCACTGTTGCCCCGCCGCGCTGCCCCCGTGAAGCCCTGAAGGAAGGAATGCGGGGATTTAGCAGAGAACGCCTCCACTGCTGCCCTGCCGCGCTGCCCCCGTGAAGCCCTGAAGGAAGGAAGGCGGGGATTTAGCAGAGAACGCCTCCACTGCTGCCCCGCCGCGCTACCCCCGTGAAGCCCTGAAGGAAGGAAGGCGGGGATTTAGCAGAGAACGCCTCCACTGCTGCCCCGCCGCGCTGCCCCCCGTGAAGCCCTGAAGGAAGGAAGGCGGGGATTTAGCAGAGAACGCCTCCACTGCTGCCCCGCCGCGCTGCCCCCCGTGAAGCCCTGAAGGAAGGAATGCGGGGATTTAGCAGAGAACGCCTCCACTGCTGCCCCGCCGCACTGCCCCTGTGAAGCCCTGAAGGAAGGAAGGCGGGGATTTAGCAGAGAACGCCTCCACTGCTGCCCCGCCGCGCTGCCCCCGTGAAGCCCTGAAGGAAGGAAGGCGGGGATTTAGCAGAGAACGCCTCCACTGCTGCCCCGCCGCGCTGCCCCCGTGAAGCCCTGAAGGAAGGAAAGCGGGGATTTAGCAGAGAACGCCTCCACTGCTGCCCCACCGCGCTGCCCCCCGTGAAGCCCTGAAGGAAGGAAGGCGGGGATTTAGCAGAGAGCGCCTCCACTGCTGTCCCGCCGCGCTGCCCCCCGTGAAGCCCTGAAGGAAGGAAGGCGGGGATTTAGCAGAGAACGCCTCCACTGTTGCCCCGCCGCGCTGCCCCCGTGAAGCCCTGAAGGAAGGAATGCGGGGATTTAGCAGAGAACGCCTCCACTGCTGCCCCGCCGCGCTGCCCCCGTGAAGCCCTGAAGGAAGGAAGGCGGGGATTTAGCAGAGAACGCCTCCACTGCTGCCCCGCCGCACTGCCCCCGTGAAGCCCTGAAGGAAGGAAGGCGGGGATTTAGCAGAGAACGCCTCCACTGCTGCCCCGCCGCGCTGCCCCCGTGAAGCCCTGAAGGAAGGAAGGCGGGGATTTAGCAGAGAACGCCTCCACTGCTGCCTCGCCGCGCTGCCCCCTCGCCCTCCACGTGAAGGCCCGAACTGAAGGGAATGGAAGGGGGAGGAGTGAGGACGGAGTGCGGGTCAGGAGGACGTGGGACAGAGGCATGGAAGAGTGCAGATCCAAGGGCCAAGGTGCTGGAGGTATGTGAGAAGCCCGCAGAGGCCGAGGGTGGCCCCATGCTTCAGGACAAGACCAAGAGAGAGCTGGGGCCCCCACTCTCAAATGACCGAGTCCCTCAGGCCCTCGTCTCTGCATGGCGCTCACTCTCCATTCAACAGCACCCCTCCTTGTAATCGCCTCAGCCAGCCCGTCAGTCTCTCCATCTCGTTCTTCCGCCTCACCCCATGGACGCAGGGGGAGAAGCCAGCACACGTGGGAGAAAGACGCCTCGTCGCAGCGCTGCCTCAGCGGCTTGCCTCCGAGCGCGTGGTCAGCAGGGCGGGTAGGAGGCAGCCACACGCCTGTGAATGCCGGCCGTGCGTCATCCCAACACGCTCGCTCCCCCACAGCCTGTGCGCACGTAGGAGAGAAAATGAAGGAGTGAAGAATGCAGCGATACGAAAATCTGACAAAGAATGCAGCGATACGGAAATCTGACAAAGATTGCAGGCTGTGGGGGAACACGATGAAAAAAGAACTGAAAAGCATGCATCAGGTGAAGGTGGTGTGAGTGGCACACACAAGGCAGTCAGCAGAGACTTACAACCGAACACGAGTTGACTCAAAAGTCAACGGCAGTAAGCAGCAGGCACTCTTACAACCGAACACGAGTTGACTCAAAAGTCAACGGCAGTAAGCAGCAGGCACTCTTACAACCGAACACGCAAGCACACACAAGGCAGTAAGCAGCAGGCACACTCACGAGTGGCGAGAGGAGGAGGTAGTGGCAATGACGGCGAAGGCGAACAGTGAAAGAGCGAGTGCAAACAAGAGCGTGAAAATATTGAGAGAAGAGTGATTTCTTAGCCGTATTCCGGAGGGGTCGAAGCTCCATGGACGCGCGCTCGCCAGCAGCGGCACTTCTCCCTCCTCGCCTTGCCTTTCCTCCGCAGGCGAGCAGTGATCAGCAGGGCAGCAGTGGTGCCTGCCGTGCGTCATCCCACTGCCGACATCCCACAGGTGCAGTGCAGCACCCACCCATCCATCCCACAGGTGCAGTGCAGCAGCCTCCGCCCCTCCAGTCGCCACCCGCCTCCTTGCACAGGTGCAGTGCAGCACCCACCCATCCATCCCACAGGTGCAGTGCAGCAGCCTCCGCTGTTGCCCCGCCGCGCTGTCCCCTCAACCGCCTCGCGCCACCCGCCATGCTGAGGGGGGGTTATGTAGAGAACGCCTCCACTGCTGCCCCGGCGCGCTACCCCCTCGCCATCCTTGCGTCTCTCTCGCGTGAACGCCCGAACTGAAGGGAATAGATGGGGGAGAAGTGAGGACGGAGTGCGGTTCAGGAGGACGTCAAGGCATGGAAGAGGCGGCGAAGGTGCTGAAGGAAAAGACGAGGAGCAGAGGCCAAGGGCGGGTGCAAGGGTGAGGGCAATGCACGAGGGCAGTGATGTACTCGATCACTATGTCCCGCACCAGCTCCACACTGTAAAAGTTTGGACTTTGAGTTTAAAAGCGTGGTCCCACCTGGGGATTCATCATCACATATATATCCTACGCGAGCCCACCTAGTCATATCCATCACCAACAGAGCAAGGGCTCACCTCGGGATCCCTTGCTAGGTGAGTCCTTGCCCTGTTGGTGATGGTAATTTCTGGGTGGGCTCGCGTGGTATATAGAAGTGATGATGAATCCCCAGGTGAGACCACGCTTCTCCTGTCAAAGTCCAAAACTATATAATGTGGAGCTGGTGTGGGACAAAGGGATCAAGTACATCATTGTCCTCGTGCATTGCCCTCACCCTTACACACTTCAGGACGAGATCCGGAAAGAGTAGAGGGCGCCCGCCCCACTCAAGGATCAAGCCGTCAGATTCCCTTGGCGTGACTCCCCATCCCCATACCACAGCATCCCCTTCAACCCAAGCATCGCCTCAGCCAGCCCGTCAGTCGCTCCGTCTCGTTCCTCCGCCTCACCCCATGGACGCAGGGGGAGAAGCCAGCACACGTGGGAGGAAGACGCCTCGTCGCAGCGCTGCCTCCTTGCCGCCGCCTCGCCCCAAGTGCCGCCTCCGCGCCTTGCCTCCGAGCGCGTGGTCAGCAGGGCGGGTAGGAGGCAGCCACACGCCCGTGACTGCCGGCCGTGCGTCATCCCACCGCGCACGTGGGAGAGAGGGAATGAAGGATTTATGCGCCGCAGCAGGCACACGCACAGCAGAAGCATCATCGATCAACACATGTGGCGAGAGGAGGAGGTAGTGGCAATGATGGCGAAGGCGAGCAATGAAAGAACGAGTGCAAACAAGAGCATGAAAATATCAACAGAAGGGAGATCTCTTAGCCGTATTCAGGAGGGGTCGAAGCTGCATGCACGCGCGCTCCCGCAGCGGCACTTCTCCCTCCTCGCCTCGCCGTTCCTCCACAGGCGAGCAGTGGTCAGCAGCAGGGCAGCAGTGGTGCCTGCCGTGCGTCATCCCACTGCCGCCATCCCGCAGGTGCAGTGCAGCAGCCTCCGCCCCTCCAGTCGCCACCCGCCTCCTTGCACAGGTGCAGTGCAGCACCCATCCATCCTCCTCCACCCATCCATCGTTCCGCTCCACCTCGCCGCCTCCTCGTCTGCTCCTCCGCGCCTTGCCTCCGAGCGCGTGGCCAGCAGGGCGGGTAGGAGGCAGCCACACGCCTGTGACTGCCGGCCGTGCGTCATCCCAACACGCTCGCGTCCACGTCAGCCACACGCCGTCCACGTCAGCCACACGCCGTCCACGTCAGCCACACGCCGTCCACATCAGCCACACGCCGTCCATGTCAGCCACACGCCCACACGCTTCCCCTCCCTTTGCATGCGCTTGCGTTGAGTGTGCTGCATGGAACAGCAAGCACGGTGGTGAGTCGAGGAACCGTGAACAAGCAAGGAAGCGAACGGAGCGAAGAAAGAAGAGACAGCAGCAACAAGGAAAGACGGGAACACGACGAGCGACGTACCGTGAGTGTGGGCGCTGGAGGTGCTGCAGTCTGCAGCAAGGCGGAGTCTCGTTAGTCCCGAAGGTGGCGCGTTGAAGGCGCTGCAGCAACGCACGAGCGCGCACCCACGCCTGTGCACACACCGTGCTGCAAGCATGCACTCACCAGTCGAGCTCGCCCCTGCCGTTGCCGCGTGTGCCTCACACGCTCGGGCCTCTGCCCGCTTGCCTCAGGGCACTGCCCCTAGCTAGCCAATGTCCAATCCAATGTCCAAACCAATGTCCAAACCAATGGCTCAATGTCCAAACCAATGTTCCAAACCAACGTCCAAACCAATGGCTCAATGTCCAATGTCTGCTGGTGTTGCCCCTAGCTAGCCTATGTCCATTCCAATGTCCAAACCAATGTCCAAACCAATGTCCAAACCAATGGCTCAATGTCCAATGTCTGCTGGTGCTGCTGCTGCCGGGAGGTGCATGCAGGGACAGCAGTGGTCGGCAGGGCACGCCCAGGCCGTGCGTCATCCCACCCCCCCGTAGCTACCTCTGCCTCCTCGCCTCAAGTGCGTGGGCGACCTGCACAAGTGACAGAGCACGTCATCAGTCTATGGCTATTCGGATCTGACAAAAACAGGAAAAAAAGGGCGCTAAGATTTCAATGCACCAGGGCGGAACGAGTGGTGGAGGGCAACTTACAAGGTGAATGGCAGAGGAGCCCCGCCAGTCAGTGATTCTGGCACCTCCTCTCCTCTCCTCTGCACCTCCTGGCCTCCCCACGCCCATGCGTGGTGCCCCAGTGTCACGTCAGCCCTGTGCCTCTGCAAGGACGGGCAGGAGAGCACGTGGAGACAAGGAGGTGAGCCAGCGCACGAGGTAAGCTGGGCGGGTAGGGAACTCACATAAGTTGGGTCGCAGGTGGGAGGAGGAGGCAGGTTCGCCCACGCCTCGCCTCCTCACTAGCAGCCCCTTGCCTCCTTGTCGCCCCCTCGCCTCCTCAGCTGCGCAAGTCAGCACCTTCGCCTCCTTGCGTCATCGCGTCGCATCCTCACCAACAGCGTTGCCCCCTGGCCTTTCTGCTGCCGGTGTCGAGAGGGCAGGCAGGCACACTCTGCCTTGCTGCTTGCCGTGTGCACTGAAAAGGGCGGAAAGAGATGGGGGAGAGGAACAAAGGAACCAAGGAAAGAAGAAAACAATGGACGGTGGCAACGTATTGAAGGTGCAGAAGAAAACCAGATTCAATTTCCAATACTGAAGGTGCCAAATTACAGATTCAGCTTCCAGTACTGAAGGTGCTAAAAGAAACAGATTCAGCTTCCAATATTGAAGGTGCTAAAAAACAGATTCAGCTAACGTAGGGAACGCAACGAAGGGAAGGCAACTCAAACGTTCCTCCAGTGCGGCAGTGGCGCCATTCCTCCTCGCCTCAGTCGTTCGGCAGCAGCCGTTGGGCAGCAGTGCTCAGGAGCAGCGGTCCAGTGATCTCTGTAGTGAAGATTATCAGCACAAACGAAAATATGAAAGACAGACGATCAGCAACGGAAGCCAGAACAGCAAATCAGGAAACGTTAGCGCGAAAGAAACAGATCAAGGCAAGTATATGGATTCAGGTAACCCACCGTTGGCCATGGCGTCGAAGGCGCGGGTCGCCGCTACCGACGTGGAACGACACTCCCACCACCACTTGGAGCTTGAGGAGAGGCGCCTCGACGAGGAGAGAAGTCACCTCGAGTGAGTGCGCGCTGCAGCGAAAGAAAAAAAAACAGATTATTAGCACAGGCGGAAAAACGAAGCGGGCGATTAGCAAGCCAACGAACACAACGGAAGCCCGAAAAGCAAATCAGAGCGAAACAAAACGGAATACGGCCAGCATAGAGATTCATGTAACCCACAGTTGGCCGCGGCGGCGAAAGCCATACCACCAGAGCCGTCGCTACCTCCCCCTCGCTGCCAAGCGAGATATGGAAAATGATTAGTAAGAGATATGGAAAACTGACAAGCATACATGCAAGCAACAAAAAATGCAAGACAAAAAAAGCTGGAAAACATGCATCACGTGAAGGTGGTGTGAGTGGCAGTGACAGTGCAGTGCAGTGGAGCGAGTGACAGTGCGAGCGGAAGCGGCAGCGGCAGCGGCAGCGGCAGCGGCAGCGGCAGCGGCAGTGGCAGCAGCAGCGCAGGCGGGGTGGTGGGTGGCAGCTGCATGGCGGGCACCAAAGGACCGTACCGTACCTGAGCACACCTACTTACGCATGATGCCGCCGTTACCTGGACACACCTGGGGAATGGTCCAATGGTGCCGCCGGTGCGAGCTGGAGGAGGAGGAACGAGTGGCGCGAGGAGGAGGAGGCGGCTATGAGGGCGGAAGCAAGCAAGCGCGAAGAAGTGCCAACAAGTGCGTGAATAAACGAGATATCTTAGCCTTATATCAGCAGGCAGGGGTCGAGGCAGCGGCGCCCGTTCCTCCTCGCCTCAGCCGTCCCTCCGTCCGCCTCCGTCCTCCTCGCCGCTACCGCAGTTTGCCGCTCGCCAGCTCCCTTGAGTGCGCCGTGCTCCCTGAGAGGCGAGCAGTGGTCAGCATCAGTGACTAGATAACAGAGTTCCTAAAAAAGCAACGAATAAAAAAGAATCATTCAGGTTTCCAACATTGAAAGTGCTAAAGAACAGATTCAGCTAACGTAGGGAAGGCAACGTAGGAAAGGCAACTCACAAGTTCCTCTGGTGCGCCAGCAGTCGTGAGCAGCATCGCCTCAGTGGTGAGCAGCATCGCCTCAGTGGTGAGCAGCATCGCCTCAGTGGTGAGCAGCATCGCCTCAGTGGTGAGCAGCATCGCCTCAGTGGTGAGCAGCATCGCCTCAGTGGTGAGCAGCATCGCCTCAGTGGTGAGCAGCATCGCCTCAGTGGTGAGCAGCATCGCCTCAGTGGTGAGCAGCATCGCCTCAGTGGTGAGCAGCATCGCCTCAGTGGTGAGCAGCATCGCTGATGAAGCAGCAGTCGTTGCTCCTCATCAAGATCAGCAGCTGTTGCTCCTCATCATTAGGCTCAGAAGGAGAGCAGCGAAGTGCAGCAGCAAGCCTTGGACCTGCACAAGTCAAGCCGGTCAGCATCAGTGCCTGAACCTTCAGTCGCTAACGAATAAAAGCAACCGCTAACGAACAAAAGCAACTCGGGAAACATCACTCGGGATTTCATAGGAATGCTGAAACAATGCTCGGAAATTCAATACACTGAAACATTGCTTCAACTTACCATGACGGATGCTTCGTAGGAACTTCACGAGCTTCGTGGCCTCCTCGCCAGCAGCGTCATTTCTCCGCGCAGCTCCAGGCTGCTGAAGCGCACTGACGGTCGCGCAGCTCCAGGCTGCTGAATCGCACTGACGGTCGCGCACCTCCAGGCTGCTGAATCGCACTGACGGTCGCGCACCTCCAGGCTGCTGAATCGCACTGACTGTGCAGCAGCACTCGTCATTCAACTGCAGCAGCGGTGGCCGAACCCTCCCTTGGGTCACCTGCACAAGTCGAATCACACACACATCATCAATCTGTGAGCATTCAGGTATCGGACAAAATAAAAATAACGAAGAATCACCCAAGATTTCAATACGCAAAGCACTGGAAGATTGCTTTGAAAAAATGCTTGAACTTACCATGGCGAACTGAATGGTGAGTATCCCATGTGTGGATATCATGGACTACGGAACGAGGTATTCGCGCTTCGTCGTCGGATTCGTATGGACGTCGTCAGATGCATCGTCGGACTCGCATGCGCAAGTCGCCAGCATCCACAATGTCGCTCGCGGTTCGTCGCCATCATCCTCAACTCGTTGCATGCGGAAGTCGCCAGCATCCGCAATGTCCGTCGTCGCTTGTCCGTCGTCGCTAGTCCGTCGTCGCTTTTCCGTCGTCGCTTGTCCGTCGTCGTTAGTCCGTGGCGGTTGAAGCAGAAGCGGAAATTCCAACTTTGTTTTGCTCGCCGTTCTTATGCAGCTGAGATGTCAAGAAGAATAGCGTCACGACACGTTGATGGTTCCGGCTACTAAAGTGTTGGGATGATGAAGCCGTAGTCGCGAATCGAAAATTTAAAATCTAGTCGCGAGAAGAACATCTCTTAGTATCAGCCGCCAGGATTCCTGGATATCTCCCGACCAAATTCCGTTTTGTAAACGAACCGTTTTACTCCAAGCAGAAGGGGATCATGGAGATTGAGAGAATACTAAATCCATGGCGAGATGAGAAGACATGGCGACGGGAGCCACGGTGAAAATACGTGGACGGTACTTTTCACGAGATTCATGGCGGCCTTGAGGTCTGGCGAGCAGAGAAGTCGGAACAATGGAGGTGTGGGAATGTGGGAGAAAGCGGTGGAGTGGAAGGCCTTGCGAATCTGGGAGTGTCGCTTGACGAGGGTGACCAGAGTCAACCCACAGTGGTGATTCTCCCTTGCTGGGTGAGGGGGTGGTGCTGGCTCGACGGTGACGACCAGCGTCAACCCAAAGTGGTGATTCTCGCTCGCTGAGTGAGGGGGTGGTGTTGGCTCGACGGTGACCAGGGTCAAACAAAAGTGGTGTCAGTGGGTGGGGAAGGATTGCGCCAGGCGGAGCGCCGGTGACAGAAAGTGGCGGGGGGAGAGGTGGGTTAGCGCGTCAAACGGTAAATAATTATTATTTTTTTGGGTAGAAAGAGTTCTCGGGACAGAGTGTTCGGTTCGGGGTCAAAGCGCTAATTTTTAAAAGAACCTGGTGAAAAGCGGCAATAACCAGGTCACTTGGCATGACACCCGATTGAATTGGCTATCTTTTTTCCCTGGGATGCGAGGAAAACATTTCGCCGGCAGCATGCGCATGTGAATTTGACATCAGCGGAGCGCGGAGTTCACTGACGGGTCCGCGCGCCAGATGTGTCTGCGCGCCAAGTTTCGCAGAGGGAACTGGCGCAGTAACCTTGCGCACTGACTTCACATGATGATGTTCGACCGAAGATGGCGAACACGGATACACTCAGTTCGTGAATCAGCGACGATTGCACACGAAAGTACGAAGCGCGAAAATGTGCGCCGAGCGGGTGTTTGCGCGGGTGTCAGACTGCGCTCAGAGCATGACGTAGGTGATGGCGGAGCTTAAGCGGCTCTCCCTCGAGATTATCGCCTCCGGTGATGTAAATCGGATCGGACGGCTGTGCGTATGCTTGTGGGCCCACCTCACGTCATCAGTCAGTACAAGAAGATTTGTGGGCTCATCCTCCCCACCTCCACAATGGAATGAAATAACAACTGTAGAAACCTCAATTCTACACAAACTTCCACAGATACGTATACGAAAGATAATTCACATTTCATGTCAATTGGGACGGCAGTATGGTTCACGTATGGAAATTTCAGGTGTATAAATGCTGGTGGTACGTGTAAGGATTTACAGAATCCTTACTGAGGCACTCGTTAGCGAGGACATCCCGAGGGTCATGCGACGAACCTGTCCTTCCTATTTCGTCGCACCGAACCACTCCCGAGTCGCCTCCGCTCCAATCGCAACCATCACTGAGCCATCCTCGCCCAACCTCTCCGCCTAGCTAGGACTTCCCCTATTTAGTCGTTCCTTTCTCATTGTATCGTCATTCAGTCATTCAGTAATTCAGTAATCAGTCATTCTCGTTATTCGTTTTACTGCGCACTCTGCAAGTTCATTCATAACAGTACGCTTGTGCATTTCTCTCACGACATCCTTTTTCAAAGCCATAAAACTGTTATATGTTATAACTCTACCAAGATTCCCTCTCTTTCATAATTTTATATCTGATTCAACTGTTTTTTACCGTAGCTGTCATGTCAGCAGGAAAGATTCTCCAAACCATTGACAAATCAACTCACTTCCAGTTACAATGAAGGCTCCTCTACCACAAGGTCACTTTCCGCTTAGCCGTTTTGCCTTGCCACCATGTAACTCTTCTTGGCCTCATACGTAATCGCGGGCGATGGCGTTCGAGGTGTTGTGTCAGTCTGATGCTGAAACAAGTTTCTTGGAAATCACGAGACAGTTCTCTATGGATCGAAGAAGGCACCAGAAATTACCAGCGACAGGCGACGCACATGGACGCAGTGCAACGGACATACCAGTGCAGACACGGATTTAATCTAGTTGTAGATGCCTTAAGGCTCTGGTAAGATAACGTGTGAAGGAATCAACACGAAATTGCTGTCAAGTGCTGAATCCGACCCAGCACAATCAAGCACGCAATGAGAGTCAATCCATTCCAGATCCTTAACGCACAGAAGAGGCGGCCACCCCCAACCGACAGTGAGCGGGCGAACTAAATTAGCTATTGGGTAAAGAATGCACATAGTCTCGCCATATGTCCACGAAGCGAGCCTTGGTGAAGACTATTAGTCGTCCGAATTTCTTACTCAACCGCCCTCGACTGAGCGTTGCGGATTATTTGGAAAAGAGCTGCACAACCCAAGAAGAAACAAATATCAGAGTCTTATACCATTGTTAGATTGAGTTCATTTCCATTACGTGTTTGTTAGCAACTACACACTTACACGAGCCAATGACAACGAAGATGAAGAAACCGAGAACCCAGACGCTGACCGGAAACTTCTCACTCCGTTTCGTAACACTATCAGGAACGTTCCCTCGTTTCGTGATGTTCTTGTGAAAAGCAGAGTTCTTCTTCTCAGCCAATCGCTTGGAAGTCGTCTGCAAGACCAAGGTGGACGCTCGTTGTCAGATTCTAACCAGAGAAGTTAACCCATCAGGAACACGAAAGAAGCCTCCAAAAGGTACTAACCATTTTGGACGTATCGTTGACAACCTGAGTAGACAAACGAACTCCAAGCTAACAGGAAAGGCTGAAAGAAACGGCGTGAGAAACTGGAAGCTGGTCAACTGAATGAACATCAACTGTCGAAGTCTAGCTTTATGAAAGCAAATTCATCCCACCCTCGCTCATTGCCAGCACAGATCAGACTACGCCTCCCTTCTTCGAAGCATTGAACCGCAACAGCGGGGAAGCAGGTTCGACTTGGCGGGAAGGCCTGCTTACCTACCACATCAACCAACCACCGAACACCAACCACCACTGCAAGCCTCGGCCTTGGCTTTGGCGGAGCGAGGGTGTCCGAGGTTCAAGGACAAAACGACCGCGTGCGAGGGGTTCGGGAAATCCAACGATCGGGAACGATGCAAATGACTTCCAGCTATTCGTCAAAACTTCCAGAAACGCGTTTGTGCGACTCAAACAGTTGTCGTCGCAAGTGCAGACTTGACGGTTTCGGTTCAGGCATATAACAGGTCCATGGTTTGACTGCCGAATCTCGCTACGGATGGAACAACGCGAACCGATATAGCATTTGTGAACCGATGAAAGACATTTTACTTCCCCAACGTACACAAGGAAATTTGGTTGCCAAAGGAAATTTGGGTGAGTTATTTCAGTTATAAGCTTTTGAAAGAGGATATCATGAAACAAATGCATAAGCAGAAAATGAACTAGAAAATTGTAGACACCACCAATCTACCACCTAGACGAATGCTCAGTGTGAGTTATCTTTCGTACACGTATCTGTGGAAGTTTGTGTAGAATTGAGGTTTCTACAGTTGTTATTTCATTCCACTGTGGAGGTGGGGAGGATGAGCCCACAAATCTTCTTGTACTGACTGATGACGTGAGGTGGGCCCACAAGCATACGCACAGCCGTCCGATCCGATTTACATCACCGGAGGCGATAATCTCGAGGGAGAGCTACTTAAAACCCGAAACCTGAATTGTTCAACGGAAGTCAGCTGCAGGCAAAACTCTGGGGCGCGGCAGGCAAACTGTGCACAGTTTGCCCTCTTTTTTTGTAATTCAGGTTTTGGGCTTTAAGCTTTGCCATCACCTACGTCATGCTCTGAGCGCAGTCTGACACCCGCGCAAACACCCGCTCGGCGCACATTTTCGCGCTTCGTACTTTCGTGTGCTATCGTCGCTGATTCACGAACTGAGTGTATCCGTGTTCGCCATCTTCGGTCGAACATCATCATGTGAAGTCAGTGCGCAAGGTTACTGCGCCAGTTCCCGCTGCGAAACTTGGCGCGCAGACACATCTGGCGCGCGGACCCGTCAGTGAACTCCGCGCTCCGCTGATGTCAAATTCACATGCGCATGCTGCCGGCGAAATGTTTTCCTCGCATCCCAGGGAAAAAAGATAGCCAATTCAATCGGGTGTCATGCCAAGTGACCTGGTTATTGCCGCTTTTCACCAGGTTCTTTTAAAAATTAGCGCTTTGACCCCGAACCGAACACTCTGTCCCGAGAACTCTTTCTACCCAAAAAAATAATAATTATTTACCGTTTGACGCGCTAACCCACCTCTCCCCCCGCCACTTTCTGTCACCCGCGCTCCGCCTGGCGCAATCCTTCCCCACCCACTGACACCACTTTTGTTTGACCCTGGTCACCGTCGAGCCAACACCACCCCCTCACTCAGCGAGCGAGAATCACCACTTTGGGTTGACGCTGGTCGTCACCGTCGAGCCAGCACCACCCCCTCACCCAGCAAGGGAGAATCACCACTGTGGGTTGACTCTGGTCACCCTCGTCAAGCGACACTCCCAGATTCGCAAGGCCTTCCACTCCACCGCTTTCTCCCACATTCCCACACCTCCATTGTTCCGACTTCTCTGCTCGCCAGACCTCAAGGCCGCCATGAATCTCGTGAAAAGTACCGTCCATGTATTTTCACCGTGGCTCCCGTCGCCATGTCTTCTCATCTCGCCATGGATATTAGTATTGTCTCAGTCTCCATGATCCCCTTCTGCTTGGGGTAAAACGGCTCGTTTACAGAACGGAATTTGGTGGGGAAGTAGTTTCCTCAATACAGCGTGGTTTTCGCGGTGGTTTAGTTCTACACGTTCTGGAGGTTCCGATAAGCTGATATCATTCTAGATTTAATCCCGGGAGGCTCAAGCAGCATTATCACCTCAAGAGCGTCTGTGATTCCTACGGATTTTCCGCATGCAACCATTTGAGGATAATGGCGACGTTGCGGATGCTGGCGACTTCCGCATGCGAGTCGACGATGCATCTGACGACGTCCATACGAATCCGACGACGAAGCGGGATTTCGTCGTTCTGTGGTCCATGATATACACACATGGATACTCACCACTCAGTTCGCCATGGTAAGTTACAGCATTTTTACAGAGCAATCTTTCAGCGCTTTGCGTATTGAAATCTTAAGTGATTCTTCGTTACGCTTATTTTGTTCGAAACCTGAATGCTCACAAGGTGATTTGATGATGTGTGATTTGACTTGTGCAGGTGACCCAAGAGCCTGCTGAAGAACGGAGGGTTCGGCCACCGCTGCTGCAGTTGAATAACGAGTGCTGCTGCACCGTCATTGCGATTCAGCAGCCTGGAGCTGCACGACCGTCAGTGCGATTCGGCAGCCTGGAGCTGCGCGACCGTCAGTGCGATTCAGCAGCATGGAGATGCGCGACCGTCATTGCGATTCAGCAGCCTGGAGCTGCGCGACCATCAGTGCGAGTCAGCAGGCTGGAGCTGCGCGACCATCAGTGCGATTCAGCAACCTGGAACTGCGCGAGCGTCAGCGCGATTCAGCAACCTGGAGCTGCGTGAGCGTCAGCGCGATTCAGCAACCTGGAGCTGCGCGAGCGTCAGTGCGATTCAGCAACCTGGAGCTGCGCGACCGTCAGTGCGATTCAGCAGCCTGGAGCTGCGCGACCGTCAGTGCGATTCAGCAGCCTGGAGCTGCGCGGAGAAATGACGCTGCTGGCGAGGAGGCCACGAAGCTCGTGAAGTTTCTACGAAGCATCCCGCCATGGTAAGTTGAAGCAATGTTTCAGTGTATTGAATTTCCGAGCATTGTTTCAGCATTCCTATGAAATCCCGAGTGATGTTTCAGCGTATTGAGATTCCGAGCATTGTTTCATTCAGCATTCCTAAGAAATCCCGAGTGATGTTTCCCGAGTTGCTTTTATTCGTTAGCGACTGAATGTTCAGGCACTGATGCTGACCGGCTTGACTTGTGCAGGTCCAAGGCTTGCTGCTGCACTTCGCTGCTCTCCTGCCGAGCCTAATGATGAGGAGCAATGGCTGCTGATGTTGATGAGGAGCAACGACTGCTGCTTGATTGGCGGAATGGCGCTGCTGAAGAACGGAGGTCCGGCAGGCGCTGCCGCAGTGGAATATCGGGTGCTGCTGTAGCTGAGAACGGGCGCTGCTGCACCAGAGGAACTTCCGCCATGGTAAGCTGAATCTGTTTTTTCAGTGCTTTGAATGTTGGAAACCTGAGATATTCTTTTCTTTTGTTGCATTTCTACGAATCTGAATGCCTAGTCACTGATGCTGTTAATTCTGACCTGGGAAGATCGGCGAGGAGGCATTCCGCCATGGTAAGTTGGAAGCGGTGTTTCAGCATATTTAAATTTTCGAGCATTGTTTCAGCATTCCTATGAAATTCCGAGTGATGTTTCCGGAGTTGCCTTTATTCGTTAGCGACTGAATGTTCAGGCCCTGATGCTGACTGGTTTGACTTGTGCAGGTCCAAGGCTTGCTGCTGCACTTCGCTGCTCTCCTGCTGAGCCTAATGAGGAGCAACGGCTGCTGAGCTTGATGAGGAGCAACGGCTGCTGCTTGATTGGGGGAACGGCGCTGCAGCTCCCACGAAGCTGCTGAAGAACGGAGGTTCGGCGGGCGCTGCTTCAGTGGAATATCTGGTGCTGCTGCAGCTGAGAACGGGCGCTGCTGCACTGGAGGAACTTCCACCGGAGGAACTTCTGCCATGGTAAGTTGAATTTGTTTTTTCATTACGTTGAATATTGGAAATCTGATAGATTCTTTTCTTTTGTTGCCTGTTTTCAAATCTTGAATGTTCAGTCACTGATGCTGTTTTGTCTGACCTGTGCAGATCGCCCAAGGCCTGCTGCTGCATGGCGAGGAGGCAACGCTGACTTGCGGGTGCGTATGGAAGCGAGCGATGACGCGAGGAGGCGAGCGGCGGCTGGAGAGCGGCGAATCAGAAAGTGACAGGCGGGCGAGCGCGGCAACCGGAAAGCAACGAGCGGCCACTGAACCTCGCTAAGTTCCCTCCTCAACCCCTTGCACTCGCGCCTTCCCCCCACGCCCCTTTGTCGTTTCACCCCTCTGCATCTATCGTTTCTTCTCGTGCCAAACTCATCGTTGTCTTGTAAGGCGCATGGTGGCAGTGGTTCAGGGTGCACTTTGGCAGGCGAGCTCATGTAGAGTCCAGAGCAGAGAGAGGGTCCAGTGGGTGTAGCATAGCTTAGCAGTGCATTCATGCCATGCGCGCGTCCCTCTCGTCCCTTGCTGCCTTAGCTCGCTGCGATCGTGCCCTTGGGCCACTGTCGCCATGCGCCTTCCCCCTCCCACCCCTCCCCAGCCGTTCACTTGTCGCTCTGCTGTGCTAAAATTTCACACTTTTCTGTTGTTCTCCGCTTGTGCTCTTTCTCTCTCTCTGCCGCTCTGAAGCTGGTTCTGCTCTCTCTCTTCCGATCTTCCTGGTTGCTCCTCGTGCAGAGCCAGCAGACGGCAGCAGTGGGATGGCGGCAGTGGGATGACACACGGCAGGCAGCACTGCTGCTGCCCTGCTGACCACTGCTCGCCTCTCAGGGAGCACAGCGCACTCAAGGGAGCTGGCGGGCGGCAAACTGAGGAAGTGGACGGAGCGACAGCTGAGGCGAGGAGGACAGAGGCGGGCGTTGCTGCCTCGACCCCTGCCTGCTGAACTTGGCTAAGAAATCTCGTTACTCTTGTTTTTACATGCACTTGTTCACGCACTTGTTGGCACTCATTCGCACTTGCTCGCTTCCGCCCTCATAGCCGCCTCCTCCTCCTCCTCGCGCCACTCGTTCCTCCTCCTCCAGCTCGCACCGGCGGCACCATTGGACCATTCCCCAGGTGTGTTCAGGTAACGCGGCATCGTGCGTAAGCAGGTGTGTTCAGGTAATGGCGGCATTGTGCGTAAGCAGGTGTGTTCAGGTACGGTACGTTCCTTTGGTGCCCGCCCTGCAGCTGCCACCCACCAGCCCGCCTGCGCTGCCACTGCCGCTGCCGCTGCCGCTGCCGCTGACACTGCTGCTGCTGCCGCTGCCGCTGACACTGCTGCTGCTGCCGCTGCTGCTGCCGCTGCTGCTGCCGCTGGCACTGTCACTCACTCCACTGCACTGTCACTCCCACTCACACCACCTTCACCTGATGCATGCTTTCCAGCTTTTTCTGTCTTGCATTTTCCGTTGCTTGGATGTATGCTTGTCAGTTTTCCATATCTCTTACTAGTCATTTGCCCGCCCTCTCCTCCAGCCCACATCCTTGTGTGTGCCACTCACACCACCTTCACCTGATGCATGCTTTTCAGTTCCTTTTTCATCTGGAGTTTTCCGTTGCCTGCATTCTTTGTCAGATTTCCGTATCGCTGCATTCTTTGTCAGATTTCCGTATCGCTGCATTCTTTGTCAGATTTCCGTATCGCTGCATTCTTCACTCTTTCATTTTCTCTCTCCTACGTGCGCAAAGGCTGTGGGGGAGCGAGCGTGTTGGGATGACGCACGGCCGGCAGTCACAGGCGTGTGGCTGCCTCCTACCCGCCCTGCTGACCACGCGCTCGGAGGCAAGCCGCTGAGGCAGCACTGCGACGAGGCGTCTTCCTCCCACGTGTGCTGGCTTCTCCCCCTGCGTCCATGGGGTGAGGCGGAGGAACGAGATGGAGAGACTGACGGGCTGGAATTGAGGCGATTACAAGGAGGGTTGCTGTTGAATGGAGAGTGAGCGCCATGCAGAGACGAGGGGCTGAGGGACTCGGTCATTTGAGAGTGGGGGGCCCAGCTCTCTCTTGGTCTTGTCTTGAAGCACGGGGCCACCCTCGGCCTCTGCGGGCTACTCACATACCTCCAGCACCTTGGCCCTTGGATCTGTCCTCTTCCATGCCTCTGTCCCACGTCCTCCTGACCCTCACTCCGTCCTCACTCCTCCCCCTTCCATTCCCTTCAGTTCGGGCCTTCACGTGGAGGGCGAGGGGGCAGCGCGGCGGGGCAGCAGTGGAGGCGTTCTCTGCTAAATCCCCGCCTTCCTTCCTTTAGGGCTTCACGGGGGCAGCGCGGTGGGGCAGCAGTGGAGGCGTTCTCTGCTAAATCCCCGCCTTCCTTCCTTCAGGGCTTCACGAGGGCAGCGCGGGGCGAGGTGGCAGCGCAGGGGGCATCAAGAGGCGCCTCTTTGCAATAACCCCCCCCCCGTTCCCTTCAGCATGGCAGGTAGCGCGGCGGCACGGAGGGCGACACGGAGGTACGATGTCTAGCTGCATGTTTTTCAGTTGCTCCTGTTTTCGTATTTGCTCCTGCTTTTTCGCATTGCATGTGTTGTATTGGTCGTCCTCCCCCCCCCTCTCCCCTCCCCTCCCCTCCCCTCCCCTCCCCTCCCCACTCCCCTTCCCTGCAGTGTCAGTGGAAGTGGGGCGGCAGGCCGGGTGACACGGACGGAGGTACGGTGTCTTGCTCCTTGCTTTTCGCTTTCTCCTGTTTTCGTATTTGCTCCTGCTTTTTTGTCTTGCATGTGTTGTGTTGGTCGTCCTGCCCCTCCCCCCCCCTCCCCTCCCTTCCCCTCCCCTCCCCTCCCCTCCCCTCCCTCCCCCTCCCTCCCCCTCCCCTCCCCTCCCCTCCCCACTCCCCTTCCCTGCAGTGTCAGTGGAAGTGGGGCGGCAGGCCGGGCGACACGGACGGAGGTACGATGTCTTGCTCCTTGCTTTTCACTTGCTCCTTTTTTCGTATTTGCTCCTGCTTTTTTGCATTGCATGTGTTGTGTTCGTCTTGCATGTGTTGTGTTGGTCTTCCCCCCCCCCCCCCTCCCCTCCCAAGACGTCCAAGGACCAAGGCCCAAGACGTCCAAGGACCAAGGCCCAAGACGTCCAAGGACCAAGGCCCAAGACGTCCAAGGACCAAGGCCCAAGACGTCCAAGGACCGAGGCCCAAGACGTCCAAGGACCAAGGCCCAAGACGTCCAAGGACCAAGGCCCAAGACTTCCAAGGACCAAGGCCCAAGACGTCCAAGGACCAAGGCCCAAGACGTCCAAGGACCAAGATGGCAGGCGTTAGGGGGGACGCCTTCTGACGCCTGCAGACGTCCAAGATGGCAGGCGTTAGGGGGGACGCCTCCTGACGCCTGCAGGCGTCCAAGATGGCAGGCGTTAGGGGGGATGCCTCGTGACGCCTGCGAACGTCTGTTTTTTTCTAACTAACCCCCCGTTGTTCCCATGCAGGTCCCACACGAAGGGTCCCCACCTCTGTTGGGAACGAACAATCTTAAGCGCCTCTGTAGTGTCGAAACACCAAGGCACAAGCGAAGCAGAGCATATCGAGGCACCAGCGAGTCAACCCTCGGAGGTTGAAGTAACCGCTGGAGGTTACGCGAAAGTCAAAGTCAGCGACCTTTGACTTGACAAATGCAGCGCGACAGCAAGGACACACAACTGACTCGACATTGAGCAGTTGCCCAAGTCGCACTGTATCGAACCGTAACAGTAAAACAGTTTAATTATATCTCTTCGTATTCTTTGTACTCTTATATAAACCTTTGTACTTGCTTGTTTTAAAGAACTTACTTTGCACTCACATACCAGCGCAAGGTGGTTCAAGGACTTCATTTAAACGCTTCCGCTACTACATCACTCTACTCAGAGTTTAACCCTACCAAAGATCCTAAGGGGCACTCAGCCCAACATGGTATGAGAGCTGATTAAGGTTAAAATTATTTCTCCTTAACACCTAATACACCAAGAGACATGTCTTCCAGAAAGGAAAGGAGCTCCTCCAACGGCTCTCCTGGTACTACTCCTACTCCACCTCCTGCCTCTGGCCTACAGACAGAAGAAGGCACAACAACGAGACCGGCGGCTGGGTCTACTGAAACACCCGCAAACCAAGGCGCGGGCTTCGATCCAAGCATGATGGAGAAGTTCTTCTCCTTCATGTCCTTCTACGAGCAGCATCAGCAAGGAGCACCTACGCAATCAAACAACAGCAACAACAACAACAACGTGACGCCCATGAGTCTCGATGGCTCATCCTACGCACACGGGAATCAACAACTGCAACCTACCTTCGCTCCGTACGAGCCCCAGCGCGGCTCAGTCAGCTTCATGCCACAACCACAACCTGCACCGGGACAAGAGAGAACGCTGGACGCACTACAAGTTCAGTCGCAGTTCGCGCACGTTCTAAAACTGCAAACGACAAAACCCTTCGACGGGAAGGATTTCTTTACCTGCTCGTTCGAATTCGAGCTGATGATGGAAGGAGCGCAAATCCTTGGCTTCTTCGACGGGTCCCTACCATACCTAACAAACGGCACACAGTATGAGAAGCAGCAATGCACCTATCAATCGATGATGGCGTACACGATACTACTGAGGAACATCACTCCAACTCAACAACAAAACATACGGTCTTACCGAGGCTACGGCAACTCCGCGGAGCTCGCGCACAATCACTTGAAGAGCCTGTATCAAGCAACAGACAGCATAAACCAAAGTCGGTTAATGGCGCAGCTGACAACAATCGAAATGAAACTAGGCGAGAAGGGAATGGCGTATATCAGACGCTGCCGCGAGCTGCGCGACAAACTTCTTCGATGTGGAGGATCGATTTCAGAGGACACCTTTGTCACGGTTGTCATCGGCGGTCTTGGTCCTCACTGGCGCTCCACTCGCGCCATACTACGAGCCCACGGGAAAATTTCTGAAGCAGCACTTTGCGCCGAAATCCACGCCGAGCAGCAAGACATGGACCTGCAAGAAGAACGACACAAGAGAAAGGTATCAGTGCCCGAATTTGTGTTTCACACTCAACGGCGCCACAACAACAACAACAATCGACCGAAAATCGTACCTCCGTTCTGCCACCTCTGCAAGACTTCAGGGCATCCTCGTACGCACTGCCCGAATCGACAACAGTCAACGTCGCCGCAACGCCAACTTCGCCCTTCAAGCAGTCAAGTTGCCTCAACGCAAGCAAATCGGACAACTTCAGTACAAGTCTCAACAACATCGACGGGACAACCTGCGAAAGGAACAAGATGTCAGAACATTATAGCTTATACATTTGTGTAGGCTGTAGTGGGGTAGCCCATAAGGGGTACAACCCAATTAGGGTTAGCACTTGTACCCAACTGTTTCATAGTTCATTCATTCCATTCTCACTTGTCCTCATGGTATCGAGCAGGTTCCCGAGTGGAAATACTGCCTAGGGCCCACCACGATTTTTTTTTTTTTTCCTTCCCTGCCCGGAGCGCGCTTAGCTCCTAACCCGAGTAGCGCCTCGAGCCGCCTTAGTGGCCCCTATTGGCCGCCCTTACTGCCCCTCGAGCCGCCCTCTACGGCCTCGCTTAGGCCGCTACGACCCCGCTACGGCCCCGCTACGGCCCCGTCGGCCCCGCTAAGGCCCTGCTACGGCCCCGCTACGGCCCCGCTACGGCCCCGCTACGGCCCCGCTACGGCCCCGTCGGCCCCGCTTACGCCCCGCTACGGCCCCGCTACGGCCCCGCTACGGCCCCGTCGGCCCCGCTACGACCCCGCTTAGGCCCCGCTACGGCCCAGTCGGCCCCGCTTAGGCCCCGCTACGGCCCCACTACGGCCCCGCTACGGACCCGTCGGCCCCGTCGGCCCCACTTAGGCCCCGCTACGGCCCCGCTACGGCCCCGTCGGCTCCGCTACGGCCCCGCTACGGCCCCGCTACGGCCCCTCTTTGGCCCCGCTATGGCCCCGCTTCGGCCCCGCTTAGGCCCCGCTGCGGCCCCGCTACGGCCCCACTTCGGCCCCGTCGGCCCCTCTACGGCCCCACTTAGGCCCCACTTCGGCCCCGTCGCCACCGCGGCCTCGCCCACCTTTGCGGCCCGCCGCCACCTGCGACCTCGCCACCACCTGCGACCCCGCCTCCCAGCGCCCGCAACGCCGAGCAGCCGAAGCGCCGGCCACCTGAGCCGCCCGACTGTTGAAATGAACGAACAGGAATGATTGAACTAACAGTGAAATCAGTACAAGTACCTAACCCTAGAATTGTGTACCCCCTATAGGCTAACCCACTGTAGCCTAAACAAGCACAACATATATAATGTTTGACACACCCCCATAGGCGAAGTGGGGGAGAACTAGGGGTCACAAGACCAGTCAAGGCAAAGCAAGGCAAAACAAGCTCAGGGTGGATCTCAAGGATACCACACAAATTCCGAGCACAAGCAAGTGGTCACAAGACCAGTTCACATGCAGGTTTATAATAGAACAAGAGGTACAAAGATCACAACCTAGCAAGAGTAAACATGCAGGTATATATATATATATAGAGATCACAGTACAAACAGACTCAAGAAGTAAGCAAGTGAGGTCCAGTAGGCACATGGCCTAGAAGAGTGCAAAAGCGCTGATGGTCACAAGGCTAAAGCGCCTTGGTGAGCACATCAGCAGTGTTGCCCTCAGAGGCCACGTAACGCAGACGAAGCTGACCACGCTGCTGCAGCTCTCGAGCTAGAAAGTAACGTAGAGCAATGTGCTTCGTTCTGTGCTCCAGTCTGTGCTCCTAACACAAGGCAATGGCTGCCTTGTTGTCGACGTACAGCACTAGAGGAGAACGAGGCCGCTCTCCAAGGTCGGTCAGCAAGTAGGTGAGCGAGCGTAGCTCCTGGGCCGCCATGGCTGTGGCGTAGATCTCAGCCTCACAACTGGAGCTGAGAACAGAAGAAGAGCGAGTAGAACGCCAAGAAACTGAACCAGAGCCAAGACTGAAGGTGTAACCCTGAGACGACCGCTGAGTAGCCTGGTCGTCTGCCCAAGAAGCGTTTGAGTGCCCAGTGAGAACAACGGGGTCTCGCCCTCCAAGCACTAGCCCCATGCCCGACGTACTGCACAAGTAGCGCAACACCCTCTTAGCTGCATCCATGTGCTCCTTCCGGTGACGGCCGGGAGCAACATAGCGTGCAAGAATGCTAAGAGGGTATGCAAGGTCAGGTCGAGTGCAGGTCATCAGGTACATGAGGCAACCCACAAGCTCTGGATACGGGCCACTCGGCTCTACGGACTAATCCGAAGGCAGAGCTAAGAGCGAGTGACCGGTAGGCAGAGGAGTGGGCTGAGGCGAGGAGTACGTGAAGCGGAAGCGTTGAAGGACCTACTGCACCATGTGTGACTGAGTCAAGGTGATGGTGTGGCGTGCTCTGTCCCGGGTGATCCGCAAGCCAAGATAGCTTGTCAGTTCACCCAGGTCTGTGCACGTGTGTCTCTTCTGCAGCTCCGACTTCACGTGGGCGAGTGGCGCAGTGTCAGCTGTGGCAAAGACCAAGTCGTCGATGTACACGAGGATGTAGAACGGCGGCAGTGAGGTGTCGGTGCGTAGAAACAGCGACGAGTCAGCAGTAGAAGGTGCGAACCCAAGAGCCGCAAGTGTAGTCCTCAATGTGTCGTGCCACTCACTTGGCGCCTGGCGGAGACCGTAGACTGGCCGTCGGAGGCTCCACTGGGTACCAGGAGGGAACGACCCAGTGAAGCAAGGAGGGCGGCGCAGCCAGATCTCCTCGTGCAGGCTGCCCTGCAGGAAAGCTGTGCTGAAGTCAAGAGAGTGGAGCTCGTAGTCACGCTGAGCGGCGACGTGCAGTAGAACCCGAAGAGTGGTCATCTTCGAGGTCGGGGAGAAGGTCTGGAAGAAGTCAACTCCCCCTCGTTGACTGAAGCCTCGTGCAACGTAACGCGCCTTGAAGACAGGCGGAGAGCCCGGCGGCTGCTTCACCCTCAAAATCCACATGCCACTGACAATGTTCGCCCCAGGCGGGGGAACCTCGTCGACGTAGGTGCCTGTGGACTTCCAGGAAGCCATCTCTGTATCCATGGCTGTCTGCCATTGAGAGGAGTAGGGACCGGCCATCGCCTCTGCGTAAGAGCGTGGGGTCGGGATGTGTGGTGCATCCGGGTCTCCCTCAGAGGCAACAAGCATGGACACGAGGTGGGGCAAAGCAGCAGCAAAGCACTCAAACTCCTCCTGCCTGTCCTCAAGGACGTCAGTGCCAAGAGCACACTCACCCCCGACGGACGGAGGACAGACAGACTCAGACTCAGCAACTAGGCTAGCGGCGTAGTCTAGATGACAGGTGGCAGCAAAGTCGACAAGCTCAGCAACTAAGGCAGACGCAGCAGCGGAATCAAAGGAAGGGTAAGCAACAACAGTAGCCAGGAGACGCGTGACAGTAGGACTGGCAGCACGAAGGGAGTCTGACTCCGGGTCAACAAGAGCAGGAAGAGAGGACGCAGGAGGAGACGGCAGTGGGACACGCTGTGGAGCAGTGGAAGGACGAAGCGCCATCCGGTGAGTGCCTGGGACAGAAGGAAGACGCTGACGCGGGACACGAATACCAGTGAGAGCAGCACGGACACGCGACGCACGACGAGACTCAGGCGATGCAGGACGAGACTCAGGCTCACGACGCTCAGTAAGACCTCCAGTCGGACCAGTGTAAGGAGCAGGACCAGGGAGAGAGGAGGCAGACGGTAGCTGTGATTGCAGCTGGACAGACGGAGGACACCCTAAGGAGGGAGGAGGACAAGGAGGAGGGAGCTGACCAAGAACCTGCTGAAGGAGCGGAACGAAGTACGGCCGCGGCCGTGCAACGACTTCAGAACCAGCAGAGACACCAGCGCCAGGGTCCTCAGCACCAGCAGCAGCTCCAACTCCCGGGTCCTCAGCACCAGCAGCAGCTCCAACGCCCGACTCCACAGCACCAGCTGCAGCACCAGCGCCAGGGTCCTCAGCACCAGCAGCAGCTCCAGACTCAGAACCCCCAGACTCCGGACTCTGCGGCTCAACACCCCCAGGCTCAGCACCCCCAGGCTCAGTACCTCCAGGCTGAGCACCCCCAGGCTCCGCACCCCTAGGCTCAGCACCCCCAGGCTCCGCACCCCTAGGCTCCGCACCCGCAGCAGGACGAGAGTCGACAGCTACCACAACAGGCTCAACCGGGTCTACCACAGACACACCTGAGGGAGCGGCACCCTGAGGGGGGAGGGGGTCTACGACAGCAGCACCTGGCGCGAGGAAGAGAGGCGGGGGGGGGAGCGGGGCAGTGCGGTAGGGGAAGAGGCGGTAGTAGGGGACGGACTCGTCAAAAGTGACGTCCTGAGAGGGCAAGACTCGGCGCGAGGTGGCGTGGTAAAGCTGCCAATCAGGCGCGTCCGGGACAAAGCCGAGGAAGACGCAGGGAACAGCACGGGAGGAGAGCTTGTCCGCAGACGTATCGCGGACAAAAGCTCGAGATCCCCTGACCCGGAAACGCGACGCATCGCCAACCTCCCCCGTCCACAGCAGTGTGGGCGAGGTCTCCGGCAAGGAGACACGGGGCCAGATGTTGAGCTGATGCGCAGCGTACCGGACCGCAAACGGCCACAGAAAGTGGGGGGCAACCGCATGGATCAAGGAGGTACGGGCGACCTCCATGACCAGGCCAATGCGGCGCTCCAAAATCCCATTCTAGTGTGGAGAGGCCGGAAGCGTGAACGACTGCTCAATGCCGTGCTCAGCACAGTAGGCTGCCAAGAGGTCGGAGGAGAACTCACCACCTCTGTCAGAGTGCAAGCGCAGGACAGGAAAGTCCGAGTGGAAACGCTCGCTGAGCTGGACACGGGCTCTGCGGATCCAGGGGATCAAGACATCAGGGACCTCACCCTTGGTGCGCAAGGGGAAGACCGTGGTGTAGCGCGAGTAGTCGTCAACAACGATCAGGAAGTACCTCTCCTGACCCTGACCACGGACGCGGGCTGGGCCCCACACGTCCATGTGGAGCGTCTGCAAGGGAGCAGTCGTCGGGGTAAACGAGGAGGAGTGAGGAGCGGCGCGCTGCCGCCCCTCAACACAGGGAAGACAGGGAGGAGCAGGTGAGGGAGGGAGGGGAGGAAGGACCCTGGGAAGGCCAGAGACAAGGTATCCGGAGTGCATGGCACGAAGCCGCTGCACAGACGGGTGGCCAAGGCGGTGGTGCCAAAGGACAGTCTCGTGTGCCAGAGAGCGACACAAACAGGGGGCCGACAGCTGACCTGACGCGGAAGCAGACGCAGACGTAGCGACCTCAGGGGACTCAGTGGTCAGTGTGTACAGGTCCGACCCCGGCTGCCGAGTGAAGGTAGCCAAGTGACGGCCCGTACGAGCACACGTGCAGTGTGTCACTCGCCCGTACGCAGGGGTGAACTGGTGAACACCCCCGTCCTGGAGCGCACATCCTGCCACCAGGTTCGTAGAGAACAAGGGGAGGTGGAGACCTGACAGTGTGCCCGACGGGACCGCAGGACAGGGGAGGACAGTGTGCCCGTTCTGCTTTTCTGTCGAGCTGCGCGACCTGCCTTGCCTGGTGAGCACAGTCCCACTGTCACTGCGTGCTCTCCCCCCTACTGCTTGCACTGCTTCACAGTCGTCGTCATGGCTACCCCTAGTGTCCTAGCTTTTGACGCTGAGGGTCGCGCCATTGATTTTGAGGTCTGGCTAGACGACCTGCAGCTGTTCTTACAGTGCGACAGGGCTGATGACCTTTCTCTCTTTGACCTCACCTCTGGCGCCTCTCCTGCTCCTGCTGCTGATGCTGATCCCGCTGTCCGCTCTAAGTGGGCCACCCGCGATGCTGCTGCACGTCTTGCTGTGCGTCGCCACCTCCCTACCTCTGAGCGTGCGCACTTTAGTCAGTACAAGAGTGCTCAGACCTTGTACGACGCTGTAGTTGCGCGCTACTCCTCCCCTGCCACTACTGCACTGAGCCGTCTCATGCTTCCCTACCTCTTTCCTGACCTCTCTGCCTTTCCCACTATCGCTGACCTCATTACGCACCTCCGCACTAGTGACACTCGCTACCGCGCCGCCCTTCCTGCTGAGTTCTGCGCTAGGAACCCCCCTCCCATGTACATCGCTCTCTACTACGTAGTCGCGCGCCTCCCTGACTCCCTTCGCGTCGTCAGGGACCACTTTCTCGCAGTCTGTCCCACCACTCTCACCGTCGACCTCCTCAAGAAGGCCCTCCTTGCAGCGGAGAAAAGCATAGTCGCTGCAGGTGCTTCTCGTGGTGACCCTCGCACCCCCATCTTTGAGGGGTGCTCTCCTTCCCCCTTGCTGCCCTCTGTTGCCTCTGCTGCTGCTGCCGACCTGCTTGGTCTTGAGTCGGTCGGCGCGGCGTCTGCCCCTAGTGGGAGACGTCGCTCCAGCAAGGGCAAGGGAGGCAAGGGCGCGGGTGGAGCTGGGGGGGGCGGTGGCGGTGGCGGCGGTGGCGGCGGAGGGAGTGGGGGTGGCGGCGGGACTAGTGGCGGGGGTGGTGGTGGTGGTGGTGGCAGCAGCGGCGGAGACGGTGGTGGTGGTGCCAGCGGTGGTGGTGGAGGCAGCGGCGGAGGTGGAGGCGGCGGAGGTGGAGGCAGTGGAGGCGGCAGCGGCGGAGGCAGTAGTGGTGGAGGAGGTGGAGCTGGTCGGGGTGGTACCCAGCAGCGTAGCGGCGGTGGTGGTGGCCAGCGCTCGCACCGGCAGCAGCAGCAGCGCTCACGGGACATCCCTTCGCCTCAGCAGCTTCGTGAGTGGTACGCTGGGCGTCAGAGGGGTGGGGGTACTGGTCCCTGCACCTACGTTCTTCGTCCGGCGACCGCGCGGGTGAGCAGTGTGGGGGTGCCCACGCCACCCAGCGCTGCTTTGGCCGCCTGACGGACGCTTGGCGTCAGCAGTTCCCTGGGGCTAGTGAGATCCCTCGCTGGGATGAGCTTCTCAGGGCTGGTGTAGCGATCTTTGATCTTGATTTTGATGCTATTCTTACTGCTATGTATGTTGTGGATTATAGTGAGGAGAATGAGGGTTACCGGTGTTTCCAGCCCGACCCGGGCATTGGTACTGCTGCGCTAGGTGCTTGTGAGGCTGCTGCTCTAGGTGCCAGTGCGTCTGCGCTCTCAGGTACTGGTGAGACTGCGCTCTCAGGTACTGCGTCGTCCTCGTCCTCCCTCACTTTCACACTTGACTCCGGAGCTTCTCGCTCCTTCTTTCGAGACCGCACTACCCTTTCGCCGCTCGCCAGGCCGGTTGCGGTCTCCCTTGCTGACCCCTCTGGGGGTCCTGTCCTGTCTCACTTCTCCACTGTCCTCCCGTGTCCGGCTGCCCCTTCGGGCACCCTGTCGGGTCTGTACCTTCCCTCGTTCTCTACGAACTTGGTGAGTGGAGCGGACCTGCAGGATGGGGGTGTTCACCAGTTCACTCCTGCGCGTCAGCGGGTGACCCACTGCACGGAGGCTCGCACAGGCCGACACCTGGCCACGTTCTCGCGTCGGCCGGGGTCGAGTCTCTACACCCTGACCGTTGAGTCTCCTCCTGTCCCTGCGTCTGGTCAGGTGGCTGCGTCGGGTCAGGTACTTGCTGCTGCGTCCCGGTCAGGTCCTGAGTCTGCCCCCTGTTCTTGTCGCCTCCTGTCTCACGAGACTCTCCTGTGGCACCACCGTCTTGGCCACCCCTCCTTGCCCCGTCTTCGGAGCATGGCTTCCCGTGTCCTTGTCTCTGGTCTTCCCCAGTCTCTCCCTCTTCTCCCCCTCGGGCCAGGACCTTCCTGTGTCCCCTGTGTCGAGGGTCGCCTCCGGGCTACTCCTCACTCCTCCCACTTCCCCCCGACAGAGGCTCCCCTGCAGACGCTTCACATGGATGTGTGGGGCCCAGCCCCCTTCCGTGGGCAGGGTTACGAGCGATACTTCCTGTTGGTGGTTGACGACTACTCGCGTTACACCACAGTCCTCCCCTTGCGCAGCAAGGGTGCGGTCACTGAGGTGCTGATCGACTGGATCCGCGAGGCTCGTCTCCAGCTCAGAAAGAGCTTCGGCTCGGACTTTCCTGTTCTGCGTCTGCACTCGGACAGAGGCGGAGAGTTCTCTTCTCACCTTCTGCGAGACTACTGTCGTGCACGGGGGATCCGCCAGACCTTCACGCTTCCGGACTCACCACAGCAAAATGGGATTGCTGAGCGCCGCATTGGCATGGTCATGGATGTCGCTCGTACGTCCATGATGCATGCGGCTGCCCCCCATTTTCTGTGGCCGTTTGCGGTGAGGTACGCGGCGCATCAGCTCAACCTTCACCCCCGGGTCTCTCGGCCTGCGATGTCCATAGTCTTGCTGTGGACAGGGAAGGTTGGCGATGCGTCTGTGTTCCGTGTCTGGGGATCTCGGGCGTTTGTCCGCGACTTGTCTGCGGACAAGCTGTCCCCTCGTGCTGCTCCCTGTGTCTTTCTTGGCTTCCCCACTGACGCCCCAGGGTGGCAGTTTTACCACCCCTCCTCTCGTCGTGTTCTGTCCTCCCAGGACGTCACGTTCGACGAGTCAGTCCCCTTCTACCGTCTCTTCCCCTACCGCACTCCTTCCCTCCCCCCTCCCCCGGACTTCCTTGTGCCGGCTCCCCCCCCGATAGACCCCCTCCCCCCTCAGGTTCCTGCCCCCTCAGGTGTGTCCCAGGTAGACGCCGTTGACCCGGTCGAGGTTACTGGTGACTCTGGTCCTGCTGCGGGTGCTGAGCCTGGGGGTGCTGACTCTGGGGGTACTGTGCGCGGGGGTGCTGTGCCTGGGGGTGCTACTGCTGGGGGTGCTGGGCCTGAGGGTGCTACTGCGGTGGGTGCGGAGCCTGGGGGTGCTGAGCCGGGGGGTGCTGTGCCTGGAGGTGCTGGGTCTGGGGGTGCTGGGTCGGGAGCTGCTGAGCCTGGGGGTGCTGCGTCTGGAGCTGCTGAGCCTGGGGTTTCTCCTGCTGCTGCGTCTCGCCGGGAGCCCCTCTCCCCACAGGAGCTGCGCGAGTGGTTCGCTCGCCGCTGGAGGCGTGCTGCTGAGTCTGGAGGTGCTGCTGGAGCTGGAGCTGGAGCTTCTTCGATCGTCGAGGGTGCGGGTGCTGCCGGTCCCGGAGCTGCTGGACCTGCGGGTCCTCTTGGAGCTGGAGCTGCTGAGGGCGTTCGTGTTGAGCCTGCTGCTGTTGGTCCTGCCGCTGGAGGTGTGGGTGGCGCTGGTGCTGTCGCTGAGGGTGCTGGTGCTGTCCCTGCTGAGACTGGAGCTGCCGCGCGGCCTCGGCCGTACTTCGTTCCGCTCCTTCAGCAGGTTCTCGGTCTTTCTCCTCCAGTAGAGGGTCCACCGCCTGTCCAGTCGCAGTCCCTACTGGAGCCTTCCTCTCCACTGCCTGCTCCCTCTCCTTACACTGGTCCTACTAGAGGTCTTGCTGAGCGTCGTGAGCCTGCGTCTCGCCCCGCGTCACCTGTTCGTGCTGCTCGCGCTAGTGGTCGCAGTTCGCGTTAGCGTCCTCCTCCTGTCCCTGGCACGCACCGAATCTCTCTGCGTCCGTCCACTGCTCCTCTGCGTGCCCCTTTGCCTTCTCCTCCTGAGTCCTCTCTTCCTGCGCTTGCCGACCCTGAGTCGGACTCTCTTCGCGCTGCGAGTCCTACTGTCACGCGTCTGCTTGCTACTGTCGTCACTGACCCCTCTTTTGAGTCCACTGCTGCGTCTGCTCTAGTCGCTGAGCTCGTCGACTTTGCTGCTCGCTGTCGTCTCGACTACGCTGCTAGTCTTGTTGCTGAGTCTGCGTCTGTCTGTCCTCCGTCCGTCGGGGGTGAGTGTGCTCTTGGCACGGACGTCCTAGAGGACAGGCAGGAGGAGTTACAGTGTCTAGCGGCTGCTTCACCTCATCTCGCGTCGGTACTGCTTGCCCCTGAGGGAGACCCGGATGCACTAGACATCCCGACTCCGCGTTCTTACGCGGAGGCCGTAGAGGGCCCCTACTCCTCTCAGTGGCAGGCAGCCATGGATGCAGAGATGGCTTCCTGGAAGTCCACAGGCACCTACGTTGACGCGGTTCCCCCTCCTGGGGCGAACATCGTCAGTGGCATGTGGATCTTCAGGGTGAAGCGGCCGCCGGGCTCTCCACCTGTCTTCAAGGCACGGTACGTTGCTCGTGGCTTCAGTCAGCGGCAGGGAGTTGACTACTTTCAGACCTTCTCTCCCACCCCGAAGATGACTACTCTTCGGGTGCTGCTGCACATAGCCGCTCAGCGCGACTACGAGCTTCACTCTCTCGACTTCAGCACTGCGTTCTTGCAGGGTAGCCTGCACGAGGAGATCTGGCTTCGCCGTCCACCTGGCTTCACTGGGACTTTCCCTCCTGGCACCCAGTGGAGCCTCAGACGGCCAGTCTACGGTCTCCGCCAGGCACCGCGTGAGTGGCACGACACACTGAGGACTACGCTTGCGGCTCTTGGGTTTGCTCCTTCTACTGCTGACCCGTCGCTGTTTCTTCGCACCGACACTTCCCTGCCGCCGTTCTACATCCTCGTGTACGTCGACGACTTGGTCTTTGCCACAGCGGACACTGCTGGACTCGCCTACGTGAAGTCCGAGCTGCTGAAGAGACACACGTGCACAGACCTGGGTGAACTGCGCAGCTACCTTGGCTTGCAGATCACTCGGGACAGAGCACGCCGCACCATTACCTTGACTCAGTCACACATGGTGCAGCAGGTCCTTCAGCGCTTCGGCTTCACGTACTCCTCGCCTCAGGCCACTCCTCTGCCTACTCGCCACTCACTCTCAGCTCTGCCTTCGGATGAGTCCGTAGAGTCGAGTGGTCCGTATGCAGAGCTTGTTGGCTGCCTCATGTACCTGATGACCTGCACACGACCTGACCTTGCATACCCTCTGAGCATTCTTGCACGCTATGTTGCTCCTGGGAGACACAGACCGGAGCACATGGCTGCAGCGAAGAGGGTATTGCGCTACTTGTGCAGTACGTCAGGCATGGGGCTAGTGCTTGGAGGGCGGAGTCCAGTGGTCCTTACCGGCCACGCGGACGCTTCTTGGGCTGACAACCAGGCTACGCAGCGGTCGTCACAGGGTTACACCTTCAGCCTTGGTTCCGGCTCTGTCTCGTGGCGGTCTACTCGCTCGTCTTCGGTTCTCGGCTCCAGTTGTGAGGCTGAGATCTACGCCGGAGCCATGGCTGCACAGGAGCTTCGCTGGCTCACCTACCTGCTGACTGACCTTGGAGAGCCGCCTCGTTCTCCTCCAGTGCTGTACGTAGACAACAAGGCTATGCTGGCCTTGTGTCGAGAGCAGCGCTTGGAGCACAGAACGAAGCACATTGCTCTCCGCTACTTCCTTGCTCGTGAGTTGCAGCAGCGTGGTCAGTTGCGACTTGCGTACGTGGCCTCTGAGGCCAACACTGCTGATGTGTTCACCAAGGCACTTGCGCCTTGTGACCATCAGCGCTTCTGCACCCAGCTGGGTCTTGTGCCTGTCTTGCCTCACTTGCTCTCCTCTTGACTTTACTTGTACTGTGACATATATATATACCTGCTCTTGCTTGTCTAGTTTTATATATATATGTCTGTACTCTTGCTTGTGAACTGGCCTTTGGCCTTGCTCTTGTGCTCGGACTGTGTGGTGACTTTGTGATCCACCCTGAGCTTTGCTTTGTCTTGCTTGACTGGTCTTGTGACCCCTTGTTCTCCCCCACTTTGCCTATGGGGGTGTGTCAGAACATATCTATAGCTTATACTGCTGTGTAGGCTGTAGTGGGGTATCCCATAGGGGGTACAACCCAGTTAGGGTTTCATATTTGTACTGCTTTCATTCATAGTTCATCTCATTTCCTGCTTACTCATTTTCACAGAGGAGGTCGCAATGACCGGACCCCCAGAGGGGTCAGCGAGGGAGACAGCAACTGGCCGAGCAAGCGGATCAAGGGCAGTGCGGTCACGAAAGAAGCAGCGAGAAGCACCTGAGCCCAATGTGAAGGTGTGTAGTGCTGCAGTCGACTCAGTACCAGGGGGGGCAGACGCACAAGCACCTAGAGCAGCTGCCTCACCAGCACCTGGGGTAGCAGACACGCGAGTACCTGGAGCGGCAGACGCACTAGTCCTAATGCCCGGGTCGGGCGGCACACACAAGTACTCAGCACCCTCTCCACTAGTAGACATCACATACATAGCAGTGAGAATAGCATCGAAGTCTAGAGCATAGATATCAATCCCCTTCTTCAGGAGATCAACCCAGCGGGGCAGCTCAGTGGCCTGAGGGAACTGAACACGCCAAGCGTCGTTGAGACGAGCGAAGCAGCGCTGTGTGGTGTGCGCCCCCCCACACTGCTGACCAGTACGGTCACCAGTGCGAATGACGTACGTGCAGCTAAAGCCACCCCCCCCCCCCCCCCCCCCCCCCCCCCCCCGTGCTGAGAGTACCACTCACGGACCTCCTGGGGCGACGGAGTGTGCTGCTGGCCCTGGCCACCGCCAGCGCCTCCACGATCACCACCGCCGCCGCCACCTCCTCGACCACCCCATCCCCTGCCGCCGCCGCGTCCACCGCCACCCCCACCACCGCCTCCGCCCCTGCCACCTCCCCCGCCGCTGCCGCCACCACCCCCACCGCTGCCACTAGCCCCTCCAGTTGCGCCACCACCCCCACCGCCGCCACCGCCCCCACCACCGCCTCCCCCGCCGTCACCGCCACCGCCCTTGCCCCCTTTGCCCTTGCCGCTGCGGCGCCCGCTCGAAGCAGACGCAGTCCCGACCTTCTCAGCACCAAGGAGGTCGACAGCAGCAGCAGAGGCGACAGAGGGAAGAAGGGGGGAAGGAGAACACCCCTCAAAGAACGGGGTACGGGAGTCGCCACGAGAGGCACCTACAACGACTATGCTAGCCTCAGCTGCAAAGAGTTCCTTCGCGAGGAGGGCAATGGTGAGCTCAGTGGGGTAGCGAGCTAGGAAGTGGTCCCTGACTGAGCGCAGAGTGTCAGGGAGACGGGTGACTAGGTGGTAGAGAGTGAGCCAGAGCGGGGGTGGGTTCTTGGCAAGGAACTCATCAGGCATAGCGGCGCGGAAGCGAGCCTCACTAGTGCGGAGGTGCGTAATGAGGTCAGCGACTGTGTGGAAAGAGGCGAAGTCGGGAAACAGGTAGGGAAGAGAGAGACGGCCTAGTGCGGCAGAGGCCGGTGAGGAGTAGCGGGCAACGACAGCAGTGTACAGTGCCTGTGCAGTCTTGTGCTGCCCAAAGTGCTCGCGCTCATCTATCGGCAGGGAGTTGCGAATAGCAAAGCGAGCGTGGGCGTCACGAGTCTGCCATTGTGAGCGGGTAGTGCTGTCAGCAGTAGCAGCAGGGGCAGTGACATGGCCTAGGGCGTGGTCGTACAATGAGATGTCGTCCTTGGCAGTGAGATGTAGATAGAGGTGCAGGTCATCTAGCCAGGTGTCAAACTTCACTGGGCGGCCCTCAGCATCGAAAGCTAGCACAGGTGGGCTAGCCATAGGAGCAGTAAGAGCAGCAGTAGGAGTAGGAGGGTGAGACAGGTAGGGCGGCTTGGACAGTACGCGCGGCGCGGTTCAGTTCAGGTAGGGCGGCGCGGTTCGGGTAGGGCGGCGCGGTTCGGTTCGGGTCGCGCGGCTCGGCTCGGACTGGGCGGCTCGGTTCGGGTCGCGCGGCTCGGCTAGGTCCTGGACAGGCTGTGGCGGTCACGGGCCGTTCGGGGCCTCTAGGGGCGAGCGCGGGGCCGTTCGGGGCCTCTAGGGGCGAGCGCGGGGCCGTAAGGGGCCGCTAAGGGCGAGCGCGGGGCCGTTCGAGGCCTGTAGGGGCGAGCGCGGGGCCGTAAGGGGCCTCTAGGGGCGAGTGCGGGGCCGACGGGGGCCTCTAGGGAGGTGAGCGCAGGGCCAACGGGGCCGTTAGGGGCGATCGCGGGGTCGACGGGGTCGCTAAGGGGCGAGCGCGGGGCCGTAAGGGGCTAGCGCGTGGGCCGACTGGGCCTTAAGGGGCGGCGCGCAGGTCGCTAAGAGGCGGGTCGCGGGTCGCGGGGCCTTAGGGGGCCGTGAAGAACGAGGCGCCCTAGGGCGCAGTTAGGTAGGTAGGTAGGTAGGCAGTGGTGGGCCCTTAAAAAAAAAAAAAAGGTCCTAGCGAAGGACCTGCTCTATACCATGTTGAAATGAACGAACAGGAATGATTGAACTAACAGTGAAATCAGTACAAGTACCTAACCCTAGAATTGTGTACCCCCTATAGGCTAACCCACTGTAGCCTAAACAAGCACAACATATATAATGTTTGACACCGACCTCCCGAGCCGCCCAGCAGCCGAGCCGCCCAACAGCCGAGCCGCCCAGCACCGTGCAGCCGAGCCGCCCAGCAGCCGAGCCGCCCAGCAGCCGAGCCGCCCAGCAGCCGAGCCGCCCTGCAGCCGAGTCGCCCGACAGTCGAGCCGCCGAGCAGCGCGATCGCTCCACCTACCTGGTAAGAGCACAGTCTTTGCCACTGCACTGCCGTGCCTCCTGCTGTTATGGCTTCCCCTAGCGTTCTCACCTTTGACGCTGAGGGTCGGGCAGTGGACTTTGAGGTCTGGGTAGATGATCTGCAGCTTTTCCTGTAGTGCGATAGGGCAGATGGCCTCTCCCTGTTTGACCTCACTTCTGGTGCCTCCCCTGCCCCTGTTGCTGATGCTGACGCCACTGTTCGCTCACAGTGGGCCACACGTGACGCTGCTGCTCGCCTTGCTGTGCGCCGCCACCTACCGACCACTGAGCGTGCACACTTTAGCCAGTACAAGAGTGCTCAGACCTTGTACGACGTTGTATTTGCACCCTACTCTTCCCCTGCCACTTCTGCACTGAGCCGCCTCATGCTACCGTACCTCTTCCCTGACCTTGCTGCCTTTCCCACTGTTGCTGACCTCATTACGCACCTCCGCACTAGTGACACTCGCTACCGCGCTGCGCTTCCTGCTGAGTTCTGCGCCAAGAACCCCCCCCCCCCCATGTACATCACCCTCTACTACATAGTCACCCGTCTCCCTGACTCTCTCCGTGTAGTCAGGGACCACTTCCTCTCTGATTGCCCCACCACTCTCACCGTTGACCTCCTCAAGAAGGCCCTCCTAGCGATAGAGAAGAGCATAGTCGCTGTAGGAGCCTCTCGTGGTGAACCTCGCACCCCCGTCTTTGAGGGGTGTTCTCCCTCCCCCCTCTTGCCCTCTGTTGCCTCTACTGCTGCGGGCGACCTCGTTGGTTTCGAGTCGGTCAGCGCTGCGTCTGCCCCGAGCGGGAGACGCCGCACTGGCAAGGGCAAGGGGGGCAAGGGCACTGGAGGAGGTGGAGGGGGCGGTGGAGGTGGTGGTGGAGGCGGTGGAGGGAGTGGGGGTGGTGGTGGGAGTGGTGATGGGGGTGGCGGCGGCGGCGGCAGCAGTGGAGGCGGCGGAGGCGGTGGAGGTGGCGGAGGGAGCGGAGGCGGCGGAGGTAGTGGAGGAGGCGGAGGTGGAGGAGGCGGCGGAGGCGGCGGAGGCGGCGGCGGCGGTGGTGGAGCGAGTCGCGACTCTGCGTCGAGGAGTGGCGCCGATGGTGGTCAGCGCCAGCAGCAGCAGCGGAGTGGTGTGACCCTGTCCCCTCAGCAGCTTCGTGAGTGGTACACTGCACACCAGCGCGGTGGGGGTTTTGGTCCCTGCTCTTACATTCTCCGTACCGGCGACCGCACTGGTGAGCAGTGCGGGGGTCCGCACTCCACCCAGCGCTGCTTTGGTCGCCTGACGAACGCGTGGCGTCGCCAGTTCTCTGAGGCGTCAGAGATCCCTCGCTGTGGAGATATGGCCTAGGCCGGGGTTGCTATCTTCAATCTTGACCTTGATGCTATTCTTGCTGCCATGTATGTTGTTGCTGATAGTGTTGAGGGTGCCTGTTACCTGTGTGTACCGCCTGACCCGGGCATTGAGGCTGCTGCGCTAGGTGCTTGTGAGACTGCTGCTCTAGGTGCTAGTGCGTCTGCTGCCCCAGGTGCCAGTGCGTCTGCCGCCCCAGGTGCTGGTGAGTCTGCTCTCTCAGGTACTACGTCGGCTCAGGCCTTCCACACCTTCACCTTGGACTAGGGTGCGTCCCGCTCCTTTGAGACCGCACCACTCTTACGCCGCTTAGTCGGCCGGTTGCAGTCTCCCTAGCAGACCCCTCTGGGGGTCCTGTCCTTGCTAGCTTCTCCACTGTCCTTCCGTGCCCTGCAGCCCCCTCTGGCACCCTATCTGGTCTCTACCTCCCCTCGTTCTCTACGAACTTGGTGAGTGGAGCGGACCTACAGGATCGAGGGGTTGACCAGTTCACTCCTGCGAGTCAGCGAGTGACCCACTGCAGGTGTGCTCGGACAGGCCGACACTTGGCCACGTTCACCCGTCGGCCAGGGTCGAGCCTGTACACCCTTACTGCTGAGTCTCCTCCTACTGCTTAGTCTGCCCAGGTAGCTGCGTCGAGTCAGGTGTTTGCTGCGGCGTCCAGGTCTTGTCCTGAGTCTGCCCCCTGCTCGTGTCGTCTGCTGTCCCACCAGACTCTCCTTTGGCACCACCGCCTTGGTCACCCCTCCTTGCCTCGTCTCCGAGGCATGGCCTCCCGTGTCCTTGTCTCTGGTCTTCCCTCCCCTTCCTCTGGCGCCTGGCCCTACCTGCGTCCCCTGCGTCGAGGGGCGACAGTGCGCCGCCCCTCACTCCTCCGAGTTTCCTCCGACAGAGGCTCCGCTGCAGACTCTACACATGGACGTGTGGGGCCCAGCCCGCATCAGTGGGCAGGGGAGAGAGCGGTACTTTCTGTTGGTCATTGACGACTACTCGCGTTACACCACAGTCTTCCCCTTGCGCAGCAAGGGTGACGTCACTGAGGTGTTGATCGACTGGATCCGCGCAGCTCGTCTCCAGCTCAAAGAGAGTTTCGGCTCGGACTTTCCTGATTTGCGTCGGCACTCGGACAGAGGAGGGGAGTTTTCCTCTGCCCGTCTGGGAGCCTTCTGTCGGGCACAGGGCATCCGCCAGACCTTCACGCTTCCGGCCTCTCCACAGCAAAATGGGATTGCTGAGCGCCGCATTGGCATGGTCATGGACGTCGCGCGTACGTCCATGATGCATGCGGCTGCCCCCCATTTTCTGTGGCCGTTTGCGGTTCAGTACGCCGCGCATTAGCTCAACCTTCAGCCCCGGGTCTCCTTGCTAGAGACCTCCCCCGCCTTGCGGTGGACAGGGAAGGTTGGCAATGCGTCTGCGTTTCGGGTCTGGTGATCTCGGGCGTTTGTCCGCGACTTGTCTGCGGACAAGCTGTCCCCCCGTGCTGTTCCTTGCGTCTTCCTTGGCTTCCCCCCTGACGCGCCTGGCTGGCAGTTTTACCACCCCACCACGCGCCGTGTTCTGTCCTCCCAGGACGTCAGCTTTGACGAGTCGGTGCCTTACTACCGTCTCTTCCCCTACCGCACTGCGCCCCTCCCCCCGCCGCCGCTCTTCCTTGCGCCAGGTGCTACTCAGGTAGACCCCCTCCCTCCTTAGGGTCCTGCCCCTTCAGGTGTGTCCCAGGTAGACGCAGTCGAGCCTATCAAGGTAGCTGTAGACTCTGGTGCTGCTAGAGGTGCTGAGCCTGCGGGTGCCGGGTCTGCGGGTGCCGGGTCTGGGGGTGCTGAGTCTGGGGGTGCTGAGACTGGAGGTGCTGAGCCTTAGGGTGCTGAGTTTGGGGGTGCGGAGCCTGGGGGTGTTGGGTCTGCTCGTGTGGCCGCCGGTGGTACTTCGTCGAGGCGAGAGCCGCTCTCTCCACAGGAGCTGCGCGTGTGGTTCGCCCGCCGCTGGAGACGTGCTGCTGAGTCTGGGGGTGTTGGCGCTGGTGTTTCTACTGGTGCTGGTGCGTCTGGGGGTGCTGCTGAGGCAGCTGGTGCGGACGGTCCTACTGGAGTTGGTGCTGCTGGAGCTGGAGCTGCTGTGGGTGTTGGCGCTGGTGTTTCTACTGGTGCTGGTGCGTCTGGGGGTGCTGTTGAGGCAGCTGGTGCTGACGGTCCTACTAGAGTTGGTGCTGCTGGAGCTGGAGCTGCTGGGGGTGTTGGCGCTGGTGTTTCTACTGGTGCAAACAGTCCTACCGGAGTTGGTGCTGCTGGAGCTGGAGCTGCTGGGGGTGTTGGCGCTGGCGGTGCTGCTGGCGCTGGTGCTTCTGAGGGTACTGGAGTTGGCGCTGTTGGAGCTGGAGGTTCTGCTGGCGCTGGTGCTGCCGCTGGGGGTACTCGTGCCGTACTTGCTGGTTCTAGAGGCGCTGCGCGGCCGAGGCCGTACTTCGTTCCGCTCCTGGACAGGTTCTTGGTCTCCCGCCCTCTACTGGTCCTGCTCCTCCCCTAGAGTGTCCATCGCCTGTCCAGTCACAGTCACAGTTACCGCCCGCCTCCCATCTACCTGCTCCTTCTCCCTACACTGGTCCTACTGGAGGTCTTGCTGAGCGTCGTGAGCCTGCGTCTCGTCCCGCGTCACTGTTCGTGCTGCTCGCACTAGTGGTCGTACTGCGCGTCCTCGTCCTCCTGCGGTCCCCGGCACACACCAGATGGCACTGCGTCCTTCCACTGCTCCTGTGCGTGTCCCGTTGCCGTCTCCTCCAGAGTCCTCTCCTCCTTCTCTTGCTGACCCGGAGTCTGACTCCCTTCGTGCTGCTAGTCCTTAAGTCACGCGTCTTCTGGATAATGTTGTCACCGACCCTTCTTTTGAGTCCACTGCTGCGTCTGCCCTAGTTGCTGAGCTTGTCGACTTCGCTGCTCGCTGTCGTCTAGACTACGCTGCCAGTCTTGTTGCTGAGTCTGAGTCTGTCTGTCCTCCGTCCGTCGGGGGTGAGTGTGCTCTTAGCACGGACGTCCTTGAGGACAGGCAGGAGGAGTTCCAGTGCTTTGCGGTTGCTTTGCCCCATCTCGTGTCCACGCTGACTGCCCCTGAGGGAGACCCGGATGCACCAGACATCCCGACTCCTCGATCGTACGCTGAGGCGATCGAGGGTCCCTACTCCTCTCTGTGGCAGTCGACCATGGATGCAGAGATGGCTTCCTGGAAGTCCACAGGCACCTACGTCGACGAGGTTCCCCCACCTGGGGCGAACATCGTCAGTGGGATGTGGATCTTCAGGGTGAAGCGGCCGCCGGGCTCTCCGCCTGTCTTCAAGGCGCGTTACGTTGCTCGAGGCTTCAGTCAGCGGCAGGGAGTTGACTACTTTCAGACCTTCTCTCCCACCCCGAAGATGACCACTCTTCGGGTGCTGCTGCACATAGCCGCTCAGCGCGACTACGAGCTTCAATCTCTTGACTTCAGCACTGCTTTCCTGCAGGGCAGCCTGCACGAGGAGATCTGGCTGCGCCGCCCTCCTGGCTTCACTGGGTCGTTTCCTCCTGGCACCCAGTGGAGCCTCCGGCGGCAAGTCTACGGTCTCTGCCAGGCGCCCCGTGAGTGGCACGACACACTGAGAACTACACTTGCGGCTCTTGGGTCTGCTCCTTCTACAGCCGACCCGTCGCTGTTTCTACGCACCGACACCTCTCTGCCGCCGTTCTACATCTTCGTGTACGTCGACGACTTGGTCTTTGCCACAGCTGACACTGCTGGACTCGCCCACGTGAAGTCCGAGCTGCAGAAGAGACACACGTGCACAGACCTGGGTGAACTGCGCAGCTACCTTGGCTTGCAGATCACCCGGGACAGAGCACAGCGCACCATTACTCTGACTCAGTCACACATGGTGCAGCAGGTCCTTCAGCGCTTCGGCTTCACGTACTCCTCGCCTCAGGCCACTCCTCTGTCTACTTGCCACTCGCTCTCAGCTCTGCCTTCGGATGAGTCCGTAGAGTTGAGTGGCCCGTACCCAGAGCTTGTTGGCTGCCTCATGTACCTGATGACCTGCACACGACCTGACCTTGCATACCCTCTTAGCATCTTGGCACGCTATGTTGCTCCTGGGAGACACCGACCAGAGCACATGGCTGCAGCGAAGAGGGTGTTGCGCTACGTGTGCAGTATGTCGAGCATGGGGCTAGTGCTTGGAGGGCGACGTCGAGTAGTCCTCACAGGTCACGCTGACGCTTCTTGGGCTGACGACCAGGCTACGCAGCGGTCGTCATGGGGTTACACCTTCAGCCTTGGCTCCGGCTCTGTCTCGTGGCGGTCTACCCGCTCGTCCTCTGTTCTCGGCTCCAGCTGTGAGGCTGAGATCTACGCAGGGGCCATGGCTGCACAGGAGCTACGCTGGCTCACCTACCTGCTGACTGACCTAGGAGAGCCGCCTCGTTCTCCTCCAGTTATGTACGTAGACAACAAGGCCATGCTGGCATTGTGTCGGGAGCACAGACTAGAGCACAGAACGAAGCACATTGCTCTCCGCTACTTCCTGTCTCGTGAGCTGCAGCAGCGTGGTCAGCTCCGCCTCACCTACGTGGCCTCTGAGGCCAACACTGCTGATATCTTCACCAAGGCCCTTCCGCCTTGTGATCATCAGCGCTTCTGTACTGTGCTAGGTCTTGTGCCTACCTGGCCTCACTTGCTCACTTCTTGATCTTGTTTGTACTGTCTTCTTTCTATACCTGCCCTTGCTTATTTTACCTTTATATATATGACCTTGCATGTGAACTGGCCTTGTGGCCTTATTCTTGTGCTTGGACTGTGTGGTGACTTTGTGATCCACCCTGAGCTTGCTTTGTTTTGCTTGACTGGTCTTGTGACCACTTGTTCTCCCCCACTTTGCCTATGGGGATGTGTCAGAACATTATAGCTTATACATTTGTGTAGGCTGTAGTGGGGTAGCCCATAAGGGGTACAACCCAATTAGGGTTAGCACTTGTACCCAACTGTTTCATAGTTCATTCATTCCATTCTCACTTGTCGTCACAAGAAATATCGTCAGCTGCATGGCAAGGTTGAGTGACTCCTGCGTAACTGAGTCACCACCATATTACTCACCAGAAGAACAACTCGACAAAAGCACGCCTCGCCGCGAGTCACTTCAACCAAACCCGACGTACGCCGCCATCGCTCAAAGCGAGTCGTCCGAGAAGGATACATGGTTCTTGGACAGTTGCTGCAGACAACATATGTGCTCTTCAGGACGTTTCGTTCAACGCGAGCACCAACTTCAACGAGAAGTCGTCATCACTGTCGCCAATGATCAGAACCTGCGCACACAACGACAAGGAGTAGTGCAACTTCAGTCACGAGAGATGAATGTCATACTGCAAATGTCCAAAGTCCTAATAGCAGAAGGACTTGGCTACAACTTACTGAGCGTCAGTCAATTGATGGCGAAAGGCATACATCTGGAAGCCGACAGTACCACCCAGGAGTTCAAGCTGTACCACGGGAAGGGTGGCCTCTACATCGGAAAGGCGGTCCTGAAGAACAATGTCTTCGTTCTCGATTTCGTCCCAGACCTGGGCACCGCAAACAGTGACGGGATCGTCACCTTCACATCTTGGACGCACCCGCCGGATCTCGACCCCGACTTCAGTCCGGAAGGCTTTTGGTATTCACATACCATTTCTGAAGCAGAACGAACACGTGCGTTAGTAAGAATACAACATTCGGCAGCAGCAGAGACAACATCGGCAGCAGCAGAGACAACATCGGCAGCAGCAGAGACAACATCGGCAGCAGCAGAGACAACATCGGCAGCAGCAGAGACAACATCGGCAGCAGCAGAGACATCATCGGCAGTAGCAGGAACAACAACAGTAGCAGCAACAACGACACCAGTCCTCGTTGACGAAGCACCACCAACACCCGCACAGCAGCTGAATCCGGCTCAACGGGAAGTCCATAGAAGCGCAAACTTCACCGCCAGCTTCTACTCCAACTCCGAAGCGTATCGACACTCACCCGGACACCGCACCTCCGAAGACATCTGGCACGCACGCATGGCACACCCAAGCAACACTGTGTTAAACAACACAATAAGAGCAGGAGTCCTTGACAAGGACTCGTTACTACTACTCGACGGCAGAGAACTCCAACGGGCACGAGGAACATGTCTTACCTGCCCCGAAGCCGACTTACCACATCGGCCGTTCACTCCTCATCACAACCCGAGCGCACCCGCGTACGCACCACTCGAAAAGGTGTATAGCGACATCCTGTACAATCGGGAACCAGGACAAGTAATATACAACTACACAATCACCTTCATCGACGCCGCCACCCGTTCCGTCTGGCATCTAAACCTACCCAGCCGTGACATGGTCCTCGAAGCATTCGCTGCTTCGCTACCAGTAGCAGAAAGAGAGTCGGGCGTAAAGCTGAAAAGCTTCCAGTCTGACGGAGGAGGAGAATACACCTCTCAGCGATTCAAGCAGTACCTGGCGGAAAGGGGAATCAAGCAGCTCCTCTCTCTTCCCTACGCCCATCAGCAGCAAGGTGTAGCAGAAAGAATGAACAGGACTCTGCAGAACAGCATGCGCAAACTGTTAAGTGGCATGCGGCTACCCATCCACCAGTGGCCTGCAGCAAAGGACCACGCCGTCATGCTGCACAACTTTGTCAGAACATATATATAGCTTATACTATTGTGTAGGCTGTAGTGGGGTATCCCATAGGGGGTACAACCAGTTAGGGTTTCCTATTTGTACTCACTTCATTCATAGTTCATTCATTCTCGTTCTATTCTCAACATGGTATCGAGCAGGTTCCCCCGTGGGAACTGTGCTTAGGGCCCACCACCTTTAAACTTTTTTTTTCTGCCCGGAGCGCGCTCCGGGCCCTCGCTTTCACCTTTTTTTTCAGCCTGCCCTGCGGCCCCTAGCCACCCGCGCGCGCCCGTTCAGGCCCCTAGCCGCGCGCGCGCGCCTGTTCAGGCCCCTAGCCGCCGAAGCGCCGCCCGTCCCGGCCCCTAGCCGCCCACGCGCCGCCCATTCAGGCCCTTAGCCGCCCGCGCGCGCCCGTTCAGGCCCCTAGCCGCCCACGCGCCGCCCGTCCCGGCCCTTTGCCGCCCGCGCGCCGCCTGTCCCGGCCCCTAGCCGCCCGCTGGCCGCCCGTCCCGGCCCCTCGACGCCCGCGCGCCGCCGTCCCGGCCCCTAGCCGCCCGCTGGCCGCCCGTCCCAGCCTCTCGACGCCCGCGCGCCGCCCGTCCCGGCCCCAGATCGCCCGCGCGCCGCCCGTCCCGGCCCCTAGCCGCCCGCTGGCCGCCCGTCCCGGCCCCTTGACGCCCGCGCGCCGCCCGTCCCGGCCCCTAGCCGCCTGCTGGCCGCCCGTCCCGGCCCCTAGCCGCCCGCTGGCCGCCCGTCCCGGCCTCTCGACGCCCGCGCGCCGCCCGTCCCGGCCCCTGATCGCCCGCGCGCCGCTCGTCCCAGCCCCGGGCCGCCCTGTGTCGCTGACAGCCCGAGCCGCCCGAGCCGCCCGCGCCGCCCGAGCCGCCCGAGCCGCCCGAGCCGCCCTCGCCGCCCGAGCCGCCCGAGCCGCCTGCACCGCCTGAGGAGCCGAGCCGCTGGTCCTGCGGAGCTGCTGTTGCTGCTGAGCCGGTTGAGCTGCTGTGTTGCTGTACTGCTGTGCTACTGCGCTGCCCGACCCAGCCTGTCTGGTGAGACCTTCTACTGCTGTCATGGCTACCCCTAGTGTCCTAGCTTTTGACGCTGAGGGTCGCGCCATTGACTTTGAGGTCTGGGTCGACGACCTGCAGCTGTTCTTACAGTGCGACAGAGCAGACGGCCTTTCTCTCTTTGACCTCACTTCTGGTGCCTCTCCTGCCCCTGCTGCTGATGCTGATCCCACTGTGCGCTCTCAGTGGGCCACCCGCGATGCTGCTGCACGTCTTGCTGTGCGTCCCCACCTCCCTACCTCTGAGCGTGCGCACTTTAGTCAGTACAAGAGTGCTCAGACCTTGTACGACGCTGTAGTCGCGCGCTACTCCTCCCCTGCCACTGCTGCACTGAGCCGTCTCATGCTTCCCTACCTCTTTCCTGACCTCTCTGCCTTTCTCACTGTCGCTGACCTCATTACGCACCTCCGCACTAGTGACACTCGCTACCGCGCCGCCCTTCCTGCTGAGTTCTGCGCCAAGAACCCCCCCCCCCATGTACATCACTCTCTACTACGTAGTCGGGCGCCTCCCTGTCTCTCTTCGCGTAGTCAGGGACCACTTTCCCGCGGTCTGTCCCACCACCCTCACCGTTGACATCCTCGAGAAGGCCCTCCTCGCGGCGGAGAAGAGCATCGTCGCTGTAGGAGCTTCTCGTGGTGACCCTCGCACCCCCATCTTTGAGGGGTGCTCTCCTTCCCCCCTCCTGCCCTCTGTTGCCTCTGCTGCTGCTGCCGACCTGCTTGGTCTCGAGTCGGTTGGCGCGGCGTCTGCCCCTAGTGGGAGACGCCGCACTGGCAAGGGCAAGGGGGGCAAGGGCGCGGGTGGAGCTGGAGGGGGCGGTGGAGGTGGCGGTGGAGGCGGCGGAGGGAGTGGGGGTGGCGGCGGGAGTGGTGGAGGGGGTGGTGGTGGTAGTGGTGGCAGCGGCGGAGGAGGCGGCGGTGGTGGCGGCAGCGGTGGTGGTGGCGGCAGTGGTGGCGGTGACGGTGGGGGAGGCGGCGGCGGAGGAGGCGGTGGTGGCGGAGGAGGTGGAGCTGGTCTGGGCGGTACCCAGCAGCGGAGCGGCGGTGGTGGTGGTCAGCGCTCGCAGCAGCATCAGCAACAGCGTTCGCGCGACATCCCTCCGCCCCAGCAGCTCCGTGAGTGGTACACTCGACGTCAGAGGGGTGGGGGTACTGGTCCTTGTACCTACGTCCTTCGCTCTGGCGACCGCGCGGGTGAGCAGTGTGGGGGTGCCCACCCCACCCAGCGCTGCTTTGGCCGCCTGACGGACGCTTGGCGTCAGCAGTTCCCCGGGGCTAGTGAGATCCCTCGCTGGGATGAGCTTCTTAGGGCTGGTGTAGCGATCTTTGATCTTGATTTTGATGCTATCTTTGCTGCTATGTATGCTGTGACTATTAGTGAGGAGGGAGACTGTTACCGGTGTTTCCCGCCCGACCCGGGCATTGGTACTGCTGCGCTAGGTGCTTGTGAGGCTGCTGCTCTAGGTGCCAGTGCGTCTGCGCTCTCAGGTGCTGGTGAGACTGCGCTCTCAGGTACTGCGTCGCCTTCGTCCTCCCTCACTTTCACACTTGACTCCGGGGCTTCTCGCTCCTTCTTTCGAGACCGCACCACCCTCACGCCGCTTGGCCGGCCGGTTGCGGTCTCCCTGGCTGACCCCTCTGGGGGTCCTGTCCTCTCTCACTTCTCCACTGTCCTCCCGTGTCCGGCTGCCCCCTCGGGCACCCTGTCTGGTCTGTACCTTCCCTCTTTCTCGACGAACTTGGTGAGTGGTGCGGACGTACAGAATGCGGGGGTTCACCAGTTCACTCCTGCGAGTCAGCGGGTGACCCACTGCACGGACGCACGCACAGGCCGGCACCTGGCCACGTTCTCGCGTCGGCCGGGGTCGAGCCTCTACACCCTGACCACTACGTCTCCTCCTGTCCCTGCGTCTGGTCAGGTAGCTGCGTCAGGTCAGGTGTTTGCTGCTGCGTCCCGGTCAGGTCTTGAGTCTGCCCCCTGTTCGTGTCGCCTCCTGTCTCACGAGACTCTCCTGTGGCACCACCGTCTGGGCCACCCCTCCTTGCCCCGTCTTCGGAGCATGGCTTCCCGTGTCCTTGTCTCTGGTCTTCCCCAGTCTCTCCCTCCCCTTCCTTCCGGGCCAGGACCTTCCTGTGTCCCCTGTGTCGAGGGGCGCCTCCGGGCTGCTCCTCACTCCTCCCAGTTCCCCCCGACAAAGGCTCCTCTGCAGACGCTTCACATGGACGTGTGGGGCCCAGCCCCCGTCCGTGGGCAGGGTCACGAGCGCTACTTCCTGTTGGTTGTTGACGACTACTCGCGTTACACCACAGTCCTCCCCTTGCGCAGCAAGGGTGCTGTCACTGAGGTGCTGATCGACTGGATCCGCGAGGCTCGTCTCCAGCTCAGGAGGAGCTTCGGCTCGGACTTTCCTGTTCTGCGTCTGCACTCGGACAGAGGCGGGGAGTTCTCCTCTCGCCTTCTGCGAGACTACTGTCGTGCACGGGGGATCCGCCAGACCTTCACGCTTCCGGACTCTCCACAGCAAAATGGGATTGCTGAGCGCTGCATTGGCATGGTCATGGATGTCGCTCGTACGTCCATGATGCATGCGGCTGCCCCCCATTTTCTGTGGCCGTTTGCGGTGAGGTACGCGGCGCATCAGCTCAACCTTCACCCCAGGGTCTCTCGGCCCGCAATGTCCCCAGTGTTACTGTGGACGGGGAAGGTCGGCGATGCGTCTGCGTTCCGTGTCTGGGGATCTCGGGCGTTTGTCCGCGACTTGTCTGCGGACAAGCTGTCCCCTCGTGCTGCTCCCTGTGTCTTCCTTGGCTTCCCCCCTGACGCTCCAGGGTGGCAGTTCTACCACCCCTCCTCTCGTCGTGTTCTGTCCTCCCAGGACGTCACGTTCGACGAGTCAGTCCCCTTCTACCGCCTCTTCCCCTACCGCACTCCTTCCCTTCCCCCACCACCGGACTTCCTTGTGCCGGTTCCCCCCCCGGTAGACCCCCCCCCCCCTTAGGTTCCTGCCCCCTCAGGTGTGTCCCAGGTAGACGCAGTTGACCCGGTCGAGGTTACTGGTGACTCTGGTGCTGCTGCGGGTGCTGAGCCTGGGGGTGCTGACTCTGGGGGTGCTGTGCGCGGGGGTGCCGAGCCTGGGGGTGCTACTGCGGAGGGTGCTGGGCCTGGGGGTACTGACTCTGGGGGTGCTGTGCGCGGGGGTGCCGAGCCTGGGGGTGCTACTGCGGAGGGTGCTGAGCGTGGGAGCGCTGAGCCGGGGGGTGCTGTGCCTGGAGCTGCTGAGCTAGGGGGTGCTGCGTCTGGAGCTACTGGGCCTGGGGGTGCTGCGTCTGGGGCTGCTGAGCTTGGGGTTTCTCCTGGTGCTGCGTCTCGGCGGTAGCCCCTCTCTCCACAGGAGCTGCGCGAGTGGTTTTCTCGCCGCTGGAGGCGTGCTGCTGGAGATGGAGCTTCTTCGACCGTCGAGGGTGCTGGTGCCGCCGGTCCCGGAGCTGCTGGGCCTGCGGGTCCTACTGGAGCTGGGGCTGCTGAGGGTGGTAGTGATGAGACTACTGCTGTCTGTCCTCGCGGTGGTTCTCCTGCTGGTGCTGCTGGAGGTCCACCCGCTGGAGGTGTTGGTGGCGCAGGTGCTGCCGCTGAGGGTGCTCGTGCTGTCCCTGCTGAGTCTAAAGCTGCCGCGCGGCCTCGACCGTACTTCGTTCCGCTCCTGCAGCAGGTTCTTGGTCTTTCTCCTCCGGTAGAGTGTCCACAGCCTGTCCAGTCGCAGTCACTGTTGGAGCCTTCCTCCCCTCTACCTGCTCCCTCTCCTTACACTGGTCCTACTGGAGGTCTTGCTGAGCGTCGTGAGCCTACGTCTCGTCCCGCGTCGCCTGTTCGTGCTGCTCGCGCTAGTGGTCGCGGTTCGCGTCAGCGTCCTCCTCCTGTCCCTTGCACGCACCGGATGTCTCTGCGTCCGTCCACTGCTCCTCTGCGTGCCCCTTTGCCTTCTCCTCCTGAGTCCTCTCTTCCTGCGCTTGCCGACGCTGAGTCAGACTCCCTTCGTGCTGCCAGTCCTACTGTCACGCGTCTGCTTGCCAGTGTCGTCACTGACCCCTCGTTTGAGTCCACTGCTGCGTCTGCTCTTGTCGTTGAGCTCGTCGACTTTGCTGCTCGCTGTCGTCTAGACTACGCTGCTAGTCTTGTTGCTGAGTCTGCGTCTGTCTGTCCTCCGTCCGTCGGGGGTGAGTGTGCTCTTGGCACGGACGTCCTAGAGGACAGGCAGGAGGAGTTATAGTGTCTGGCTGCTGCTTCACCTCATCTCGCGTCTGTACTGCTTGCTCCTGAGGGAGACCCGGATGCACTAGACATCCCGACTCCGCGCTCTTACGCGGAGGCCGTAGAGGGTCCCTACTGCTCTGAGTGGCAGGCAGCTATGGATGCAGAGATGGCTTCCTGGAAGTCCACAGGCACCTACGTTGACGCGGTTCCCCCTCCTGGGGCGAACATCGTCAGTGGCATGTGGATCTTCAGGGTGAAGCGGCCGCCGGGCTCTCCACTTGTCTTCAAGGCGCGGTACGTCGCTCGTGGATTCAGTCAGCGGCAGGGAGTTGACTACTTTCAGACCTTCTCTCCCACCCCGAAGATGACCACTCTTCGGGTGCTGCTGCACATAGCCGCTCAGCGCGACTACGAGCTTCACTCTCTCGACTTCAGCACTGCGTTCCTGCAAGGTAGCCTGCACGAGGAGATCTGGCTGCGCCGTCCACCTGGCTTCACTGGGACTTTCCCTCCTGGCACCCAGTGGAGCCTCCGACGGCCAGTCTACGGTCTCCGCCAGGCACCGCGTGAGTGGCACGACACACTGAGGACTACGCTTGCGGCTCTTGGGTTTGCTCCTTCTACTGCTGACCCGTCGCTGTTTCTGCGCACCGACACTTCACTGCCGCCGTTCTACATCCTCGTGTATGTCGACGACTTGGTCTTTGCCACAGCGGACACTGATGGACTCGCCTACGTGAAGTCCGAGCTGCTGAAGAGACACACGTGCACATACCTGGGTGAACTGCGCAGCTACCTTGGCTTGCAGATCACTCGGGACAGAGCACGCTGCACCATTACCTTGACTCAGTCACACATGGTGCAGCAGGTCCTTCAGCGCTTCGGCTTCACGTACTCCTCGCCTCAGGCCACTCCTCTGTCTACCCGCCACTCACTCTCAGCTCTGCCTTTGGATGAGTCCGTAGAGTCGAGTGGTCCGTATGCAGAGCTTGTTGGCTGCCTCATGTACCTGATGACCTGCACACGACCTGACCTTGCATACCCTCTGAGCATTCTTGCACGCTATGTTGCTCCTGGGAGACACCGACCAGGGCACATGGCTGCAGCGAAGAGGGTATTGCGCTACCTGTGCAGTACGTCGGGCATGGGGCTAGTGCTTGGAGGGCGGAGTCCAGTGGTCCTTACAGGTCACGCGGACGCTTCTTGGGCTGACGACCAGGCTACGCAGCGGTCGTCACAGGGTTACACCTTCAGCCTTGGTTCCGGCTCTGTCTCGTGGCGGGCTACTCGTTCGTCTTCGGTTCTCAGCTCCAGCTGTGAGGCTGAGATCTACGCAGGGGCCATGGCTGCAAAGGAGCTTCGCTGGCTCACCTACCTGCTGACTGACCTTGGAGAGCCGCCTCGTTCTCCTCCAGTGCTGTACGTAGACAACAAGGCCATGCTGGCCTTGTGTTGAGAGCAGCGTCTGGAGCACAGAACGAAGCACATTGCTCTTCGCTACTTCCTTGCTCGTGAGCTACAGCAGCGTGGACAGTTGCGGCTTGCGTACGTGGCCTCTGAGGCCAACACTGCTAATGTGTTCACCAAGGCACTCGCGCCTTGTGACCATCAGCGCTTCTGCACCCAGCTGGGTCTTGTGCCTGTCTTGCCTCACTTGCTCTCCTCTTGACTTTACTTGTACTGTGACATATATATACCTGCTCTTGCTTGTCTAGCTTTATATATATGTCTGTACTCTTGCATGTGAACTGGCCTTTGGCCTTGCTCTTGTGCTCGGACTGTGTGGTGACTTTGTGATCCACCCTGAGCTTTGCTTTGCTTTGCTTGACTGGTCTTGTGACCCCTTGTTCTCCCCCACTTTGCCTATGGGGGTGTGTCAGAACATATATATAGCTTTTACTATTGTGTAGGCTGTAGTGGGGTATCCCATAGGGGGTACAAGCAGTTAGGGTTTCCTATTTGTACTCACTTCATTCATAGTTCATTCATTCTCGTTCTATTCTCAACAAACTTGCTGTCGTCATCATCGCTTCCGAACAACGCATCACCGCATCTGCTATGGACAGGGAAACAGGGCAGCACAAAAATGTTACGAGTTTTCTGATGCATGGTACAGTACCGACCCCCAACAGCACGAGCGGGCCGATTTTCTCAACGCGCACAGTGGGGACTACACCTCGACATCGAAAAGAACTACAACGCGTGGAAAATCTTTGACGTCCACTCCAAGGAAACAGTAGCAGCACGCGACGTCATTATCTACAAACGACTCACGCTCGAGACATACTTTGCCAACCTGCAAGAGGACCAAGATCCCACAGGTGGTTTTCGTGGTGACCAAGCCTTTGCCTCAACAGCGGACGAAGCTGACTGGGACGAGCAAAATGTGGCCAACGCATCAGAAGAAGCTGGACCCCTTCCGTTCTGCTCCGTGGACGTCCCCATGGACGAAGATAACCCTCGCGAAAGTGTCAACGCCGAAACCTTCTACTACTTCGCTGACAACGGTTACGTAACACCTGCGACAGTCAACACCAACGAAGCAGAACGAGTAGGACCGAATTTCATACCTAATCCAGAAGCGGGAGATGAAGCCGCTTATCCCGAGGATGCAACTCTTCCCCGCTACTCACAGACTGGACTGCAGATTCTCGGACTCGTCACCGCAGTCCACGGCAACACTCTTCCTAAGGAGCCTGCGACGGTTCAGCAGGCTCTGGGGGGGGAACACAGGGAAAAATGGCGTGAAGCCTTGGACAGAGAGTTAAAGGCGCTGGAGGAACGGAACACCTGGAAAGTTGTCCCCATCAGCGTGGCAAGGAACAAGACCATTCTCACTGGGAAATGGGTCTTCCGCGTTAAAACAAAAGCAGACGTCACAATTGAGAAGTTCAAAGCACGCTGGGTTGTGCGTGGATTCGATCAGGATCACGGATGGGACTTCACCGAGACATTCGCCCCGGTTAGCCGACATACCTCACTTCGAATCCTCCTCGCGATCGCCGCCATGAAGAAAAGGAAGCTACGGCAAATCGATGTCGCCAACGCGTTCCTCTACGCACCTGTCGACGCGGGAAATCTTCGTCGAGCTCCCACACGGTACCAACGGGGAACCTAACCAAGTCTGTCAACTGCTGAAATCACTTTACGGGATCAAGCAAGCTCCGCGGCTATGGCAACAGTACCTACACGCTCGCCTCATTCGCATCGGATTCCGCCAACTACCTCATGACCAAGGAATGTACCGACTCACTAAAGACACCGACTACATTCTGCTGATCGTCTACGTAGACGACCTACTCTACATCGGCTCCACAGACGACATCACCACCTGGTTCGAAGGGGGGCTACAGAGGGACCTCACACTCACGGTCTCCTCTACCGTCACACAGTACCTCGGCTTAAACATTCGGGAAGAAGAAGGCGCGATCTACCTCAACGCCGCTAAGTACGCCGACACCATCGCCAAACGCTTCGTGCTCACACCTACCACCATCTCTACGCCCTACCGCTACGCGACAGGAAACCACAAGGAAGGATCCTCTCTACTCAAATCCGCCGGGATACGCGACTACCAAAGAAAGCTGGGCTGCCTTCTCTTCGCAGCTGTCACCTGCCGCCCAGATCTATCCTACTCCGCAAGCCAGCTCGCCACTTACCTCAAGAAGCCTGAAGCAGAACACCTGGCGGAGCTCGACCGCGCTCTCCACTACTTCGTCAGTACCTCAACGATCGGCCTAGCCTACAACAAGAACACAACCACACCGACTAAATTAATCGGCTACGTCGACGCTGATCACGCTGGCGACTCAGACAATAGGCGCTCCCGCACTGGCTACATCTACCGCCTCGAACCTATCGGACCGATCTCCTGGCAATCGAGCAAGCAGGAATTTATTGCTCTCTCGTCAGCTGAAGCAGAATATATTGCACTCTGCTCAGCCACCAAGGAAGGACTCTATCTTCGCGAGTTGCTGGAAGAAGCGAAGTTAGCCGAGTTACCCAGCTTCACTCTGTTATGCGACAACCAATCTGCAATTCGCATCGCCAACAAAAATGGATTCGTGAACAGAACAAAGCATACCGCTCTGCGATATTTCTTCGTGAGAGACGAGATTGAGAAGGGGAGACTTGAACTATCCTACTGTCCCACGTCCGAGATGGCAGCTGACTACTTGACCAAGAAGCTCGGAAAACAGAAGTTCGAGTACTGCATGCTGCTGACTGGACAAAGCCACGTCACCAGCAGCGACACTCCAGAAAGCGAAGGGGAGTGTTGGGAACAAACAATCTTAAGCGCCTCTGTAGTGTCGAAACACCAAGGCACAAGCGAAGCAGAGCATATCGAGGCACCAGCGAGTCAACCCTCGGAGGTTGAAGTAACCGCTGGAGGTTACGCGAAAGTCAATGGTCAGCGACCTTTGACTTGACAAATGCAGCGCGACAGCAAGGACACACAACCCACTCATCATTGAGCAGTTGCCCGAGTCGCACTGTATCGAACCGCAACAGTAAAACAGTTTAATTATATCTCTTCGTATTCTTTGTACTCTTATATAAACCTTTGTACTTGCTTGTTTTAAACAACTTACTTTGCCCTCACATACCAGCGCAAGGTGGTTCAAGGACTTGATTTAAACGCTTCCGCTACTACATCACTCTACTCAGACTTTAACCCTACCAAAGATCCTAAGGGGCACTCAGCCCAACAACCTCAACGTGGTGTGTGGGTGTAAGACTAGGGGTTAACCCCCTTAGTGGCCAAGAGGGACCCGGAAGACCGAAGACCACGGCGCATCCGCAAAATTTTTAATATATCTAGTTGCCTAATTAATTTTAGGTCTGGCTAGATGCTCAATCAGACAACTACATCCCAGGGTGGACCTTTGAAAGTAGGTAGTTCAACATGCACCAGGGAAGCATATGGTGCAATGTAGCAGCTAAACAGAATAGCTTACATAACAGTACTGTATAAGGATCTCCACCATTTAGATGATTATTCCATGCAAACCAACAGAGGCAACATGCAAGAGAGGCTAATTCCCTCTGACATGGGACATTGCTACTTGTGTTGCAGAGGCATCACCAACAGAGAGTCCCTACCCATCAATACGAAAACAGCGTGCGCAAGTGTCAAAGATTGCTTTCCATTGTGCTGTGCTGTGCTGAGAGCTGAGATGTAAGGAAATGCTGTACTGTCGACTGTTCTGTTTGCTGTGCTGTGTGCTGTGCACTGTTGTGTGCCCCGTTGTGTGTTGTGCTGTGCTGTGGAGTGCTGACCCCACACACCCACTTCCTCACACACCCCACTTCCTCACTTCCTCACACACCCAAGTATGGAGAGTGACTTGAGGTTATTTACACACCCACTTCCTCACTCCCCTTCCCCTCCCCAACTCCATACCCTGTACTGCACAGCTCCCCTCTCCTACAGCCGAGTGCAGGCGAATTCATTCTCTAGTACCTTCCTGCACCACACCCAGTTGCTGGGCTAGCCCCCTTCCTGCAGGTTTCAGGTGCAGCACCACTGTCTCGCTCACTGCCCCTCCACCACAGCGGAGTACGCGCCTCCCTTTCCTGCAGGCGAAGTCTAAGTCGTCAGAAGCGAGCCGCGTGAGCCAGTTGTTGAGCATGCACTGTGATTTTGAGATGAACGTAAGTCCGCTACAGCCGAGTGCAGGCAAAGTCAAAGTCGTCAGGAGCCAAACGAGTGAGCCAGTTGCTGAGCGTGCTCTTGGCATTGAGCGTATCAGACGCCGCCAGCTCGTACATGGAGCACAGGTTGAGCACCACTGTCTCGTCGACAGCTGTCAGCGGGCTCGCCTGCAATTGGTCCTCCAGCACCCGCACCGCCGTCGCGAGATCTCGGCCGTACATCAGGCAGAGGGCCTGATTGGCAGGGTTGTGGGGATAGGAGGAGAAAAGGCGAACGGACATATATGAAATGGTACGTGGAACCACGTGAAATGCAGCACAATAGGGTTACATCGGATGTAACTTAGTTACCACATCACCTGTACAACACAGCACACAGCACACGACACACAGCACAGAACCTGCCTCCTTGCGTGCAAAGTGCACCATGCGCCATGCAAATTGCACGAGAGTCTTGTTCACCCGCACCATGCACGTCAACTCCCCCAGATGACTCACCTTGTTATTCGCAGCAATGGGATCCTCTTTAGCCACCGCAGTAAACAGCTGCAGCGCCCCGTGCTCCTTGCGAGCAAGGTGCCTTCTGAAATGACTGAATCCCTGGCGCTCTCACCATGTAACAGGGTTACCACCTTGTCTCACCTTGTTATTCGCAGCAATGGAGCTGGTGGATCCTCTTTAGACACCGCAGTACACAGCTGAAGCGCCTGCCCATGCTCTTTGCAAGCAAAGTGCCTTACAATCACCTGGCTACCCACCAATATGTAACCTGGTTACCACATCCCCTCACCTTGTTATTTGCAGCAATGGAGTTGGTGGGATCCTCTTTAGTGACCGCAGAGAACAGCTGCAGCGCCTGCCCATGCTCCTTGCGAGCAAAGTGCACGAGAGCTTTGTTCAGCCGCACCAGCCTCTTCATCTCGCCCAGATTCGCTGCTGTCACCCGCCCTGCCCCCACACCCCCATCGCTCCCTCCTGCTCCCGTTGCTCCTGCTCCTGTTGCTCCTGCTCCTGCCCCTCCTGCTCCCGCTCCGGCTCCTGCTGTGTTACTCGCATCTCCTGTTGCCTCCCCTCCTCCCTCCCCCTCCCCCGCCCCCTCCCCCCCCTCCTCCCCCACCCCCCCCCCTCACTCTCCATCTCCACCTCGCGATGCACCACCATTTTCTCCACCAATCCGAACGCAGCGCTCGCACCCTCCACGTCCCCCAGCTGCAGCCGAACGAGGCCGTACCGCGAGAGCAGGGCGGCGTTGCTCGGCTCGTAGCGCAGGAGGCGCTGCAGCCAGAGGAGTGCAGTGGGGTAGTCTCGCTGCGCCAGGTGGTGGGATACGAGCGCGTGCCGCACTGCCTGCCGCCTGCGCGCCCAACACGCCACCAACGCAGCATGCTGCGATGATGCTGAAGATGCTGCTGCTGGTGATGTGCTCTTCGTGCTGCTGCTGCTGCTGCTGCTGGGTAAGGTTGAGCTAGTGGGCACGTCAGTGGGCCCAGCATGAGAAGACACGCCCTCACCATCCTCTGGGGCCATCACATCTGCCATCCCTTCTCTCGGCACTGCGCCCGTGCTCTTGCTCGTGCTGCTGCTGCTGTTGCTGCTATCTGCAGGTGCTGCTCTCCCCTGTTTGCCCTTGCTGTCTCCTGCCATTTTTGCCTGAACCTCCTTCATCTGTCATCCACGCAGCAAGGCACAGACGGATTGAGGAACGCAGGGAGGTATTCTGGAAGACGGAGGCAAAATGCAAGATGCAGAATGCAAAATGCAATGTGCAATGCAAGATGCAGAATGCAAAATGGGATGTGCGATGCAAGATGCAGAGTGCAAAATGCAATGTGCTAAACCATGGCCCACCGCACCGCACTGCACCCACCTTAGCTGTGCAGTGTGCCTGCAGAGCACATAGTGAGGGCTCCAATGTGAGGGCCAGATTGCCCATGCGGTGAGGCAGTTTTTGAGAGACACACACAAACCTGACTCCATCGCACTGCACCCACCTTAGCTGTGCAGTACGCCTGCAGAGCACACAGTCGTTCCAAGGTGAGTGCGGGGTTGCCCATGCGGTGGGGCAGCTCTGCTGCGAGCCAGCGCAGGGCGAAGGGCAGCATGGAGCCTGCAACGGGGGGGATGTGAGGATGGCGCAGATTGGAGAGATTGAGGTTGGGAAGGAGAACGGAGAGGAGACACACGCATTGCCCATGCAGTGGGGCAGCTCTGCTGCGAGCCAGCGCAGGGCGAAGGGCAGCATGGAGCCTGCAGGTGGGGATACGGACCGAAGCAGCACGGGTGAAACGGATGGGGCTGAGAGATTGGATTGCCTGCGATAAGCGCTGCTGCCAACCAGCGCAGCGCAAAGGGCAGCATGGAGCCTGAAGTGAGAGGGAAAGCAGCAGCAGGGTAAACGGGGTGGGGCTGAGGAATCGCATTTTGCACGGAAAAAGAAAGCCCAACTTCTCGCACAGGGCAAATCCCAGGAGGAAAGCCGAGGCACCCACCTTTCCTCCGGGGGTAATTGCCCGGGTGTGCCTCTTAGTGGTACTGCGGCGAGTCGAGTTGAGGTTGCTGAGCAGAGTTGACCCAACACCACAACAACAGCGGGTCAAAGCGCGCACTCACCTTGCCTCCTCTGCACCTGCACCATACATGCGCAGCTTCATCAGCGCCAGAACGTGGTAACCATGTAACCTGACCCGAGTACCTACCTTTGCGCCCAGGATACATGCCGGGGTGTGCCTCGTATCGGTACAGCGGCGAGTCGAAGTTTCCCAGCAGCATGAGCTACGCCGCGCCTTGCAGCAATCCCACCACAGAGGATTCCTCTCACCCACCTTTCCTCCCAGGATACATGCCCGGGTGTGCCTCGTATCGGTACTGCGGTGAGTCAAGGTTCCCTAACAGTGTGAGCTCCTCTGCTGCTGCCCCATACATGCGCAGCTTCATCAGCGCCAGCACGTGGTAACCGCGTAACGCCAGCTGCTGCGCCAGCCCTGCGAGCTTGTAACCCTCCACCACCTTATCCACTATGGCCCGCCAGGAGCCCTGCCGCTGGTGTAAGCATAGTGAACAAATGGAATATACAGAACAAACATATGGCATAGTAAACAAATGGCAAATGCAATGCAGCAAGGGAAGAGTCGAGTTGGTGGAGCCGAGGCTGTAGAAACCATGCCCTGCCAGCTTGTACCCCTCCACCACCTTGTCCACTATTGCCCGCCACGAGCACTGCCGCTGGTTGGTGAAATGGAATATACAGAACAAACATATATGTAGGCAATGCAGGAAAGGGAGAGTCGAGCTGGTATGGGCCTTGCTTGCCTCTGGTAGTTCATGGGAAATACCAGCTTACAGCGAGTACAGCTTACAGCGAGTACAGCTTACAGCGAGCACAGCTTACAGCGAGCACAGCTTACAGCGAGCACAGCTTACAGCGAGCACAGCTTACAGCGAGCACAGCTTACAGCGAGCACAGCTTACAGCGAGCACAGCTTACAGCGAGTACAGCTTACAGCGAGCACAGCTTACATCGAGCACAGCTTACAGCGAGCACAGCTTACAGCGAGCACAGCTTACAGCGAGAACAGCTTACAGCGAGCACAGCTTACAGCGAGCACAGCGAGGCCATCCAAAGAGGTCTTGACGTCAAGGCTGGACATGCGGCGAAAGCTGACCGGCGGGGATGAGCGCGCTGCAAACGCACTGCTGCTGCTGCTGCTGCTGCTAGCGGTGCTGATGTTAGCGGCACCAATGGCGGTGGTGGTGGTGCTGCTGCTAGTAGTGGTGGTGGTGGTGGTGGTATTGGTGGTGGTGGTGGTGGTGGTGGTAGCAGTGGTGTTGGCAGCAGAAGGAGCGCCTGAGCCTGACATTAACGCCCCTCCCGCTGCACCCACCCCTCCCCTTCCCCCCGCTGCTGCCCCCCCCGCTGCCCCCCCTGCTGCTCCCCCGGTTGCCCCGCTGGCCGGCTTGGCAGTTCCGGGGGGGCCTTGTGGGGGAGGTCTGTACCCGGGCGGGGGGTGAGTGGGGCGCGATAGAGGCGGGTGTAACTGTGGCGGGTGTGACGATGGCGGGTGTGACTGTGGCGGGTGGGATAGGGGGTGGGGAAGCGATGGGGGAGGGTGAGAGGGAGGGGGATGGGAGGGTAAGGAGCGAGACGGGGGGGAGTGCGGAGGAGGGGGAAGAAACGGCGGGTGTGATTGTAGCGGGTGTGAGGTGGGGGGGTGTGATTGTGGGTGAGAGACGGGAGGGGCGGAGAGAGGGCCGCGCACGGAGAGCGGGGAGTGCGCAGACCCAGGCGCTGGCGCTGGTCCGCGGAAGGGCGGATGCGCAGCACCGGCGGGCGGCGGGGGGGTGGGGGATTTCCGCTGGTGCGCGTCGAGCGCGTGGGGCGCGGAGGGGCGGAGCGGGGATGAGTGCGAGTAAGACATCATGTGAGCGGAAAACCCGCTCGGATGATGCGCGCCTGGTCGCTGTGTCGAATCATGCTTATAATGAGGATCCGACGCAAGGTGCGGATCAGCTTTCGTGGGAGATCTGGGTCCATGCGAACCGCCTGCAGTCATTGGCGACGAGTGGTAACCAGCGCTGGCGATAGTTTGAACTCTAGAAGGCCCACTCTGAAGCCCAGGTAACCCAGGATGATCTAACCCTAATCCGCTTCCCGCGGACGCCGCCACTGGTGCCACCATCGGTGCCGCTAGCGGGGCAGCTACAGCAGCCGCTGCCGCCGGCGCAACTCCACCGCCGTCAACGGTGGATGCGGGAGCCGGAGAAAGCGGAGTCTCCGCCCCCCGCGCCATTTGCCCCATATGGTCATTCCCGCTTCCCCCATCTGTCGCCTGCGCTTCCGCAGTACCCCCTAACGCCTGCGCTTCCCCGCTTCCCCCTAACGCCTGCACCTCCCCCCAGAAGTCCATTCCCGCATCCGCGCCGCCCCCGCTCTCCCCCTCCCCCCAAAACGAGTCGCTACTTTCCGCGGCAGACTTTCCGCTCGCTGCCAAATCCGCGTCTGACGAATGCTTAGACCCCGCGCCGCTCGCCGAGAGCTCCGGATCTAGCGGCGCTTTGGACCCCTCAGCCTGCGCCGGTGCCGCCGCAGATGACGGCGCGTTTTGCGCTGAGAGGAAACCGCTGGCTCCTGATTGGAAGTCTCCCCAGTCGCCCTCCATCTACGGATGGTTACAATGAATCGGTCGATGCTGAAGAAAGAATAGAATAGAAGGAAACGATGTTGAAGATATTATAGAACAAAACACTCTCTTGAAAATAGATACAGCGAGAATGAACGGCGGAGGATATATGGCAGCCGCGGAAAACAATCAATCCGACTACTACTGTCGCTTCATCAGGATGTACAAACTAGAACGAGTACGATATTGATATCATGCCACTGGAAAAGAGGATTTTATGGGGAGTGGATGTCAAGTCTCAAGACTTGAAGGGAGAAAACGAGGTCTCAAACTGACTCGAGACAACTCTCGTGTGTCAGTAGTGTAGTGGCGCAGTTACTGCTTCAACTTCGCGAATGACGCGACAAAACTAAACATTGTGAGAGCTTTCTGCACGCGATTGGTTCGCGAGCGCTGCTGATCACGAAACCGACCGCTGACACACTCGGCAAGCCCAAGGGGATTTTGTTTGATTACATGGGAAGGAGTGTAATGAATGGTTACACGGAGACACATTCGCGAAAACGTCCCATAGCCACTTCCAAGAGGCAACACACCATGACAAGCTGAGACAAACCCAAGACAGGGAGAGGCAAGGCAATCCTTGAATTTATCGAACCCAAATCCGCGCAACCAATCGCGTTACAGAATGGCTTCCGCCATCGCGTCCGCGGCTGCTGCAGCGGGCCCTTGCGCTGCTTTGAAGCGCTCGCAGTTGCGCGTCGATTCATGCTTTCAGAGCAGCACATGTAGCGGCTCCGCGGCCCGTAGGAACTCATGCTTTCAGAGCAGCACATGTAGCGGCGGGAACTTAAGTCGCAGCAGCAGCGTCAGCGCGCGTTTACTGACGGGTCAAATTAGCCTTAACGGGAATGCGCAGCGACACTCAGAGCGGCGATGCGTGGTAGTGGCGGCAGCGGCGGATTCGACGGGCGTGGAATGGGACGATCAGGGGCCGTCCGATGTGAATCCGACGGACCTGACTGATAGCGAGAATGAGAGAGGGAGGGCGGCGGGGTGGAGGGGAGGGAGGAGCGAGGAAGAGCGAGCGCAGAGCGACAGCCGACAGAAGATCTTCAATAACATCGCTCCCATGTATGACGACGTGAGTAACGCGACGCTTGTGAGGAATGTGAGAATGTGAGATTGTACGAAACGTGAGGAATGTGCGTACACTGAGTGGCGTATGCCGCGAGTTAAGGCACTTCAGAGCGATAGTCGACAGAAGATCTTCAAGAGCATCCCTCCAATGAATGACGACGTGAGTAACGCGCATTGCGTGATTCATGCGTGCAAACTGCGTCTCCTGCTTTCCCCCCCATCATACTCCACCCACCACCCACACCACCCACCACCACTTCCCTATTATCCCTCCTTTCTTCTCATTCCCCTTTGTCCTTTCCCTCCCTTCTCAAACCCCTGCCCGTTTCTCAATTTGAATCTGCCACTCTCCCGTCTGCCTTCTCTCCCTCCCCTCTCTCCCTTCTCAAACTAATTCCCCTTTCCTTCTACCCTGCCTGCCACGTGCAGCTCAACGATTGGCTCAGCCTGGGGCAGCACCGCGTGTGGAAGCGAATGACTGTCGGGTGGAGCAGGTGGGGGGGTGGGAGAGTGAAGGGTTGAGGAGGGGAGGAACGAAGAGGGCGGGTAAGCGGGAGAAGTGAAGGTGTGCGGGAGAGAGCGGGTGCATTGGGAGAGAATGACTGGTGGGTGGAGGAGCGGAAGGGGGGGGGGGGAAGTGGGATAAGGGGAACAGGAAGTGGGGGATGAGGGATCAGAGCATACCCAGATATACCACTTCCTGAACAAACCTGATCAGAGCCATTTTGAGGAATTTCTAAATTGGATCAAACTCCCTTCATGCTCAACTATTATCTCCCTTCGTGACAGCAATTTCCCGCTTTTCCCATGTGCCGATTTCTTGCTCAGAGCATGTCCACGCGGCATGTCAGGGCACCTTCTGTTTCACAACATGCCAATGCGGCATATCCTCTTGTCCTTCCGCATTCCCCTCCCCTTCCCCCCCACTTATGAGCTCGCCCAGGCGACACCGTTTTGGACATCTGCTGTGGCAGCGGCGATCTCTCCTTGTTGCTGGCTAACCATTCCGGGATTTCCCTCCCCCACCTCCTCCCTCCCTCCCCACCCCTGCCTTTCCCATTCATTCAGAGCTCGTCCAGACGACACCGCGTTGGACATCTGCTGTGGCAGCGGCGAGGCGATCTCTCCTTGCTGCTGGCGGAGGAGGTGGGCCCCTCGGTTCACGTGGTGGGGCTTGACTTTGCCGCCCAGCAGCCCCACCACCTGCTGGCGGAGGTGGTGGGGCTGACATTCGCCCTATCAGCTTGCTGTATCTCATCATTCCCCTCTCTTCTTTTTCACGCCTCTCCCCTTGACCCTCACTTTCACAGAGCACGCCCAGGCGACACTGCCCTCGATATCTGCTGTGGCAGCGGCGATCTCTCCTTGCTTCTGGCGGAGAAGGTGGGTCCCTCGGGGCGCGTGGTGGGGCTTGACTTTGCCGCCCAGCAGCTCGTTGTCGCCGCCCAGAAGCAGCAAGACAGCTACTCGGCCCGCAGAGTGGACATGAGGTAGGGAGGGCGGGCAGGGAAGAGGGTGAGGGAGAGGTGAGGAGGAAGGTGGAATATGGGATGAGGAACGTCACCAGCAGCAACACTCTGCTCCCCTGCTTCATTCCCCCCCACTTCCTTGCTGGTGGGTGGAGGGCGGCCCCCAATGGGGTATGTACAGGCTGAGAAACGCCACCAGCATCAACCAACCCCCTCGCCTCATCTCCCCTCACCCCCCACCCATACGCACCCACTCCAGGTGGGTGGAGGGCGACGCCCTTGCCCTGCCGTTTGATGCAAACTCATTTGACGCCGTGACCATGGGGTACGGGCTGAGGAACGTCACCAGCATTCCACGTGCCCTGCAGGAGATTCACCGCGTGCTCAAGGCTGGTGAGAGCCACGGGTGGGTTGGGGTGCTGAACCACGTGCTGAGGGCTAGCGAGGGGGGGTGGGAGAAAGAGGGATGGATGGTGGGGTGGATGGTTCAGGCTTGAAGAGATTGGGATTGAGGGGTGGACTGGACTGTTGCGCTTCCACTGCCATTCTTGTTGAGCAATGGTGCCTCATGTGCTTGCCATATCTCTCTATGTTTCCTTGTCCCACTTTGTGTTTCGACCCACCTGCAGGTAGCTCTGCAGCCATTCTCGACTTCAACCACACAGAGGACCCTCTTGTGGCCGCATTCCAGGTCAGCATTATCCCGTTCCAGGTCAGCATCATTTTTTTCCAGGTCAGCAAGGGTGCATTCAAGGGCAGCAGCTGAGTGTTGTTGAGGCGTCACTAGCAGTCATGTTTATTACAGTTCCCCCTACTTTGCGTAGTAACTGGTTGGATTTATGCCCTTCCCCAGCCCAGTCCTTCCTCAGTCCTTCCTGGTTCTCCCCCAGTCCTTCCTCTTCTCCTCTGTGTGCACGAGTTGGTCCTGCACAGCACACTGTGCTGGTTCGACTCGTCTCAAACCCCTCCCCCCCTCCACTCTTTTTTCTTTTGCCATTCCCCCTTCTCTTTTCCCCCACAAGAGTTTCTCTGCAGAATGCGGTAGTGCCAATAGCACTCTCAGAAGCTGTCACACACCATACCACCCTCCCCCCTCCCTCCCCACTCCCTCCCTCCCTCCCCGCCCCCACATGTAGGAGTTTGCGCTGCAGAACGCGGTGTGCCAAAAACACTCTCGGAAACTGGAACACACCACCCCCCCACCCCTCCCCGCACTCACATGCAGGAGTTTGCGCTGCAGAACGCGGTGGTGCCGGTGGCGCGCATGTTTGGGCTGTCAGAAGAGTACGAGTACCTGCTGCCCTCCATCCGCCGCTTCCCCACAGGTAATACCTCCCCCAGATAATGCCTGCTCCATAGGTAACACCTTTCTCACAGTTAGTGCCTCACCAGGTGTGGCTGTCTGTTTGGGCTGTCAGAGGAGTACGAGTACCTGCCCCACAGGTGATGCATACCCAGCGGTGCACACTCTGTCCTACCACTTGACTTTCTCACTATCCACACTTTTGAACCCATGTCTTGCCCCATGCATTAGGCCCTCACCTGATATCTTGTGCATGGCTGTGTGTGTGCGGGTCACAGGGCGGCAGCAGGAGCAGTTGGCAAAGGATGCTGGATTCTCCAAGGCAGTCCATTATGAGATTGGAGGAGGTCTCATGGGTGTGCTTGTGCTGCAGAAATGATTTTAGCCATCACATTTCATTACCATGGGTGCAGTGTCGGTTGGATTGGCACAGATCTTGCTCGATGTTGAGAAGGTGTACAGCAATAATAACTTCTCCTTACATAGACACGAATTAATGAATCGGCAACTGGAACATCTTCTCCCAGCTGACGGTACCCATCCCTTTATTGTGTCATCGCACTGCATCCGGCTAAACCACACTCCTCGTTCCAACTCCCCCCGCAGATAAAATCCGCAGCCTATCTCCCTGTGGGCGATAACGCCGCTTATTCGCCATGCGACCAGTCCTGCGACTCTGTGCGATCCGCCCGAAGGGCCGTCGCAATCTCAGGAGGTAGGAGGTTCACGGCAAGGGATGATGGTCGGATTCTGGGCCGAAGTGGATTGGATCGTTGTCGAGCCGCTTATTGTGTGTGCGATGTGCCGGGAGGGTAACCGTATGTGAGCCCTAGGTAGGGCCGTCCGCGTGGCCTGTCGCCATTCGCCGCGCTTTATTGTCTTCGAGTCAGAGTGGGGGCTGAAGCTGCAGCTACTGCAGAGCATCCTCGATGTAGGAGGATTCGCTTTAAGGCAGAAACCAGCTGAAGCCCGGCGCTTATTGGTGGACTCAGAAGACCGGGGACGGGGGAGCAGCAGAGCGCATGCTCCTCTCGTCCCTAGCGCTGCTATCGGACAGGTGGCGCGCTGGTATTGGAGGATGTTGCTGCACTGCGAGAATCGGAGCCGCATCCTCGCTTATTGGTAGCGCCCACACATATTCTCGTCTGGCGGTTGATGAACGGACTTTTGTGGCATCTCGCTGCGCGGGGCCGTCAGCGTGGCCTATCGCCATTCGCCGCGCTTTATTCGTCTTCGAGTCAGAGTGGGGGCTGAAGCTGCAGCTACAACGCATCCTCGATGCAGGAGGACTCGCTCTAAGCCAGAAGCCAGCTGAAGCCCGGCGCTTATTGGTGGACTCAGAAGACTGGGGGGGAGGGAGGAGCCGCAGAGTGCATGCTCCTCTCGTCCCTAGCGCTGCTATCGGACAGGTGGCGCGCTGATATTGGAGGATGCTGCTGGATTGCAAATCGGAGCCGCATCCTCGCTTATTGGTAGCTCTCACGCTTATTCTCGTCCGGCGGTTGTTGGACGGGTTATTGCCGCAGCGCGCTGCGGGTAGTCACTGGCTGAAGCAGCGCTTATTCCTCATGGCCACGTGATTGACGCCACAAAGTAGTTTTTTTTTTTTTTTCTGTGAGCATTGGTGTTGCCGCAGCTTCACGCTTTCCCGCAGTGTCCATTTGTTGACGTGAGCAGATGCGCGCGTAGGTAAGGGGATTGCAAAGCCTCAAGGCGATCCGTTTCGTCGTGGTACTGCTTGGAACTGCAGCTTCTGCTATCGTCTGCCATCTGTTGGCCCTCGCTCCGACCGCGCTGAGTGCTGCAAGCCCTCTGCTGTCGTCGCGCTGGAATTCGTAATTGTGCTTCTTAATGAACTGGCAGCTGAAGAATCCGAAATGGACGCCTAGGTCACAGCCGCTACGAGTACGAGCCACTCGCTTCGTTCCAGCAACGAGCCCCGCAAAGAATTTAGCATTTCAATTGTACACATTGAACTAGCGAGCAGAGACGCTCATGCGCTTGAGCGATTCAGGAATCTCGAGGAAAATGCTTGGCTTTACGAGTTGCTCGAGTGGATTGAGCTTGTAGATAGGAGAAAATTATGACCTATTTATCCCAGTGCTTGTGGCGGCATTCATCACTTGTGTGTTTTGAGATTGGAGAATCGAGATCGCTGGCGCATGTGGGGGCGCGTCGGGCATAGTTGGCTTGGTGGGTGTGGAATGAGCTGGATGGTCGCAACGAAGGGATGATCTAGGCCGTCCAAACGTGAGAGTGAGGGAACAGCACGCTGCAACTGATGGTTGCAGCGAGGAGGTTTCACATGCGACTCGGCAGGTGTGGGTTGCGCCAGGTTGTCTCGAGTCTCGACTCGCCCTTACTTTCTTCACTACAGTTCCTGCTGCCAGTCATCACAGCACTCATGTGGAGGTTGCTGAAGGCGAATGGTAGTTGCACCAGATTTCGGTACACATTGACGGATAGCCCAGTTACCCGATACATCACTTTTTGGGAGTTTTCACGTTCGCATAACGGATGGGAGCACAAGGCTTGCCCCAATCGTGTCTCGCAAAATTTACCTTCGCGAATTGAGCGAATTTATCGTTCTTGAAGCACCACGCCATCGACGCCACTTGGGAGGTCTGGTTTGCGAAGTCCATGCAGTCTGGTCCACTGTGATTCGACTGTTCTTGTAACACCTACACTTCGCAAAAAGCATCCATCACACAGGCATCACCTCTTCGGTGCGCTTCACGCTCGTTTTTCTCACACTCACACGTGTCGGGATCCGACTTCATTCCTTTGTATCTCGCGCCGCTTACCTTCTGCATTTCACGCACGCGTCGCCCTCAATGCACGCACACATTCCAAACCCGAATTGAGCAATTTGTCATCTGAGGCGCTTTCGACGGCCACGACCATGCAACCTCCCCTCTTCTTGTCCCACCAAAGTCTGTTCACCCCAACCCCCAGTTCTGCACTGATCGCCACCCGTTGCTGACGCTGGTCCAGCAAGCTTGACAAGGGTGCAAAACTCTCAATAAATAGGACGCACAGCGCCTTTCCCAAATGGGTGCGAGTTTTAGCATCTCTCACGAGTTACTCGTCGCACATGCTTGTTGAAACCTATGGTCGATCTAGCATATAGCTGCAGAAGCAGCTCCCGGAGCGACGGAATATCAACGCGGAATATCATCTTCAGCAAGCCCATCGCACACGGCATCCCTAGCAACGCTGCAACCAAGAATGCGCACCGGCATAAATTTTCACTCAAACCTTTCCCGACAGATAGACGAATGTCGACGTCATTTCTTCGTTCGGCGCGATGTACGGCGGCTGAGATTCTCTCCATGTCCTCGCAGATCATCCACGTGTTCAACTCGCTCCTCCTCCTCTTTCGCGCCCTCGTCGCTCTCGCCGCCTGCAGACTCGCCTTGACGTTTCTCTTGCCGCCGCTCCGCATCGTACAGAGAATCGTGCGATTCGTGTGCCTCGTCGAGACCTGGCTCTCGGCTACTGTACGCGATATTGAGTTCTACGGTAAGGCTCGGGATCTGGATCACAGGGAGGAGTACACGGAGAATGCGGCTTATACATGGAGTTGCGAGGGCGGTGAGAAAGTGGGTTGCGACGAGTGGTCGCCATGGGATCAACTCAGGCTGTCGTCGTCGTCGCTAGGCGATAAATCTTCTCCCGGTAGGTTATGGGACGAGGAGAACATGAGGCGATGGGTTGAGGAGGCGAGGGCTGTTGCGAAGCTCGCCACTGCAGAGGGCGAAGAGGACCTTGTAACAAGAATAGGAGGCGAAGGGCGGAACAGGACTATCGGAGCGGGTACGTCTGGCGAGCTGCACGCGCAAGAAAACGACGCCCTGCTACACGAGCTCCAGCAAGCGCGAGCGACGTGCGACTCTCTGCGACAAGAGCTGGAGCAAGAGTGGGTGCTTAGCGACAGTCTGCGACGGGAACTGGAGCAGGAGCGAGCGGCTGCGGACAGCGCTGCGATGGCGAGCATGGAATCGATCCGACGGTTGCAAGACGATAAAGCTGCCGACCAGTTAGCGGCCCGGCAGAGAGAGAGAATATTAGTCGAGAAAGCGCGGTACGAGGAGGAGGAGGTAGAGGGCTTAAGGGCCGAGGTGGAGAGGCAAGGAGAGGAGATTCTTCTGCTGCGCGAACAGATGGCTGCTGTCGCCGGTTTTCGCTATGTTACAAGTGAGACGGATCATGACTGTGCGGAAACAGAAGGTGACAGAGGTGACTCGGAAGGAAGAGAGGACGACGGTTCGGGTAGAGGGGAGGAAGAGGAGGGGTCGGAGAGAGGAGCGCGCATTCACAACATCGAAGAAGACCAGGGGAGTCACAGGGATAGTGGCGTAAGTGGCGTACGTGTCTTGAGCGGCTGGAGTGGCTTGAGCGGCATGGGTGGTCCACACGGCGTGATGGAGAGTGATGGAGCGCAGGGGTGGAGCAAAAAAAGAGCGCTTGTGGATTCAAATGAGACGGAAGGTGGACTGGAGTGGGGGGAGGTTTCAGGGACAGCAGCTCCAACGGCCCGAAGAAAGATTGACCCGCTGCCCCTAGCCCAACAGGGAGTGGGTGCATTCTCTGCAGCAGCTGCACGTGAAGCGCCGCTGGCAGCAGCAGTGCTTGAAGCGCCGCTGGCAGCAGCGGGTGACGCTGCTTCCGTGTCATACGCCCTGGGTGGCCTCTTCATGCCCTTCCTCCCTGGTCACCTCCCTGATGCTGCTGATGCTGCTGATGCTGCTGCTGGTACGTCTTGTGCAGGTGGTGCTGCTGGAGGTGGTGCTGTGCAGACTGGGAGCTGCGGATGTGTAGATAAGTACCAGTAGAAAAATAGCATGGTCCGTCCTCTCAACGGTCAATAAGTACAGGGTATGTAGGTACAGGAGATTTAGAAAGCATGCTATCTGTGGTAGGCTATGCTGCATGTTGTAATCATCTGTCGAGGCATCTCTAAACATCATGCCATTCTGACCTCAGCACTAGCCAGCACAAGTACTAAATAGTTCATCGCTTCTATATACAGCACACGCATATGGCTTGCTGTAAACATAACATCACACTCCTGTCATTTTAATCAGCAACGTGAACAGAGTTGCTGCAATTGCTTCTGGTAGTTTCCACCCAACCTTATGCGCGAGCTTTTTAGCGAGCGACACGAGCAAAGGCACTAGCGAGAAGATGACAACGAGGTTGAGCACCACTCTCGCCACGACGGTGCGTGCGAAGTGTCGCACGAGCTCGCCGAACTCCTTCCTGTCCAACACGCCGTCGTGGTTTATGTCGTAATCCTGAAGAGAGCAGGCGTCAGAGGGAAAGCAAAACAGCTTCTAAGTCCTCTCAAAAGCGCGTGATGGAGGTATTGTGAACGGGAATTACGACGAGAATGGGTGCGATGGGACGAGAGGGAAGTGGTAGACGAGAAGATTTTGTCAGTGCCTTAATATGGACAAGATCTAATGAGATCCTCATATCATGTACAAAACAGAAGTACCTGTACAAGCTGGACAACTTGCTTCTTGGAAGGCGGGCTGATGTGCATCCCGGGCACGAGCGAATTCACGTTGCTGTGGGAGATGTAACGTTTGCATGGCCAGGTGGCGAACAGGGAGGAGAGATGTAATGGTTGAAGCTGGGAGAGTACAACCAGCTCGAGCACTCCAGGCAGCACTCGTACTCCAGTGCACACTTGTACTCCAGCAACACTCACTCGAACGCAAATCAGCACTCACTCGTATACAATGAGAATGCCGGTGTAGAGTTCGGGAACGTTGATCACCTGCCGCCCGTCGCTCCCCGGCGTCTCGTCCAGCTCCGAAAGCTCCGTGAACGCGCGGTCCACGCCGCGACTCACCACGTCCCCTGGGATTATCCGGGGGATCGCGCGGGGCGGGCGCGGGGGAGGATGTGGGGGCGGGGGGGGCAGAGAGAGTGTGGAGAGAGGGGGGAGAGTTATGGATGTGCGCGCTATTGTGGGAAGGGAAAATCCTGAAATGCCCGGTTGACGCTGCGACTCGCCGTTTTCCCGTTGTATCGAGACGGGGCGAAGAGCGACAACTGCACATAGGATCTCCATACCCGCCCTGTTTCCCCGCGGCTCTACAGCCCACAACCCCCACACATTCCTCCTCTCGCTCCCCCCATCGCCCCTTGCCGTTCCACCTCTCAACCTCCCCTCCACCCCCCGCTTACACGTGGCCATCACTCTAACTCCGCGCGCCACTCTACCGCCTCCCTCGCGCCGCGTCGAGTGCCCGCGCAGGGCGGCGGACCTTCGTGACGACAAAGCGCTCCCAGAAGCCCAACAGCGCTCCCAAAATAGCCCTTCCCCTGCTTCCGCCACGTTCCCGGCGGTCACGGCGGTAGACCCGCCCAGTGCCCCTATGGACCTACAGCTAACGCCTGCGTGGGTTACGCGGCACCGCCAGTGGGGTGTACCCCACTTAGTAAGAACGACCCTCTGGCTTAATTCGCACGGTTTAACCTGAGCCGCGGCGACCCGACTGCTCGTCGATCTTGGCGATTTGAGCCTCGTCGCTGAAAGCGTGTCCATGTCACGATTGCAGTTTCGGAGCCTTCTAATTACTTTCGTAAACCGTCGAAAGATGCGGGAGTGGAGCTTACACCCGCGAGAGATAAGGCCGATAGGTAATAGATATAGGTCAACGCGGCGCAAGTGTGAAGCAGAAAAGAATCACCACTTACGGAAGTGCTCGAGGCAATGTTGGCTTGGCAATGTACGTGTTGCCAGCTGGACATGCAAAATGTTTGTCCAGCCACCCTCGAGCAGCTTGGGAAAACTCGGAGCGCTCAATAATGGTTAATCCCAGCCGTCCAGAAATGGGGCACTTTCTTGTCCGTTGACGTAGATTCGTCGGATGTGAAATCACATGATCCCCGTCGTGAGATGTTCTACTTCGTGTCAGTGACTTACGTGTACCCCAAGGTTTTTTCTCCCACATTTTCAAATATACAAGATAGCACCTAGAATGCTGATCAATATCAATATAGTACACACATAAAAACCAAAAGACTATCAGAAACTGCATATTCAACTGCTATGGATGTTGCCTCCATATGAGGACAGATGACAAGGATTTGTTTCTCTTGCTTACGAATTGTCGCTTTTGCCGTTCGTTTCTACTTGCCACTAGTGTGGGGGTTACGCAAAGGTTGTACACGGCGGAGGGTGGAGTGGACTATGTAAGGGTCTTGGGGAGAGTGGCATGAAGAAGAGGGGGGTGTTTCGTGGACTTATGTTGAGGGGAGGAGGCGGATAACGCATCAGGTGGAGAGCAGGTGGGAGGAGGACAGCTAGCTGGATAAGGGGAAGCAGGAGGAGGTGTTGGGTGGGGTACCAGAACGGGGTGAGGATGGGGGAGGTTGGAGGAAGAGTATAGCATCGATGAGGGCAACGGGAGATCCATACCGTTGCTCTTGGTCGTCTGCTCAGGCCTTTTCTCCCTGCCGCCCAGCCCATAGTCGAGAGGGTTGGGCTGCTGTAGCACGTGCTTGGTGCCTCACTGCCTGCCCCGGTTGCTACTGCTGCTCCTCATAATGGTGCCGCTGCTGGCAGTGCTTAGTCCTGACGATGCCGCTAGTGTTACTGGTGCTGCTACGGGGACTGGGAGCTGTGGGGATCCAAGTTCTAGCTAAGATCCCCCCAGTTCACTACATTCTCCCTGGATTCCCTACCATACACAGCTGTTAACCTGGATTACTCTTCTGTACAGCGATAGCACTTGGAACTGTTGCCAACAGAAAGACACTAAGAATCACACTCCAACCATTTTTACGAGCAATGTGAGCACAGTTGCAGCGATCGCTTCAGGTAGTTCCCATCCAAACGTTTCCGCCAGGTTGCTAGCAATCGACACCACCAAGGGAACGAGAGAGAAGATGAGAAGGACGTTGATCAGCACTCGCGCCACGACAGTGCGTGCGAAGTGTCGCACGAGCTTGCCAAACTCCTCCCTGTCCAACACGCCGTCGTGGTTGATGTCGTAATCCTGCCGCCACGGAGCACATGCGAGTGGAGAAAAGAGACGGATTAGTAGGGTGTGAATGAAGTGTGCAACATGACATGCGACATGTTGGCATCCTCTGAGCGGAGTTGATGGCGAAAAAAGGTGGGACGAGAGCGAAAGAGGTAAACGACAAGCTTGGCAGGGCAGATGGAGTGCACAAAAATGGTGACTTTCAAAATGGAATGGATACAATATGATCCACTACAAGCAAAGTACACCTCGTGCACAATGCATGAAGTTGAAGTACTTGCACGAGCTGAAAAACTTGTTTTGAGGCACCTCAAAACGAGTATTCCTATGTGTAGTACACATTGTGCACAATGCATGAAGTCGACGTACTTGCACAAGGTGAAGGACTGGCTTCTTGGAGGGTGGTTTAATGTCTTTTGAGGCGCCTCAAATGACGTACCTGCACGAGCTGAAGAACTTGCTTCTTGGAGGGCGGTTTGATGTGCATCCCCGGCACCAGCTGGTTCACTTTGCTGCAGGGCGCGCGAACAGGAGGGAAGAGGGGTTGAAGTGGAAGGAGATGTAACGTTTGATGTTTGAACTGTGCTTGATTGGGTGCTGGGTGTAATGCACTACAGGCACTCACTCGTACGCAAGTAGTACTCACTCGTACGCAATAGCACCCACTCATACAGAACAAGGACCACTTAACGCGATGAGCACTCACTCGTAGACAATGAGGATGCCGGTGTAGAGCTCGGGCACGTTGATCACCTGCCGCCCGTCGCTCCCGGGCGACTTATCCAACTCCGCCAGCTCCGTGAACGCGCGGTCCACGCCGCAACTCACCACGTCCCCTGGAGGTCGGGGGAAGGCGGAGCGCGGGGAGAGGGGGGGGGGGTGGGGGAAGAAGGTGGGGGAAGGGGAGGAAAGGGGAATGGGGTTGAGGCGGGAGAGGCGGGGGAAAAGGGGAGAAGGTGGGGAGATGGGGACGGGATATTGGATGGAGGGTGCGAGCTCCGTGAAGGCGCGGACGAGTTGACTCCGTGAAGGCGCGGACTCAAAAGTCAACTCCGTGAAGGCGCGGACGACGCTGTGTCTCTCAGGGGGCGAAGAGCGAGAAGTACGCAAAGGCCTATGTCCCTCCGGTGTATCCCTCCGTTGTGCTCATCTTACCACCTCACATTCCTCCCCAAAACTTCTTCCCGTCGCCGGTCGTCCTCCCCCCGGGAAGTTTCCCCTTTCCCGCCCATCGAGAGGCTTACACGTGGCCGTCACTGTAACTCCGCGCGGCCCTCTACCGCCTCGCTCGCGCCGCGTCGTATGCCCGCGCAGCGCGGCGGACCGCCACACCGACGATGCGCTACCAGGAGATCGAAAGCGCTCCCCAAATAACCTCGCCCGTGCCGCCACCACTGTCGCGGCGGTCACGCCGGTGGACCTGTCTGCTCTTGCAACAGAGGACCTACAGTCAACGCTTCCGTGACATACGCGGCACCGCCATTGGGGTGTCCCACACTTGGTAAGCTTATAATTGGCTCTCTGGATCGATCTGCATGATTTAACCTGCGCCGCTGTGACCTGGGAAGGATTGATAAAGCTTCTCGTCGATTTTGGACAACTGAGTCTTGTCGCTGAGAGCGTGTCCATTTCACGGTTGCAGTTTCAAAGCCTTTTTAGATGGACGTTAACTGTCGAGGGATGCGAGAAAGAGGAGCGTATCTCCACGAGAGAGAAGGCCGCCAAGATATGGTAGATAGGCGGTCAACGCGGCGGTAAAGTAAAGCAAAGTATCATGCCCATCGCACACATGTGTGAAGCAAACATGGAATGGAACGTTGGCAATTAGGGGTTGCTGGACATGAAATCCATTGCTGGTACTGGTTGGTCAAACTTTCAGGCTGAAAATTGGATTGTAGAATTCTCGAAGCGCCAATTTCACTCCCACCATTTGGCCGAACCGCGTAGGCTTTCAACTGCCGATCAAGTTCCTTTGGATTCATCGCAACCGTCTACATATGGGGCACTTTCTCCTGGCTACATCTCGATTCCTCGGACGTGAAAAAACACCACACCCGTCGCGGAAAGCTTCGCTTTGTGCAGTGACATATTTATACTTTAATAATTGGCCTGACAAACTTCCATACGGTACCAGACATGTTACAATGGCTATCATATACAATGTGTACCCTACAAGTACCAAAATATCTCACATGTTGCCCTTCCCTTCTGACTTGCGCAGCACATCCATCCTGCACAAGCACCACTCGGTTAGCCCACAAACAAGCACAGAGAAGCATGAAGTAAACTGCTTCTTAAAGCAAAAAGCTTTTACATGACAAGCTAAAATGAAAGAATATCTCACCCCCAATTCAGCCGCTGCCGTTTCTTGCGCCGCGCCGATTCCTGCTCCTGTGGCAATGCAAAGGGTGCAGGTTTATTGAGGAAAGACCCTGTTCAGAAACGTTGAAGCTACTTTTGCAGCAATCCTTGAACAGCCACAAGCTGCACGTGCCACTCACTCTGCCCGTCTGCTCACCTGCAAGCTCGCTGCAAGCTGCATGTGCCATTCTGCCTGTCTCTGCCGGCGCGCGCTCTCCCTTCTGATAATCGCCTCGTTCACCCGCAGCGCTGCTGTGTGGTCACCGGACCGTAGGGCTGCCTCCAACCTGCGGTCCAGCTCTGTCTGGGACGCACGTGGGGAGCACATGCGGAGCACATGGGGAGCACGCGGGGAGACGAGCGTAAGGAGCATGGTAGCCGTGCTGTAATGCCGGCCCGAACCTGCGATCAAGCTTTGTGTGGGAAGCACGTGAGGAGTACGTGAGCATAAGATGCATGGTCACTAGACCGTAGAGCCATATCCAACCGGTCTAGCTTGTGGGGTAAGCAGCTTTGTCTGGGAAGCACGTGGGAGCATGTGGGGGGTATAGGGATCATATAAACGCATGTGACAAGCATGAGGAGCATGGGGAGCACACAGAAGGCGGGAGTATGAGAAGATGGGCAGCATGTGACAGGGAGAGAAGGTGCAAGCATGAGGGCACATGAGCACCAGCACATGTACACAACCCAACATAAACGGAACAAACCGCACGAACAAACCACTCACAACCAACGATCACGGGCTGACCCTATGCCAACTTTTGAGACGATTCAAAGGACGCCTCACAACTGCTTACCTCCCTCCCCAATGTGCCGTGAGGGGTGCCTTGGAACCGCCCCATGCTCATGTGCATGCTGATCCCCACGCTCATGTCCATGCTTGTGCTTGTGCCTGTTCTTCTGCCTGTGCTTTGCCGGCTCGTCCAAGGTACCGCCGCCATCAACGGCCGACCTCCCCCTCGTCCGCCTCTCACTGCATGCTCCCCTTGCAGACGCAGCCCCACTCTCTGCGCCTCGTTGCACCGTTCTGCACCACTCCCGCACCTTAATTCTGCCTCCTCCCGTGCTGGCACTGTGTTTCCAAACCCAGCCCTACCAACCCCCCCAGGCTCTGCGCAAACCCCTTGTCTCCCGGGCTGTGCATCAGACCCGCTTCTGCCTCTGTAACCTTCCCCCTCTCTACCTTCCCCACCTCTGCCCTCCGCCCCTGCCTCCCCGCATGGCTGAGCCAGCTGGATTCGCCGCCTCATGCCCTCCCTCGCTTCCGAGCCTGTAGACGTCCTTGAGATTGCAGAGTGTGCAGGCATCCTCGGGATTGCCGAGTCTGTAGACGCCCTTGGGATTGCCGAGTGTGCAGGTTGATCGCTGGGATTCGAGCTGACACCCTTGGCTCCAGAGAGGTTCCTCCGCAGCTGCGACAGCTCCTAGTAGGCGGGAGGGATTGACGGCGACAACGAGATCGAATCATTTGAGCTTCGAACGACGTACCATCGAGGCGCCTCGATGGACGCGACGAGGGGGGAATGGGCCCGCTACGTGGCAACGAGTAACGTGAAAACGCGGAATTCTAAACGAGAGCATCAGGACTTGAGGAAACGGATTGAGTCGGAAGTGATGACGGGAGTGATGGTGCAACCGTGTAATGTTCCGCACACCTGAAGTCGCTCGAGCTGCTGCACTCGCGTTCGTCTAGTGCTGACGCTGCTGCTGGTGCTAACGCTACTGCCACAGTTGTCGCTTGCCATTGTTGAGTTTCGCCGCAACGTTCAACCGCGAATACGGATGAATGGTTGAGTGAGGACGAAGGGGGATGTAACCAAGCGTCAGAGGAACTTAGGTCACGCACAATGGGCCCGACTGAACTAATGGCGTTCCTGCTGAAGCCATCAGGCAAATGAGGAAGCCTCGGGCAAAAAGAGCTGGAGAAATTTGAGCTCAGACACGCACGCGCAACTCGGAGTCAAACTTCTTTACAAAGAATATACACTACAAGAAAGCTTGAGGCATACATACATAATCAGGGTACATTCCGCTGTAGAATATGTCCCAATCGATGTGTCTCAATCGATTGGGACGCGTACGGCCAGCATAAGCTGCCAGGTGTCGGAATGCCGTAGCGCTCGTGAAGGTCGCCGACTGTAATTATCATTGGGTGGCGTGATTCTCGGAACTGTCGCCAGCTAATTGCAACACTACCCAGCAATCGCACGCGGCCCCAAATGTCATCCCATGCATAATGTATCTGGACCACATTTTGCGACACCCAGTTTCCCCCCAAACGCGTTCGGAGCACCCTCATTGGAGGAAACGAACCGCGCAGAATTATTGACAGGGACGCGCACAGCCCCGCCAATGTGCCCTCACCCCGTCCCCGTGCACCTCCGCAACAACTCCTTCTCTCAAACCAGTCAACGTTGTGCTCCGTGTGTGAAATTGTGCTCTATCATCTTCAACCATCGCGATTAGCTCTAGATCCAGATCTGAAAGCGAGCCCACCGCAAGCATGGCTCGTAAGCGCAAGGGGCATGCTCTTAATGACTGCCCCAAGGACTTAAACGAAATCCCGAACATCCGTTGGATGAACCAGCAAATCGCCAACGGCCGTCACCCCAGGGGCTTGTCCGCGCCACCCGTTCTTGACGGCCAGGGGTCTACTGCACCGTCGCCTACGGCTGGGCCGTCGCGTATGCGTCGTCAGCCTACCAGGACGGCGGCAACACACCGGCCCGCCGTGGAGGAACACGTAGCAGATGACGACGACGACGAAGGCGACGACAACTTTGCCTCCGACGACGAGGACGACGAACCTAAGGACCAGGGAATGTCGCCCAGCGACGACGACGACGAGGAGGACGCCGATGACACCGAGGACGACGACACCGAGGAAGCACAGCCGCGAGCCCCGCCGCCGAAACGGAAAACCGCACGCAAGGCCGCGTCTGATAAGGGCAAAGGCAAGGCGGCGCAACCTGCAGCGCGCCCGGAGCCGCGTAAGAAACGGGCTGCTGCACCTGTCGAGCGCGGTTTATGGTCTGACAAGGAGAGCACCATCTTCGCTGCGGCAAAGTGGTTTCTCAAGGAGGAGCTCGAGCCCCTCAAGGGGAAACAGGGTACCCAGTACTGGGCGCGGCTACTCGCACATATCAAGGAGTCGAACCCCGGATGGATCCGGGGTGTCAACGCGCTCCAGAAACAGTGGCGTAACCTAATAGTGCTATGGCGTGAGTATAAGAAGGCCGACGAGGGGTCGGGCAACGGCTCCGTGGAGAAACCACCTTGGTACCCGTACGTTGACCTGCACAACCAGGACACCGCCGCAGCCGCACCTCATGCCGTGGACGGAGGTGGCGCGAATAACGTCAACGTCCCGGCAGGCATGGAGGTTCCGCAATCGTCCCAGCCAGGCACGTCAACCCCTTGTTTCACTGGTGAGTCCGGAGATTTATCGCTCGCGTTGTGGTTCTCGTCCACGTTGTTTCTTGAACATTTTAATTAAAAAAAAAACATGCATGCAACGCACACCGACAACGGGTTATTCTATGAGCTAACACTAATGCGAATGTCCCTGCTATGTCGCAGCTCCTCCGCCAACGACTCCTGCCACACCGAGGCGTGCCCGGGTGCATGAGACGGCCACCATGCAAGCGGCCATGCTCGTATCTGCCACCATCAAGAACTGCCATGGCGACGCTATGAACCGCATCGAAGGCCTCGTCCGTGAATGGATGGCGCAAGATCTCAGACTTGCCCGTGAGCGTATGACAGAGTCGGCTCCCCCGGATGTGCACCGCACGCCCCATGAATTCTCTCCACCGCCGCCACGCGGGGAGTCCGCGCCTGCTCCCGAAACCGCACGGACGCGTGTGGACGAGGGCGACGGCGACACCGCTATGCCGGCGGATGAGGATGTGGAAGTATGGGTTCGCGGCGCCGACGATTAGCGTAAGATGACTGCAGCGCCTCCCCTAGTCGTTTTCGCCTTTCCCTGAGTGCTTGTTGTGTAGGGGGATCGCACGGTTCCCATTTGAATGCCGGGACAGCACCCCGCGTCCACCACGGATCTCGGTTGCGTGGTATGTTCGCCCATGCCATGTTGCGCCGCCTGACATCCTGCATGTCTTCACACATGTTGTGCAGGATGATACAACACGCGGCCCCGGCGAGTAAGCGCCACAGCCTGCAGTCGTTGCGCTGGCCGAAGATGCGCCATCTCCCCTTGAACGCGCCAATGCATCTCTCGACGGCCATGCGTGTGGCGCTTTGGCAGTAGTTGAAAGTTTGTGCCCAGTCGTCCATGAGGTCCTCTCCTCGTGGGGCATGCAGGGGTGTTAGGCAGTACTCCCGTAGTGGGTAGGCCGCATCGCCAACGATCTGGTATGGGGCTATGTCCCCGTTCTGTAACCGCTCAAGTAATGCAGACTCCTTGAAAACACGCATGTCGTGAGCGCTACCGGGATACCCGATAAGGTAGTCCCATATTCTCCCTCGTGCGTCACATGTGACCTGGAGTTGTACAGCATATGCGGATTTCCTTGTCCAGTATTCTGTCTTGTGCCCCTCCATCCCCTTCATGTGTATGTGAGTGCCGTCCACAGCACCCACCACAGCAGGTACACCCTTGACGGCTGCAAACTCCCGCGCCATCTCTGGAAGCTCTTCACGGGTGGGGAACCGCACCCAGGCGGCCTTGAAGACGGAGGGGAAGTGCGAGAGGAACACGTCGACCACCTCGTGGCAGAGAGTTTTGGAGATGCCGAACAGGTACGAGATGTCTACGTACGATATTCCAGATGCCAGGTATTTGATAGGGATCAGCACTGCAGTGTACATGGTGAGTATGGATCGTTGCACAATCGGCTCAAGGTAGTGTTGCATCCCTGCCACAATGTGCTCCAGAATTGAACGGTTGATCCTGAAGAGATCCTGAAAGTCGTTCTCGCGCATGTGTTGCAGGTCTTCAACCCACAGAGCGTGTTTCCGCTTTCGTATCCGCGCTCTATGACGGCGGTTGTCGCCGTAATCGCTCCCGCAGGACGAGGACTGCTCTTCGTCGTCCTCGAAGACGCCAGACTCTATCAGGCCTACGAAGCTCTTGGAGACATTGTCGTGGAAGATTGTGTAGTAGTAGGTTATCCAGGCGACGAGGAGCCGTAGGATGAATGGGATGGTTCGTGGCTCAGCCATGTCTGGTGGACAGTGCGCGCAAGCCGTTAATTCCAGTACGTGTGTTTGTGGTTTATACTAGCTCCTTATGTCTGGTGCATACCACTATAGTACCAGATGTCGCAATTATTGGCAGCGCGGCTATGTTGTGTATCTTCGGGGAGTGCGCCGAGGGGATTTGTGTTTCCCCCAGTTGACGGGGTTCGGGGGTGTTTGTGCTTTTGGCGGGAATGTGGGCCAGGATGGACGGTGACCAATCAGCAGGGGTCGCTGATAATTTTCGCATCACACGGATGAGTCGCAATACATTGATCGATTGGGACATGCAGATTCGGGAAAATTGGGCGCGGCTCGACGGAAAGTGGATTGAGACATATCGATTGTGACATAAATCCACAGCGGAATGTACCCTCAAGTACACAGCAAAGTGTAGCCACGAGACAAGACAGGTTTAGTTGACTTTGAGAAAGACGAGGTATTTGAGAAGGCGCTTTTCAGGGCGAGAAACCTCCTGCTTGCGCGAGAGAAAATCCAGCAAGTCATTGAGTGCTTCGTTGAACTCTCCAACGTGCTCCTCCACCTGCACCCCACCCATCCGAAGCACAGACAAGCGAAAAAAGGTGTATTACTGAGAACGTTTACTGCAAGAACAAAACTAAGCGTTCATTCAGAGCCTCGTTGAACTCTCCCACGTGCTCCTCCACCTGCACTCCACCCATCACAAGCACAAACATGACATGGCATTGTGAGAACAAGCATGTTCGCAAGCTACAAAATCGAACAAATAATCCAGGGGCTCGTTGGACTCCTATACATGCTTCCCACCTGCCCACACTCATCACGAGCACAAGCAAGCAGAATTTGTGAGAATGAGAACGATCACATGCAAATTAACAACATACCGGTACTAGCACAGATTTGAGTACAACTTGGTGCTACATCCCTCACCTCCTTCCAGATGGGAGCATCATCACGGGGGATGAACACAGGGAGCGGGGTGGTTGAGCAGAGGTGTACAATAGTTTTGTTTGACATATACCACGATAACACGACATAAGCACTCGAGTTACTACACCCCTCACCTCCTCCCAGATGGGAGCATCGTCGTCGAGAAAAAAACTCAGAGAGAGGAGCGACCATGCGAGCAGAGTCAACGCTGCGATGCACATCCAGCACCAGCTGCAGCAGGCTGTCTAGTCGCTCCCTGATGGCAGCACTGCGAGCATCCAACAAACACCTGCCATGGCATACAGGAAGCACGATGATATGAAGTTATAGATTAAAAAATGCATCTGTATGTCATAATAACGAAGGTGAAATGGGAATGGGGAACGAGGGAGGAGAAAGGACCTGGTTGTGCAGTAAAGCAGAAACTGTGCATGCGCCTCCTGGAATGAGAATAGGTCCTGTGAGGTGGCACAAGTGAAGGAGGAACAAGGGAAGGGGCAAAGGAAGGATTACAGATAGATGAAAGGTGAAAAGCAAGGGGCACATAATGGATCCAATCGGGCACGATCTAGCCCAAAATGCCAAGCCGAACTCTCAGAGTGCATGAGAATCGCCCCAGTTGAGGCTCACACCCACCCTTGGGTGCTTGTGTTTTCCCCGATAAACCTGAGAAACACAACCATGTAAGTCCCAGACCCACCAAGTGGGGTTTGTGTGTTGAGGAGTCGTGAGTGCCCAGCAGCAGCATCTGGTCGCCCTGCTGCGCTGCTTGCTGCATCTTAGCAGTCATTGAGCGAGAATCTATGTTTGAAGCTGCTCAATATTATACCAATGGAATACCCAGACCCACCAGATAGGGCATGTGTTCTGCCTGAGTGCCCAGCAGCAGTATCTGGTCCCCATGCTGCGCTGCTCGCTGCAGCTGAGCGCTCATGAAGGCGAGCATGCAGGACACTAGCTGTGCTGCACGCACGCTGGGAGGGGGGAAGGAGGGGAAGAGAGCAGGAGGGCGAACACAGGGAGCGGTGAGTGGCGGGAAGGGTGTGGCTGCCCTCCAGAATGCCCCAAAACCAGCTGCAATGCACGCACGCTGCGGTTACACAGCAGCTCAGATACAGCAGGCGAGGGAGGGGCTCTCACGTGAACACGTTGAGGAAGCACAGCCGCCGATACCGCTCCCTGTGCACTGCCGTGCCTGCTGCTGCTGCTTCTGCTGCTGGTGCTAGCGACGGGTTCAGCAAAGCTGAACGGAGGACCTGACAGGAAGCAGGGGTATCAATAGGAATAGCAAGACGCGGAAATGACACGGCATGATGCAGCATGAATTTGTATGCTATGGAGCACAAGGGTATGCTCCCGCGTAGAATGGCTGACGGGGAAAAGAACACATGATGGGTCGGGTCAGATCAGGGGAAGCGACCGGTATCATGCGGTGCGCATTGACATGTTACGAACACTGATGTTGCCGTTGCCATCTCTGCCATGTGCTCATGGTGCCAATGCGAAATTCATAAACCAGTGCCTGCCTTGATGTGAATGGTGAGGCTGCTGATGGCCCTCTGCACGTGCTGCAGCCTGAGCAGCGCAGTGAGTGCGTCTCCATAATGCTGCACCAGCTTAGGCCTTCTCACCACGCTGGCAGGCATTCGAGGCGACTCAAGAGTGGCCTACCTTAAGTGAATGGTAAGGATTTGAATAGCTCTCTGCACGCTCTGCAGGCTGACCTGATAAATAGCTTAGGTTTTATCACAACGCTAGCAGGCTGTTGGGGAATCTCAAAAGGCTATTAAGGCGTCTCACAAGTTGCTTACCTTGACATGAAGCGTGATATTTTCAACGGCCCTTTGCACGTGCTGCAGCCGGATCAGCGCCGTGAGCACGTCTGCATACTGCTGCACCAGCTGGGGGGGAATCACCACGCTGGCAGGCCAGCCAGGGTCGTACCCCACCCGCACAAAGTCAAACGCGCCCAGCCCTGATGGGTGCGGGAGAACAGAGAGAGACACAGTGCGGTCGAGCTTTTTTTTTCTTCCAAACATTTGCAGTACAGATAGCATGTCTATGTCTCTATAAGGCTGCTCCAGGTGGGGCGTTATTTATCACCACGCTGGCAGGCCAGCCAGGGTCGTACCCCGCCCGCACAATTTCAAACGCGCCCAGCCCTGATTGAGGGTGCGGGGAAGGGCGCAGAGAGATGTAGTGCGGTTGAGGAAGTGCTCAGGCGAGTGTCGTACTAGACTCGCAGAACGTAACATACCAGATTCGGATGGTGGGTGTGGGGAGGGATGCAGTGCGGTTGAGAAAGTGCCCCTACTGTTATTGAAACCCAGGCACTCACGATGAGCAGACAAAGGGCTCCACGTCAGCTGCTTTCTCGCACTGCCCATTACCCCTCCCCCCTGGCCTCGCAACCCTCCCAACCCTGGTAACATTGGGTGAGGCGGCAGAGATGTTATGGAGGAGAGGGAGGATGGCGAGATGAATGTGTGGAGGCGGGAGAGGGAGGAGGAGGGGAGGGAGGAGAGGCAGGCTCGCGAGATGGCCGTGTCCAGGGCGGATGAGAGCGCGTGCTGCTGCTCTGGTAGCGAGCGAAGGCTGGCCCAGTCCTGCGGGGAAGGGGATGAGGGGAGAGGGCACGGGAGAGGGAATAGGGGGAGCGGAGAGGGGAGAGGGGTGAGGGGATAGGAGAGGGTGTAGAGGGGACGAAAGAAGAAGCAAGCATGTTGAATCTGGCAGCATTGAAGGGCAGAAGAGGGCGTGGTGCTGCTGTGGCATGCGGTACTCACCACGGCGTAAACATTTTAGGTGCCTAAAAAATCGTGATGCTGCTGTGGCATGCGGCACTCACCATGGCATGGAGGGCGTGCAGGAGGGCGGAGGGCAGGGCGGAGTGGGGAGAGAGGAAGAGGCAGTGTAGTGCGGTGCAGTGGTCGCGGTAGCGCCCCATTGTGAACAGCACCTGCACTGCTGCCCTGCTCACCAGTGCGTGACTGGTGTGGGGGGGGAGGGGAGGCGTGGTCGAGGGGGAGGTGATAAGAAGGGGAAGAGGGGAAAGAGCGGAGGGCAAGCGAGAGAATGGTTCAATGGCCGGCTTGCCTGCACCACAGCAATTGCAGCAAACACTGGTGGTTGCAGGACAAAAGTGGACACCTGCCATGGTTCTACCCTTGGTTGGGAAGTCTACTGTACCTTGCACGGATGGGCAGCAGCAGGTGGGCATGGACGGCATCATCGAAGCTCCCATCCATGTCTGTGACGGCCATGCCAACCAGCCGCCTCTCCTCATTCGTCACATGGACCCCTCCCCTCCCTGCTGCCCCTCTACGCCCACCCTGCCTTCCACCCAGATCCTCCCCACTCTGCTGCCCACCCGGCCTCCCACCCTGCTTCCCTGTCTGCCTTCCACCCTGTTTCCCAGTCTGCCTCCCACTCTGCTTCATGCTGTGCTTTCCACTCTCATCCTCAACGCCCTTCTGCTTTCGCCCCCCACTACCTGCCGCTCCCTTTCTTGAGCCCTCCTTCCTTTCCTCCTTTGCTCCCTCCTTTGGTCCCTCCTTTGCTCCCTGAATTCCTCCTTTGTTTTCTCTCTGACCAACACCCTCCTTTCCTGTCTCCTGTGCACTTTCAGCAGCACCCCCCCCATGCCTCCGTGGATGCTGGAGCAATGCATGCCATGAGATGCCACTAGCACCATGAATCGCACCCCCGCCAGATCCATCCCCGCTACAAGCATCCTCGTTACAGGCCATCCACGTCCAGGGGAAGGCGGGGCCAGAGCGGGGGTCAGTGAGCTGCAGCATGGCACCGCACTCCACCCATGCCTGCCGCAACGTGGGGCTGAGGCCGGTGGGATTCGGTGCAGTATGGCTGGGTGTGGTGCGGTTGGGGGAGACAAGCAGATTGGAAAGAGGAGGGGGATGAGTGCCCTTCCAGGGCCAATCATCTGCTGCCACGTCATCACCAGGCACGTGCCAGGAGGGGTCATGCGACCAGCCACAGCCAGAGCAGATCTGCTCCCTTCCCTGCTCCTCTCCCACATGCCCACTTCCCTGCTCCTTTCCCCCATGCCCTCTTCCCTGCTCCTTTCCCCCGTGCCCTCTTCCCTGCTCCTCTCCCACATGCCCACTTCCCTGCTCCTTTCCCCCATGCCCTCTTCCCTGCTCCTTTCCCCCGTGCCCTCTTCCCTGCTCCTCTTCCTCCCTCCCCAATGCTTGTCCCGCGATTTCTCTGTGGGTGGGTGCAGGCCTGACAACACCAGGAGGGGGGCGCAGTGGTGGCAGCGGTGGTGCTACTATTGCTCCCGCTTCTGCTGATGCTTCTGCTACTGCTTCTGCAGCTAGCAAACCGCCTGAAGCTACATCTGCTACAGATGACCCCATGCCTGTTACTGTCACTGCTGCTCCCATTCCTGCTCTTTCTGCTGCTGCTACAACTGATCCATTCCCCACATCCGCTACAGCCCCTGCAGGCAGCAACTGTTGTCCCAACCCTAACTGTCTCTGCACCTCCACTCTATCACCCACATCAGCCATCCGAGCCTCGCCTTCTGCACTAGACTGGGGCTCCAGGGAGTCTAGAAGCTGCCGAACCTGCAGCTCAGCAATGGCAAGTCGGTGCTGGACGATCTCTCTGGTTCGGGCCACCCCTGCCAGGGTGAAATCGATGGACCAATCAGACGCGAGCGCTGTTTGAATGTGACTTGGCTTATTTCCATTGGTTGGCAGAGAGAGGAAGGGGTGTGAGTGGGGGAGGAGGAGGGCGGAGAGGAGGGAGGAGAGGCGGGAGGCGAGCTGGCGAATGGTGGGGTCGGGGGCGGAGAGGAGTATGTGCTGCTGCTGTGCTGTTCTTACAACGAGGCGTGACACTGGATGGAGGAACAAGGGCAGCAGGTGGTTGATCTGGTGTTGTGGGGGAAGGGAAGGAGGGGGGGGAGACAGGGGCGAGGGTCGAAAGGCATGGGTAGAAAGGGGAGGCACAGGGCACAGGAAGAGGGAACAGGCAAAGGGCACAGTTGACATGGAGCTTTGCGACAGAGACTGTAGTCAGCAAGGGTAAAAGAACCATTCTCAATGCGTGCAGAGTCTAACAGGTCAACATGCATGCAGAGTTGACCTTGGTTGGTTGCTGGCCAAGCAAAATCATGAGCTCCAAGAAAACGAAAAAAAAAAACAGAAAAGGGAGAGAAAAAAACAAGTCCACTGCTTTTGATTGATAGCTTGGTTAAGTTAAAGATGCACCTTGCTGGGACGAAGGAAGAGTGCCGCACTCCACGCCTCGCCGACTGCTGCTGCCTGGTTGGACAGGAACCGAGGTGTGTCGAACTGTGAAGGGGTGATCGAGTGCGATGGGGTAACCAGATGGGATGGGGTGACCAGATGAGATGGGGTAACCATGCGGGGAGGAGTGACGATGCGAGTAGGAGTGAACTGTCCAGCAGAGGTAGCAGGGGTACGAGTGATGGCGGTGGTGGCGGTGGTGACGTTGGTGGCAGGATTAGCAGTCCCAGCAGCAGAAGCACTCCCAGTAGCAGCAGTGGCAGCAGCAGCAGCAGCGAGGGAGGGATGCAGGTAGGAGAGATCACCCAGAGCCATGGTGCTCCTCAGCTGGCACACCAGCGGCCAGCACGACGACACATACAACCACCTCACCACCTCCATTGAAGTTTCACCTCCCTGCCGCCCCTGCTGCCGCCGCCGCTGCTGGTGCTGCCGTTGCTGCTGCTGCTCCCGCTGCTGCTGCTGGTGCGGCTGCTTCTGACTCAAACCACATGCACTGGCAGTGCTGCCGCTGCTGCTATCAGCTGCTGCGAGGTGGAGCATGGTGTGGAGGTAAGAGAGGAGAGCGGCGGCTTGGCTGCTGTGGGTGGTGGTGGGGCGCACGCCTCTAGTGCCACCGCTGGCAGCAACAGCACGGTCTGCGTGGTGCGTGTGGGGCGTGCAGTGCATGTGGTGCGTGTGGGACGTGTGTGGAGGGGGTGGAGTGAGAGGCATGTCTCTCATGCCTGAACTGCTTTGATCTGACGAGCTAGGCATGACCATCTGAGGGCACTGGTACACCACCGACCATGCATCCTCCATCTTTCCCCCTGCTGTCTCCCTCCCCCTTAGCGCCCCGTCCTCCCATGGGTGCCCCTTCCTCTCACCACCTGCTGTCTCCCTCGCTCTCGGATCCATCCCCAGCAACATCACCAGGCGCCTCAGCTGCGCCCTCAGTCGCCTGCTCCGCATGGCCAGTAGAAGCACAGCATCTGACGGACCGGCTGGAGTGCCTGCTTGTGAGCGTGCAGGGCTGGAACAATCTGTTGCTGCTGTTGGAGATGAGGCAGAAAGAGAGGCGATGCATGCACGGGCGAGCTGGGCAACCCCGGCCTCGTACTGAGCGAGAACCAGCGATAGCGCCCTCCCAAAACCCCTCAGAACCGCGTCATCTCCCTCTGCACCGGCCCCTCCAGCTCCCACTGCGAGACCCTCTATCTTTGGTTCTTCACGCTGAGACCTGGGAGTGGCATGATCATGCGGGTGTTGAGGAGGGGGGAAGGGGGTGTTGACTGCTGCTCTTAAGCAATGCACTCTCTGCACGCTCTCCCCCTTCCTCGCCCCCTTCACTCTCGTCGTCGTCACTCTCCCCGCCCGTCCACCCCATCCACACTTCCCCACTCTCTGAATCCCAGTCCGAACCCTCCTCCCCATCGCTGCCAACAACACCGCCAGCAGCGACGCCACATGCGTTACCACCTGCACTGCCTGCATCTGCCGCCTGCTGCACCATCCTGCACGCAGCCAACGGGCACAGCACACTTGCCAGCTGGCATTCCACGTCAGCAGGCACACGTGGCACGCCCCATTCCGCAGCTGCTGCGTCGCCAGCAGCAGGAGCAGCAGCCTGCAGCCTCGCAGCGAGGCAGTGCAGTCTGCGGCACACGTGCCCATCCGCCACTACCTCCCCCAGCACTGCCCGTTCAATCCCCTGCCTCGCGACCCGCCTGCGCCACTCTTGCTGTTGCAGCTGCCGCTGCAGGATCTCTCTTCTGCGAGCTGGTGGGAGCAGTGGGAGCAGCGAGAGCAGAGGGTGCAGCGGTGCGGGCGCGGAGGGCGAAGGCGTGGAGGACGTACAGGGCGGCGGGCTGCCCCCTGAGAGCGCACGCCGCCACGAGGGCGAGGGCGTGCGGGTGCTGGCAGGCGGAAAGAAGGGGGGGATGCGCGGGAGAGAGGGAGGGGAAGAAGATGGGGAGTGAAGTGGAATCGGGAGGGATGAGAGCGATTGCGCTAAGCAATGGCAGTAAAGAGGTGAGGTGGAATACGAGGCGTGTTGCAATGCCACTGCAGCATCTTGTGACGGCAGACGTGGAGCAGGTAGTGTGTGAATCATTCCAGCATAGAGACCCCACCTTGCTGCAGCTGCTCCCGCCTCCTGCCATCGCCACATCATCTGCGCTGTCTGCACAGCGAGCAGCCACGCGGCCGCCTCGTCCAATCCCATCGTCCCTCGACCCTGGTGGCATATCCCGGCCGCTGATCCACTCTCTTTCGCCCTCACCCAATCCTTCCCGAGCCTGATTCCCCTTCCACGAGCCGAGATTCCCGAATTCCAACACGCGATCCGTGGCTTCTATCTGCGAGCTTTGAGACGACTCAAAACTGGCTCCTAGGTATGCGTAGTCGTTGGATTCGGTAATAATGCACGGAGAAGGGTACAGGTCGGTGAGAGCGACTGGCCTGGTGGATGGCAAACAGTACCCCCACTCCTGCCGCATCTTCGATTCTAAATCCAAGATTCCCGGAGCGGCCTGCCACGTGGACATCGCCTGCATCTTTTCCGCGATTCCAGATGTCACGACGGGATTCGGCGTCAGCGCGCTCAGCATCCAATCCGTCATCCTGTTTACTCCTGGGAGGGTCGCAGCGATCCGTTCCAGAACCAAACGTCCAGTTTATCCTCTTTATAAGATCACCATAAGAATCATCCAGCGAAACGCGCCTTGGCTCTCCATAAGTATCATCCGGAAGATCGTGTATTGACTCCATGTCAAAAAGGCTCGCCGATGAATGTGGTGGTATCGGACGTTCATGACTAGACAGATTGATCCAAGGAGCCGATTCGGGCTGCTCGGACGGAATGCAGCGAGCATTCGCGTGTTGAAGGAAGTCGTTGACGTGGCTCTCGCAAGCTGTGCTTGATTCCATGGGTGAATCTGTGTTGTCTGACAGCCATGGCACATCGAACCCCCAATGATTCAATGACGCCATTCTCCTTCGTCGGAGCTTTAGCTACCCCACGTCTATTTCACGCATGCTCGTTCCGCAACCTGCCGATAATGATACCATGTGCCACTAATCAAGTAGTAGCGTCAGTCTGACAGGGAATGTACAGAAAACTACCAAGCCTGTGGAGACACATTGGATCATCTCCGCTAAAGAGCTTCTGGACCAGAATACACGTCAGTCTAAAAGGCCTGAACAAACCATTGACAATAATATTTTTTGGGCTGAAGCTCACGTATACATTTGCTCATTGGGATACCCAGAACACTGTATCACGATCATTCACAGTGAGAATGGCTTTAGCGAGGTTTTATCGTGATCAGCGGTTCATCTTTTGAGTACATAAATCCGTTTTTTTCTGAAATCGAGGGGGTCATCCGAAATGCTCCCCATGGCCAGTTGCAGTCTCATTTCGGTAGTTGCTAGCTGGAGCCAGGGTGACTGTCTCAAACTTCAAAATTTCTACGTGTGACCTTCTTCGGATCAAACTCGCCCTAACAATTTGGGGGCACAGGTTCAGCGCCTGTCAATCCCGCTGGCTGGTTATTCTGGTTGGACATATCGTTGGTGCACAGACAAGCGTCATCATAATGTGACGGTGCTTTTCCAGCGCACATATCCACGTCACGATCACAACCAATCGGAATAAGCCATGAATTTTTAGCTAGCACCTCGGATAAGAATCTCTGAGCAGCTCTCTGAATCCACGTGATTTATGGAACACACTTCGACAGACCGTAGGTCCACTATTCCTTTGAACTTGGATGCGTGCTTCCCTGGCACGTGTTTCAGAAAACGGAACACAAACCGTTTGGGTGTCAACCACAGTACAGTTTTTACACTACACCTGATCCGTTTGAGTCCCCCGTACTTGGGTTGTGCTCTGGGCTCTTAAACGTTTTAGGCATATCGCCTAGTTCGTTCCATTTTGTCAGGGTGTTGAGGTGCTTCTAAAAGACACTGGGTGTAACGCGATTGTTTTTTCCAAAACAGTGCTGGTGGGCCTGTGTTGCTGTCAGTTCAGGGTTTTGGGTTTATGCTTGTTTCTGGCCAAGAAACAAGAACCTACCGGGTCAGCATGGTTTGTTTTGCGCCTAAGATTCATACTTTTGCGTTTCCTCGCCCAAATGCAAGTTGATCCGCGTGCCTAAAACCTGGGTGCAGCTGAGTCTGAAAAAAAAACACGGGTGCAGAGTTTCTGAAATGTACAAGGCAAATTCGCGCGCAGTGGCTGGGCATCATGTGTACGAGTTGAAAACTGTGAGTTTTTTTTGTACCTGAAACATTCAGACACTAAGCCAGAGCTTAGATTCGCCAAAGTGATGTGCCAGTGGCGATAGGATCTTCAAAACAGCCCGAAGGCAAGGCGGCAGATTGCGCGTCCTCCTGAGACTGGTCCGTCGCGCGCCAGGCTGTCTCGATGAGGGCGCCCGCTTCCCTGAAGGACTAGGCTGTGCTGCTGGCAATTTCATCATGCCACGCGTGTCAGCACTGCCGGTGACTGCAGGCAATTTCCATGTCATTTTCCGACCCAGTTGGGGATGCACTGCGCACATGTTGAACCCACGCCACGCGCGCACGCGGTCGTGGATTGGAGAGCTGACAAATTGATGTACTGCACACCCCGCTCTCCCTCTTCCCTTTCGCCCCAAAAGTGGTCCCCTCTCCCCCGTGACCCTTCCCTTCCCCGAGTTGACTCCCCACCCCACCCACCCAACCGCACCTTCCCCCCACTGGACCTCATGTTCCGCCTACAGTTTTCCTTCTGTTTGTTCCCCGCAGCCCTCCCCAACCCAGCCTCCCCCCACACGCGTGCCTCGCAAGCTTGCGCTGAGCCCTCAGTTTCCTCCACGTCCCTCGCCTTTCTTGGCTTTCCTCTCGGCCTCAACCCCCACCTCGTCCTACATTTCCCACGGCTCCCTCTGCATCGCTGTCTTGTTTTCACAATCGCTGGCTGCTTTGCTGGATATACTTTGCCTTGCCTTTCAACTCTCACCACTGAATCTTCTACTTTCGTCCTGTTGGTCCAGTGTTCAATCGCATCGCCTAGTCATTACTCCAACAAGTCAGGAAGAGTCTGACTAAGATCTTAGTATCATAGTACAGGTTGAACCTCTAGGGCATTCGTAAGGCCGCGTCTGTCCCGCCGTTTCCATCTTTGCCGGCGTTTACGGTCAGCCACCATGTGTCGCCCCCCTGATGTAGTTCCCGGCGCGGCTCAGTCCGAGGCGGAGGAAGAACTCGACGCCAGGTGGCGTGCGCAACAAATTGATGATGCCGCTGCTGCGTACGGCGGTGCATGGAACTGGAATCCGATGACTGCTCCTGGCGGCCGGTAAGCGATACGCGCTGGCAGTTACAGGTCTCTCTATAAGTCACGATTTATTATCGTCGCCTGTCGCCCTGCTTTGAACCTCGCCAAGAAGCCCCAGCTTCGTGTCGCAGTACTTGACAGTAAACGCTTAGTCCGTCCCCTCTCCCCTCGTTCTCCCTGATTCAGGTTATTCGGCGGTAACGCCGGAATGTACGGTATGATGTCAGCAGACCCATCGCAAATGACCGCCATTCAAACCCGCCAACCGCTTCAAGCGCAGTGGCTCCTCCCGCAGCCCGCCCAACCCGCCCTCCCAAACCTCCGCAAATGCAACCCCCGACCGCGCACACGCCGTCCGCGCAGCAGATGTTCCCGATGAGCTGGCCGCCGCACGCCGCGCACGGCATGTCGGCGCCGGCTCCGATTCTGGCGACCAAGGGCCGCTGGGGTACATGTCGCAGGGCATGGCGCAGGGCATCCCGTGCGGGCTGCCACAGGAGATGGAGTTCCACGCGGGCGACATGGGCGCGATGAGCACGGACGGCATGACCGCGGAGGAGCTCGCAGACCTTGACCCGAAGAAACATAAGAGGTGAGGCGCCGGAGGAAATATACGTTGTTGTCATGTCATATCTTCATTATGATATGTCCATTAGTGCGCTCCAGTTACAGCGTTGGATCAACGGGTTTTTCTGTCTTCCGTGCTTCTCCGTTGCCTGTTTCCTTCGTCGCAGGATGATGTCGAACCGCGCGTCAGCGAAGCGGTCTCGGCAGCGGAAGCAGGAGCGACTCGAGGAGCTGGAGATCCAGAGCGCCAAGCTGCGCGTTGAGAACGCGGCCGTCACGCGGCGCTTGAACGAGGCGTACTGAGCACACTTCGGCAATACCAAGAGAGCAACGACCGCCTGCAGAACGAACTCAAGCGGCTACGCGACGCGCTCGCTCGCGCCGGCGTTCCCGTTGCGAACAAACCGGCTGACGCGGCGGCGGATGCGGGGATGAGCGCGGACTTCGCGCTCAAGGTTGGCCAGACGGGGAAGCTAGAGGTGGCGGAGCCTTTTGCGGAAGGCGCCGGGAACAAGCGCGCGAGATTATTGGCGTCGACGAGTTTTGAGGAGTCGGAAGAGGAAGGCGTGCACTCGCCCAGTGCGAATCACGGGCGCGACCGCACCTGCCGTCGCACGCAGAGGGAGTCGCGGCGGACGCGGCGGTGGTGGCGCACGGAGCGAATGAAGGGTTTGGCGCGGGCGCGCGCGGATGGCGCGGGGATGGCGGGCGCGAAGGGGATGGGGATGAAGGATGCGGACACATTGGCGGATGCGGAGTTCTGGCGGGGCTGATAGGTTGCTTTGACGATGGCAAGCCTCTCGAGGCGCTCATCTGAACGCGATGAGAGGGGGGGGGGGGGGGGGATTTTAAATGAGATGGTGGTTTTGGCAGGTTATGAGGTGGCCATTTGGGTTGATGGGATGGGTTGAGGTGGGGAAGAGGGATGGGACTGGGGATGGATGCAGGAAAGATCCTTATTATTATTCAGTATGCCTAAGGCCTGTGCCCATGTAGGGAATATACGTGCTGTCATGCAGTTGTATGCTAGTTCCTACTAAACCCGTCACTGACACTCCAACCTTCAATGTACCGTAATTCCCAGAGGTTCATCAACACAAGTGGCATATCATGCTCAACCCCAACTGTACCTTGTACAAACTTGCACCACCCTTGCTGCCTCTCAATTGAACTCCCAGGGTAGTGTTAGGTGGGTGGGTGGGAAAAGCTTTAGGGTGCATTCCGCTGTGGACCATGTCCCAATCGATGTGTCCCAATCACGATCTGCCCAAGTCGCGCTCAAATGTCTCGAGTTTGCATGTCCCAATCGATCGATGTATTGCGACTCTGTACACACGCGCGACAATTATATGCGAACGTCTGTGATTGGTCAGAGAATGAACATGAAGGTGTTGGGAGGTGGAGGAGTTGTCGGGAAGGAACATTGGAACTGGGGGAAGGCGCGCTGGCGGGGACGTGCGCGTCCCTGTCAATAATTCCGTGTGTGTTGTCTCTGTTACAATCCCAAGTGGGACTTAGCGAAGGATCGCTTAGGGTTGATCGCGGAGTAGTTGGCAGCGGAAGTGTGAATCTCAGGTCAGAGTGGATGTAAAATGGCTGAGTTGATGATAGCATGCATACATCGGTTTATATAAGAGTACTAAGGGAATACGAAAGGACCTAGACCAGCCATGTACTCTAAGGGGTACATTCCCTATTCGCAACTGAATTTCAAAAACCATGCGGCGCGGGAACCCGTTCAAAAACAGTTCCCGATCTTTTCACTGTAAGATGTTTCTGCCTGCATCGGTCTTGATCTGACGGTTGGTGCGTTGTTTCGGCTCTTCTGACTCCTCAGCTTCGTACTCGGTAGAGTCGGCTCCTGCAGCATACAGGAATGCCTTCTCATAAAACTTCGCATCGTAACACTCCCCTTCATTCCTCGCGCGGGTGGAGCTGACTCGCTTGACTACTCCGGTAAGGTCAGAGCAGTGCTTATACTGCTTACGTGGCAGGCGCTTGGTGAGGAAGTCTGCTGCCATCTCAGTGGTCGGGCAGTAGCGAGGTCCACTTTGTCTTGGTCGATTTCGACCTTGACGAAAAAAGTACCGAAGTGCGATGTGCTTCGTGCGTTTCACGAATCCTGGCTTATTCGCGATTTTATGGCACTCTGGTTTGTCGCAGGTGAAGTCGAAAAGTGGGCGAGGTTGAATTTTCGCGAACTGCTGCTGTCGCGGCGATGTATTCTGCTTCAGCCGACGACAGGGCAACCAGCTCATGCTTTTGGGAGTTCCAGGAGATTGGACCACTTGGTTCCAGGCGAAAAACGAAGCTGGTTCGGGACCGTCGATTTGCGGGATAAGCTGCAGTGGTCTGCGTCCACGTAGCCGTTGAGGTTGAAGGAGGTCGTCGTCAGCGTGGAGTAGGAGAGCCCGATGTCAGGGTGTGGAGATGAAGTACTTCAGGGCGCGCTCCAGGTCCAGCTGGTTCTCAGCTACTGGCTTGCGAGAGTACTGCGCCAGTTGGCTAGCGATGTACGAAAGGTCAGGTCGGCAGGTGACAGAGGCGAATAGCAGGCACCCCAACTTCTGTTGGTACATTTGTAGTTCCTGCGCGCGACAGGGGTTTGTTGTCCGTTTGTAGTGGGTGCTCGGGCTGCGGTAGGGAGTTGAGAGTGGTGCGGGTGAGATGTTGAAGCGTTCCCCAGTTGCTCTGCTTACTTGGAGGCTGACAGATGAATTGTTTCTGGCACGTAAGTGGATATTTAACCCCCAAAACTGTTTTACTTCGGGTTGATGGTGATGTCGACTTCTTCAGTTGACAGACCCTGGGATCACCTTCTCCGTACGTGTACGGCTGCTCCACAAAGATGGTAGCATCCACCAGCGCGTATAGAAACGCGTTCTTCACGTCGATCTGTCGCAGTGGTAGGTGCTTCGCGGCGGCAATAGCGAGTAGAATCCGAACCGAGGTATTGGAGACTGACGGGAGCGAAGGTCTGATCGAAGTCTATGCCGCGACGCTGTCGTAGCCCGCGTACGACCCAATCGGCTTTGAAGCGCTCAACAGTACGTCAGCGTTAGTTTTGAGACGAAAGACCCATTTCCCACTGAGCACCCTCCTCCCCGTCACTGCTGCACAATCGACTAAGAACCGAAGTGATCGCGCGATTCCAGTGCTTTCCAGTTCCCGCATTCCCATCGCAGTATGCCACTCCTTGGCGTGAGGATTGGTTAGGGCCTGGTGAGGGTCCTTAGTGTTCCACGGTCCGCGCCGAGAGTAGAAACGGACGTGTGCAGGCCAAGAAGTTGAAGGCCTGACACGTTGGTGGTGTCTGCATTGGTGGGGACTTCAACCACGTCGTCATCTCCGCTCTTGTAGCCGGGTGGTGCGGTACTTGGTTCTGTCTGGCGCCGTGATGGTCCTGGCGTGGAGTCGTCGTCGCTGTCATCATCATCTTCATCGCGCGGCGAGGGGGGATGCTGGGGTGTTCGTCGGTGTCGTCGCGGTCCAGAGCTGTTGCTGCTGCTTCATCTTCAGGGGTCGCGAAGCTGCGGCCGCTGTTGGCGTAGCCGCGTGCCTGGTTGCGGCATTCGTCCTCGATCCACTGCCTCAAGGTGAGCCGTTCGTAGAAGAGGATGTCACGCGCAGGGACAACTTCCTGGTTGTCCATGTCAAGGATGAGTCATCCTTTGTGCTCGTGGCTGGTCCTAGATGAACTCCCCAGCGCGCACGATGAATGAATTTGCCGATTGTAGCCGAAGTGGGCCGATACTGCACCATGCACCCCCAAACCCTCAGCATGGAGGGATCTCCCCTTGAACCGGTCCACTTCATGTTGGGTGACAGGTTATCCCTGTTGACGGTGGTGGAGAGGAGGTTGTGCAGGCGTACCGCGTGATTCATGGCGTACGGCCAAAATTTCTTTGGCAGCCGGACTGGTTCATGATGGCACGAACTTTAGTCATGAGGGTCCGATTGACCCGCTCAGCAACGCCTTGCTGTTGTGAGCATAGGGAAGGGAAATCTCATGCTTGATCCCCTTCTCGGTGAGCACGCTCTCTAGTTCATTGCTGCGAAATTCTTTTGCCCCATCACTCTGCCAGATCTTGAGTTTCCTTCCCGACTGTCGCTGCGCGTGCGCGAGGAAGATACTGAACACCTCCGGGGCTTTGGAGCGGGCGTCACATTGGCAACCCACACGTGGCGTGAGTAGGCGTCGATGAGTTCGGCGTGTCACTTCTCGCCGTTGGGTTCCGTCGTAGTGAGTACGATGAAGTCACTGTAT